GCTTTACAAGCATAGCTGACAACATTTTAGCTAATTGGCTGTACACTTTAACCCCACAGCTTCCTTGTGTGACATCACGGGGAAAAGAAAAAAGAAAAAGGCCCAAATTCCAGGAAGGGAAAACTGTCCACCTCCACAACTCAGGTTCATCTGAGTGGAATTTCCAAATTGCCTAAAGGTGTCAGATTTACCTGTTCAGACAATTATATGAACGTATTAGCACTTTGAGATTTGAACATAGTTCTCAGGATGAGATCTGGTTCTGTGTCCCAGACATTCATTTGTTTTAGTGCAGAATGTGAGTCTCCACCCCAAAGAAAACATGAATAACATTGTAAAGGAAGATATTGTTTCTATAGTGTTGTTATCCGCAGTTATGAGTTAGCATAATTGTGGAAAAAAAGCCACATTACCATTTCGAATCAACACAGGGACAAAACCCTTTTTCGTGACATCCTGTCATCTCATGAAACTAAATTTGCACTCTTCAGCCATTGTTACCTTTGGAGGAAGAAAAGGAAGCTGGAAAACCCGAGAACACCATCCCAGCTCAAAGTACGGGGCTGGCAGAGTCATGCTGTGGGTTTCTTTTGCTGCACAACTCAAAATAGATCGCATCACAAGATAAGAAAATGATGCGGAAATATTGAAGCAACATCTCAAAACAGCAGTAAGATGAAGCTTAGGTGCACTTTTTTTCTTAAATGAACAATGGGTCGAAATATGCAGCCAGGTTAGTTTGTGAAAGCTGGAAAGGCAGCAGACAAACCTGACTTAGTTACACCAGTTCTGTCAGGCACAGAGGTCTCAAGGGAGTAGGTACTAGGCAGAGGTGTGGACTCGAGTCACATGACTTTGACTCGAGTCATTATTTTAATGACTTCTGACTTGACTTGATAAATTCTATAAAGACTTACGACTTGACTTGGACTTGAACGCCAATGTAACGATGTTACGTAGTGTATTGTGGGGGGGGGGGGTTTAATTATGACCAATAAGATATGAGGATTCTATATAAATATAGAATCTCAACCTGATTGATCTTTGAATGTTTAACCAGAAGAGTTTAGGATTTTTTGCTTATTCAGTGACCATAAACAGACTTCGTATTATTTCAGACAGAGTCAAGTATATAATTAAAATAAACTTTGCTTTCTAGACTAATTATAATACATGACAAGCTATGAAACAATGTGATGGATGTATATGTGTGGATGGAATGTGATGAGTGATGATGGAATGTGATTTTCATCAGAACCTTGTATCTGGAAGAAATTGTGAGTTCTGGGTGCAAAAGAATTTGGTCTGCTATAAACTAGAGTTGATTATTAATAAAAGAGCATCAGATGCAATCTTGTCGTGTCTACGTACCCTTAGGAGACCCTCTTTTGGATCTGAGATGTCTGGGGGTCAGGTGACTCCAAGGCATTGGAGTTCGTGGATTAAACGCAATGCGACCAGGTCAGTCCAGAGTCGTCTCCAGGTCACAACAGCATGAAGGTTAGTTGCGTCTAAGAATGGACTCTTAAAGAGCAAGTCACCCCCTGCCAGATTCTTACTCAACTCCCACTTCCTGTTTGAAAAATGCAACAAATGCTATTGCCTAGCAGACCAAGAGGGCGGAGCCACGAACAAATACGCACACTCACGACATTGTGACATCATAATGTACCATCTAACATCATAGTGTACCTCTTAGCCAATAGCGATGGCAGATTTAAGTTCAAATGCAGTGCAGAGTTTTTACCTGACGACGGTGCATCACTGACTGTTTTAGGCAGAAAATGTATTTTTACTAAGATTAACTAAAGTGCCAAATTATTGACTGAACGTGTCTACAGAGCAATTAGACACTCATTTATATAGTTTATCAGCAAAAAAAAAGTTGATTTGAGGGTGACTTGCTCTTTAAGGAGTCGTGGCTGTGTCAGCTTTGCAGCGTAAAAACAGGTTTTGACGGCTTGTCAAAAGCTTTGATGGTTCAAAAAGTTTTCCTCCGGATTGGCCACGCCGAAGTTCTGCTCAAAACTCAACTCAGCTCCACTGAACTGCAGAATCTTCTGGGCTTTAGGAGACAGAATAGAAACTCCACTCAGATTTTGCAATTATGTCTGTAGATGACCGGATACTGAAGAGGTCAAACTGTAGCTAAAAAATGACCCTTTCTGGATGTTGCACCAATGACTTGTGACTTGAATCGACTTGCATCTGTTGACTTGATGATGACTTGAGCATATTTGATATTTTAGCACAAAAGTGGCACGACATGGACAAAAATCACTCTTCGTTCTGGGTTTGATCTTGTTCTGCTAACTGCAGCCGCACTTTGTTTATAATCAGTTTCAGTTGCGCTTTCTGCTTGTTTGAGAAAATAAGTTGGACAGATGACTTAAATATGACTTGAAAATTCAAAGTTAAGGACTTGGACTTGACTTGGACTTCCACATCACTGACTTTGGACTCAACTTGGACTTGGTTGTCTTTGACTTGGACTTGACAAGAGACTTGACTGGAAAGACTTGTGATGTACTTGTGACTTGCAAAGCAGTGACTTGGTCACACCTCTGGTACTAGGGTTTAAAATGACTTATCAACTCTATTTCATTTGTATAGCGACTTACAGACACCAAGGAACTTTTCAGAAACAATAAAACAAGTAACATGATGAAAACAGATAAAGAACTCAGGTAAATGCCAAACCATAAACGTTGGTCTTTAGCCTTGTTTTAAAAACCATCATAGAGGTAGAAGCCCTTATGAACAAGGGAAGTTCCTTCCATAACTTTGGACCTGCTACTGAGAAAGCCCTATGCCCTCATCTTCAAGTGAGACCTTTGAACTGAGAGGAGCAAAAGGTTCTCCGAGAGAAGCGTCCAAGCAGGGGCATAAGACTGAAATAAGGCTGCACCAACCAATTTAAAGTTTGAAAAGCCATTAATCTAGCTTATTCTCATTGAGACCCAGAAAGTTTCCAGACACCCACGTCTTGACTTCAGCCAAACACTCCAAGAGTCTGTTAATAGGGCAATCACCTGACTTATCCAGGGGCAAGTACAGCTGGCAATCATCGGCAGAAAGATGAAACTTAGTGCCAAACCTATGCAGCATATCACCCAAGGAAAGAATATTAATTGAAAATAGAAGGAGTCCTAGTTTCAACCCTTGCGGGACCCCCCTTTGATGAAAAACAAAAGATTGCTAATCGGTTTAAATGGTGTGTACAAACTTCTGATTTCAAATGTACACAAACATGTTCAGGCTTTGGTTGATCTTGGAAGGATCTCATCTTTTCATGCAAGATTTAGGAGATGTGACACCTTCAAGCATAATTTCACTTTCAGAAAAACAATTTAACATTTTTATACTGATAGTAGTCACAAAAGCATAGTTTAAACACTGCAACCATAACTGTGGTTCATTGAATCATCATCTTACTTAGTCACTTTAAGGGAGGTGGGATTTTTGTGGATCTCTTGCCAGTCATACGTAGACAAAATTATTAAAGTTGCAGATTTTATCTCAAAAAGCCTCCATAAAAGAGATGTTAGAACACTGGATGACACTAAGCGTAACACCAGAGGCGAAGACTCCATCGATCATGGTTTTCCGAGCTGGTAAGAATCTTGTATTACAGATTACAGTCCCTCTGCTGTTTCTATCTTTAAACAAAGCTGCATGAAAAAAATAAGTTCAGTGTGGGCAAACATTGTGAAACGCTGAAACTTTCCCATGCTGGCTGCAGATTGTTACGTTGCATGTGCGTTTGATTCTGATTATTCCTCTTCTGTGTGCTCTGTCATGCTGCAGTTGCAGTCCTTATCTTGGAATGCATGCTTTTTGTGAAGATATCCTGCCAGCCTGTCAGCAATGAAGACCAGCAACAGGCCTTGAAAATGACCACCAAAATGACACTGGACAGAATAGCAATCATGCACTACAACCTGGTAAGTCTCTTGATGCCTAATTTGATTTAGATTAAGAGTTTAAATGTCTTACCTTTGATTTACCAAATTTTTATGAATTAAACTTATGAAAACAAAAAATGTTGCTTGAAATTAGGTCAACAATATATAACTATTGCGATCACATAAGACATTTGCTGCTTTTGCTATATTTTGATCATTTCAGTTTAGACTTCTTTTATTATCTAGGGACACAACATTTTTATTCTTCATTATTTATTTTTAAAAAGTTGTCAACATTATTTTTTATATTGAATTAGTACAAATTTTTATGTTTATGAGGTCTGGCTAATCTGAAATAGCTAAATAATGTTTATTTTTTGGAACACCAAATAAAAATTTGTGTCTCCGGAGGTTAAGCCCCTCATTGAGAGCATCAAAAAATACGAAGACTGTTATCCTGCGGGGGTAGGCTAATTATGGTCAAATAGTTGCTATCAGGATATTTAAACAATCAGAAAAAATTAGATACTTGATTAAAGAAAGTAAAAAAACAACATGTATGATCAGTGATTAATAAAAAAAACTGCCTCTTTAACACCTAATTCTTTTGTTTTCCACCTATTTTGCATCTTACAGTCTGCCCCGGGACTGCTTCCAGAAAATTCCTGCAGCTCCGTAAATCTAACGATGCTGCTTGGCCTGGAACAGCAGTCTTTCACCGAACAGCTCTCCACCTTCCGCTGCTACTCCGAGAAGTTCTCAGAACTCGTCTACGAGCTATCAGAGGACTTCTTGATGACCGTTCAAACGATGAATGATATGGAGCAGCTACAGAACAACGTGGTTGTCTCCAAAAATTGCAGCCTGTCTGCCTTTGCAGATTACACTTCTTGTCTTATTCATGCAAAATGCTTTCTAGAGGTCATGCAGAAAAGACTACAACACATCTACATTTGAGATGAATAGCTGCATCATTGCTGTTAACTATTTATTTTTAGTACTTTTTGTACAATGAACTTGTATATGTACTGAAGGTTCTTGATGCACTAAATATTTATTGTAAACCTATTTATTGAAGAGTAAACAATACAGACGTGACTTTAATGCTCTTGTGTTTATTGAGATTCAAAGCGATTTAAGGCATTTGATAACATTTTACACACCAACATCTGAAAACACTCATAAGAAAACACACATCTTAAGAAAATGTTCTTTTCTTAAAACAAACATCCTATAAAGGGATATGGGAAAACTGACATATGCAGATCTAATCTGCAGTAATATATTGTGTGACATGAATAGGGCAAAGAACTTCCATGGAAATGACTCAAAATCTGGGAACAGAACGTTTCTAAAACCTCACAATCTGAACCGATGCTTTTTGTGCAACCAGGAGAAACAGAATCATGGGCGAGAAACAAGAGCAACATTCAGAGGTGTCTTGTTCTTTCTAAGACAAAAAAAAAAAGACCAATGAATCACTTTGGGGTAAAAATAAAAAGCTTTGTAACATCATATTGGACTTCCATTTCCCACTTTTTATGTTAAAATTGTGCAGAAACGACCAGATCCAAGCGAACCCAAGTGAAATATCTAACACTTTGCCAGTGTCAATCTTTGATCGCTGCTTTGTTCACTAGCGTTTCATTTTTCACAAGCATTTCACCTCATAGAAAAGCCAAACCTCTAAAGAGAATTCACATTAAAATGTTGCAATCTAAAAAAGCTTTGAATAAAAAACAATGCCTTTGAAAAACAAATACACAACAAAAAGCCACATCTGCCTGAGGAGTCATGGGCAAATGAAAACAAAAACATCCTGCAAGGACACTTGACCTTAGGACTGACGTTCACAGATATGTTTCCATATTTTCTCTCAAGCTTTGCCATTTTAAGAAGGAATAAAATAAAACTCCTCAATATGGATTTTGTTGAGTTTCTTTGATACAAATTAGTGTAACATGTAGTTTAAATCGGCCCAGGGGATCAGTCCAGATCACACAATAACCTCATGCACTAGCATGGACCTGAGTAACCATAAAACAATAGAAAACCCTTTTTGCAGAGAAAATCATTAATCTTTAATTGTAGTTCTTTAATGCGTACTGCTTTGTACGGTCGGTTCTGCTACATACAAGGGTTTAAAATAATTTGGCTCAGTCGTGTCAGAACATGCACGTCTGTGTTTATTTGTATTTTGATCCTTAGGCAGAATGCCCTAACGGCAGAAGTTAAGAGTGGATGGATTACACTGGTGTTAACCGGTAATCTACACTCACATGAGTAATTGAGCGATGTGAAATAGTGCTGATTGATCCCCACATGGGGTCTTACTAAATACACTAAAAATAAAACCACATCTCCCATTTGCACTAGAAAAAAAAAACCCTAGAATTCCGGATTTGTCTCCTGGTAAAAAAAATGTTTTATTCTGAACAAACATTCACTCTGTGCTTCCCTTTTTAAATACGTCCTTCACACAAAGAACACCTTTCCTTCCTAAATCCATATCACTGTTCGATGTCTAAACCACAAGTACCAGCTTCAAATAAAGTATTCAGGAGATCGGTGGAAGCAGTAGTCGTTTACTGCATCATTCCCATCAGTCAGCATGCCACAAACGTAAACAAGACCAATGTAGTACTTGTAGTAGTCTTTGTTTTTAATTACTTCTCTAGGACTTTCGGGATCTTTGGAAAACACATTCCAAAAAGTCTTACAGGAAGAGTAGATGTGCTTTCTTTGACGACTGGAGTCAAAAATGTTCACCTCAGCTCTCGCGAGTCGGACTACCGGTCTGTGGGTGCGACAGCTTCGATGGCTTCTTTAGGAAGGAGGGAGGGATCGGTCAAAATGGAGGTGGTCGTACTCAGCTGACGAAGTGTACTCAGCACCACTGAAGAACAGCAAACAAATAAACCACTAGAGTCAAAAGCACATTGATAACACACCGTGACCTTTAGCAGACTCTCACACCAACAAAATAATAAATAAATTAAAAAAAACAGCTGCAAAGTAAATTCATAATTATTAAATCTGAAGTGATTCCACTAAAACATGTGAGCAGCATGTCTGCTGTTCATCATTAGGAAGACTGTGTGTTCAAGCATGTTTTACTTGCTCTTTTCTTTGGTTTCTGAAGACAACTTCCTCCTTCAGCTGAAAGTGGGGTTAATAGGTACAGTCATAAAAACAGCAGGGCACAAATCTGTGGGCAGCAAAACGTAAATGGAAAACAACAAGCAAAGAAGACTAAACGTTTCCGTAGAAAGGACACTGTTTGGGAAACCCCACTTACATGCACCTCACACTCATTTGTTCATTTGGTGTTAGAATCATACTAAGACTGTTGAACTGAGAAAAAAAAATCTTCCGTTTGCAGAAACCAAACAAAATTTACTAATTAATCATTCAACAATTGCATTGACCTATCGTTAAAATATACATTGTTATTACTGATGAACAACAGTAATAAACACATAGAGGACTCTAACTGCTTGGCTCAGCAAATTAACATAATCAAACCAGACGAGATGAAGAAAAATGGCGGTGTGTTTAGCTAGCTTTGCATCCTTCTTCCAGGATGAAATGAGCATTAAAAGTGCAGAAAACCGTCATAAATCTGGCCATGTGGTAATTAGCAGCTATGCTGGGGAGAAGAGTTTCAGCAGCTTCTGATTTGTAGTCTTTAATTACAAAATTTTACAAACAATTACATCTCTAATTACCTGACAGACATAGTTGAAACACACACGATTATTTTTCATTTAAATTAAAGTATACAGCATTTGTGTGATTCAGGGGAAATATTGCCCCACTGACTTGCATCATTTTATTGGCAAAGGTAATCAAACATTTCTAGAAATCACAGAAAAAGAATGAATGAAATTCAGATATTTCTTTTTAATTCAACCGAATATTGAAAAACCAACTAATGAACAAAAATGAATTCAGTATCTGCTGCATGACCCTTTGAAGCAATCAAATGACTTACTCAACTCTCTGTGGGATTACATCACCTCTCCACCTGTCATGAGCAAACAGCTCCAGCTATCTCGGGTTTAAAGGGCGTCTTCTCCAGATGTTTCAGCTACTTCCACAGATGTTCAACAGGATACAGATCAGGGCACATAAGAGACCCCTTCTTAGCCATTCTTGGGTGTTGTTAGCTGTGTGTTTTGAGTCATTATCCTAGTGAAGGACCAGTGCCCTGCGACTGAGACCAAGCTTTCTGGCACTGAATCACTTTTGTTCAACAGCGGTGGGTGGTGCTATCTTGGAGTTCACCAAAAGTCTCTTTGGTTACGTTTGTATTATTAGCCTCTTCGGTTTATATTTACGTAAATTTATCTAGAATAGGTCTCAGTGTTGTTTCACTAGCCTGACCCCAGCTGGTAATACTATACCACATTTAGGATCGAATCACGGTATACATCACTATCTTGTCTGCGTCCAGAGAAAGACCATTTCTCATACGTGTGAATGTTGTGGCCATTTAAAAATAAAATGTGTTTATTCAAGTTTAATTTTCAATCCAGAATCAGGCTAGTTGATCAGAATTTGGTAACTGTCAGTTTTTCCACCTTTAAAGCTACAATAGAAAATCTAGCAAACAAAATAGCTCAACTTTTCTTCTTGCCTCTCAACAACTTTCTAACATAGGATAGCTATAAATATATTGTGGGGATGAAAAAAAACAAATAACAAAAAACAAAAATGAAGTGATTTTGTCGCATTTGTCTAAAAACCTCCGCCAACAACACAGCTTGGAAAGAAAGCAGCTATTGGACCATCCGGTTGTCGGTCGCGTCGAACTGCTGCACTTCCACATTTACCTGGGTCCTCCATTCATTACGTGATCATGCATTTTGCAGAACACCACTAGTGCAAGAGGTTCACAGCTCAATAATACCAGCTTAAAGCCAGCTGTATCTCCTCCTCTGGTATTATTTAGGACAAACTACCAGAGTTCCAAAAAGAAAAACACCATTACGCCGGGGATACACCGGCTGCCGAAGCGCAGCGAAGCGCCGGGAGGCGAAGCGCTCACGAAAATCGGCCGCTGCTCGCTACTCCTCAGTTCAGACCAGACGCTTGTTTCTCTGCTCCGGTCGAGGCGTGCCTCGTACTTTTTCTTGTGTCCTCCATTTCCTCTCTGCCTTTTCCTCTACACCCCCCTCCCCCTTGCTGTTTGTGTGTGTTTGTCCGCGTGTGTGTGAACCAGTTGTTAACAGCTGGTCTACGACTTTCTGCCTCTCTGTCCTGTTTGTTCTGGTTGAAAGACACCCAAAACCACACCCCCTTCACGTGGTCTCACACACACACACACGTTCGCTGTGTGTGTGTGTGTGTGTGTGTGTATGTGTGTGTGGTTTTTATGCAGTGTCTGTTTACGAACACATTTGACTATCGCAGAATTGTATTTTGAAATGCTTTATTTTGTTAAATTTACCGGCCTGCCTCTTATGTCTAGGTTTGACTTCCTGCCAGAATTGACGCGGTTCACCTGCGGCTCGTGAAAAAAATAGAGCAGACGCCGAAACGATCGCTGCACGGCGCGGGGCACTTCGCGGCCCATGTGGTCTATAGAATAGGATAACAAGGGCGCCGAATGAAGGCGGTCCCCGTTTCGTGACACTTCGGCGGCCGGTGTGTCCCCGGCGTTAAAAGTCACGGACAACAAAAGATGTATAGACCTAGAAAATGGACATTTATGTTTAGCACTCCCTCGTTACCTCTGACAATGCGGGTTCCGATTGCGGTGGGTGTGGCCCAGGGATGAGACCTGATGGGAGGGGTGAGTGTTCTGTAACCGTGTTTAAGTTTAAAAGCTAGCTTGTTTTATAACTTTGCTATTGCAGCTTTAATAAGAATATGATTTAGGGAGGTTACACCATAGCTTTAGAAGCTAACTTTACCAGATGCAGCATGTATAACTGTTTCATCTACATAAAATGTCCTGGGAGATCATTAATATAAAGATATTTTCACCCCTTTAAAAAGCAGACTGTGTAAGACTGAATTCTCATGTGGTGCTGATTACAGAGCAAACCTCAGCTTATCATGTCTATAGTTACATTATTTTCCATCTTTCCTATAGGCACCATCATTTTTGTCCAGACCGGTTTCATCAGTTTGTATTAGAAAATGTACATATATACTCTAAAAAATTTGGAATTAATAACATCTACAAATAGTGAGTGAGCGAATGAGTGAGTCTGTGAAAATTTCAAAGGAAAATTGTTTCCTTTGTGCAGAAGAAATTGCTCGTTCCCTAACAAGCTACAGAGCTACTACAGAATGATGGAAATCATTTGACATCATCGTTTTATCTTCAACAGCTAAACTCACTTAGTCAGGAAAAAAAAATTAAATTTCTTTCACTATTCAGAAATGGGTAAAATCCCCATTACATCATGGTAACTGGGCAGATGAGTGATATTTGAAGAGTTAGAGGTCAGTATCCCTAAAGTTTCATCATGATGACTATAGATAACTGCTCACATAAAATTTCACACTGGGTAAATGTGTGGAAACACTCGAAGCACGCACGCGCACACACACACACATAATGTAAACAGTCTGATTCTAATCACACAGTGGTGTTTTTTATGTTTTACTTACTGGGTCTAAGAACAGGAAGAGAACAATGATTATCAAGCCACTGCAGCGTGGTCTGGTGCAGCTCAGTCCGGCTCATTGTTGACACCATCCCATTGAAAGACTCAAATAGGGGCTTGATGATGATGCTGAACTAAAGCACATTACAGTCAAGGATCATTTCACATCAGAAAATGATATTTTACACCCTGCAGAATGAAAAAAATGAAGCAACAGGCTTGATCTTGTTGTCTTCTGTCAATGGATTAGGATTTATTTGATGACCAAAGCAGATTTATTTGTTTTTGGTCTAATATTACTCATTACGACCCCCCCCCCCCAAAAAAAAACAACTACCAAAACTGTTTTAAAACTTTATATAGTTTAGAAATAAAACATATTAATGCAAGCCTGACAAGGCATCCTAGATATGTAAATATAAAGTCCCATAGACAGATCTACCGTTGTCATTTAAACTGCCTGTGCACACAACTGGACAATGCTAGGACCAATCAGAGAAATGTGACGATTTCATAGCAACAGAGATCGATCAACAGGACAATCTGCCATACACTGTCCTTTTTAAACAAAGGACCTAAGTGTCTCCATCTGTCTCAAAGAAATGCCTAAAGCCTAGTTCATACTTATCCGTCGGCAACTTTGCGCTCACACACACAACCTACTGATGGAGATGATTTGCATTTATACTCCTCCATTGGTGGATCAGATTTGTGAAGAAATTCTCCCCAAGGACAGCAGAAGACGAAGCGCTTTTCTGGTGCATCCTGCCGTTATTGCAGTCACACCTTTAGTGTGTTTATATATTTCAGAGACTTTTTAAAACAGACAAATTTTCCTCCACCTCTTCATCCAGTCTTCACCTCTAAACTCACGTTTCTTGTAATTTCCTGACACGAATAAAAAGTCTGCTGCGTATCTTTGTATTTCTTCAGTCACGGGTGTATAAATGTTTTATAACAGACTTTTTCCGCGAGACGTTCTTCAATCTGCTTCGTGCCGGCCGCAAGACATGTTCAGCTCTCGTTTTATTTCTTTGAGGCAGAATGGCGGTGCTGTTGACAAATCATAGGCTTGCAGTATTTAGAAAGGTGGGCTCTAATCCGTCCGCCCTAGCGATGACGAATAATGGTGTTGCGTTCCTCCGTACTGATGCAGACGGAGAAGCAGAGGTGTGGACTCGAGTCAGACTTAAGTCATTATTTTAATGACTTTTGACTTGATACAATATACAGGGAGTGCAGAATTATTAGGCAAGTTGTATTTTTGAAGAATAATTTTTTTATTCAACAACAACCATGTTCTCAATGAACCCAAAAAAAAAACAATATCAAAGCTGAATGTTTTTGGAAGTAGTTTTTAGTTTTAGTTATTTTAGGGGGATATCTGTGTGTGCAGGTGACTTACTGTGCATCATTATTAGGCAACTTAACAAAAAACAAATATATACCCATTTCAATTATTTATTTTTACCAGTGAAACCAATATAACATCTCCACATTCCCAAATATACATTTCTGACATTCAAAAACAATACAAAAACAAACCAGCGACCAATATAGCCACCTTTCTTTGCAAGGACACTCAAAAGCCTGCCATCCATGGATTCTGTCAGTGTTTTGATCTGTTCACCATCAACATTGCGTGCAGCAGCAACCACAGCCTCCCAGACACTGTTCAGAGAGGTGTACTGTTTTCCCTCCTTGTAAATCTCACATTTGATGATGGACCACAGGTTCTCAATGGGATTCCGATCAGGTGAACAAGGAGGCCATGTCATTAGTTTTTCTTCTTTTATACCCTTTCTTGCCAGCCACGCTGTGGAGTACTTGGACGCGTGTGATGGAGCATTGTCCTGCATGAAAATCATGTTTTTCTTGAAGGATGCAGACTTCTTCCTGTACCACTGCTTGAAGAAGGTGTCTTCCAGAAACTGGCAGTAGGACTGGGAGTTGAGCTTGACTCCATCCTCAACCCGAAAAGCCCCACAAGCTCAGCTTTGATGATACCAGCCCAAACCAGTACCCCACCTCCACCTTGCTGGCGTCTGAGTCGGACTGGAGCTCTCTGGGCTTTACCAGTCCAGCCACGGGCCCATCCATCTGGCCCATCAAGACTCACTCTCATTTCATCAGTCCATAAAACCTTAGAAACATCAGTCTTGAGATATTTCTTGGCCCAGTCTTGACGTTTCAGCTTGTGTGTCTTGTTCAGTGGTGGTCGTCTTTCAGCCTTTCTTACCTTGGCCATGTCTCTGAGTGTTGCACACCTTGTGCTTTTGGACACTCCAGTGATGTTGCAGCTCTGAAATATGGCCAAACTGGTGGCAAGTGGCATCTTGGCAGCTGCACGCTTGACTTTTCTCAGTTCATGGGCAGTTATTTTGCACCTTGGTTTGTCCACACGCTTCTTGCGACCCTGTTGACTATTTTGAATGAAACACTTGACTGTTTGATGATCACGCTTCAGAAGCTTTGCAATGTTAAGACTGCTGCATCCCTCTGCAAGATATCTCACTATTTTTGACCTTTCTGAGCCTGTCAAGTCCTTCTTTTTACCCATTTTGCCAAAGGAAAGGAAGTTGCCTAATAACTATGCACACCTGACATAGGGTGTTGATGTCATTAGACCACACCCCTTCTCATTACAGAGATGCACATCACCTAATATGCTTGATTGGTAGTAGGCTTTTGAGCCTATACAGCTTGGAGTAAGACAACATGCATGAAGAGGATGATGTGGACAAAATACTCATTTGCCTGATAATTCTGCACTCCCTGTATAAAGACTTACGACTTGACTCGGACGTGAATTCCAATGACTTGCAATTTGAATCGACTGGCATCTGTTGACTTGATGGTGACTTGAACATATTTTAGCACAAAAGTGGCACGATATGGACAAAAATCATAAATCATTCTTCGTTCTGAGTTAGATTTACTGCTAAATGCACTTTGTTTATAATCAGTGTCAGATGCACTTTCTGCTTGTTTGAGCAAATAAATGAAGCTTTAAGCTTTAATTCTGGAATTTATTTATTATCTTTGTCATTAAATTGAAGTTGGACAGATGACTTGATTATGACTTGAAAATTAAAAGTTTAGGACTTGGACTTGACTTGGACTTCCAGATCACTGACTTTAGACTCGACTTGGACTTTGTTGTCTTTGACTTGGACTTGACTTGAGACTTGACTGGAAAGACTTGTGACTTGCAAAGCAATAACTTGGTCCCACCTCTGCGAAGAAGTATAAACTAGCCTTAAGTCTATATTATCCAAAGTTGATGCCAAAGCTGCTTCAAACGGGCGCCGTCCCCGCTTCAATGACAATAATTGAGAACCACTGGGCTAGACCGACCTGCAGAGCTTAACTTTCTGCTACTGCGATGGCTTGTCTAGATGTCTAAACTATATAAATACAACAGATGCTTAATAATTCAACCTTGCCTAAGTTTGACAGATTCCCAATGCTGTACTGTACTTAGTTTGAGAACCACAAAAAAGGACTTGTCTCAGCCCTGTTTTTATTTTAAATCCTTGGTTTTACCTAAACTTGTGTAGAACGACAGTAAAAATGGCCACGACACACTATAGTGGTGATGGGAGCATCACACGGTTTGGTAAGAGAGTTCCTCTGTCGCAAAGGAAAAAAGCAGCAACTGCTCACAACACTTTAAGAAGAAATGTTGTGGATTTCCTCTGAATGAATTAAAAAAAAGAAACACTGATTATCTGACCCAGCTATCTGAGCTTCAGAAAATATTTCCCCATAGCAGAAGGCTGCTGTGGCCACAGAATTACTGGTGACAGACAAACTTAGTCATTTGTGCGGTGACTCAGTGAGAATTGATGATGTCTTAAACAGAAGGTACAAGCCCTAGACTCAGTAACTTGATAAACAGATCATTTTACGTTTCCATCACATAATAATCAGCAGCTGAGTTAAATATTTATCAAAGAACGGTTTATTAAACAGCTTGTCTCATTGAAGGATACGATCCAGAACTTCCAGTTCTGCAGAGTGCGTGTCTTCACGTATTCGTCGAACTTCTCTTGCATGTAGTCCAAACGACTCCGCCTCATGTGCACACCTGTCGCAGGTAGCTGCTCCTGACATAAGCTGTGGTTAACCAGACAGGGAAACAGAAGGAGAGGCCAGGCCATTTGTTATCTTATCTGGCCAACTTAGTGCAGAGGGTAATACTTTAGGCTTCACTTCTAAACAGCCAGAATTTCCTTGTAGTCGCATGAAGAGCCTTTTATGACTAAATGATGTGTTTAGTGGATTAGTATTAAAAAAAATCACTGCAAAAATAGTGAGGCACTAGCTTGAAATTATTTATCCAAAAATAAAAACTGAAAGACATCCAGAAAGTTTGAAGAACTGTGGTTCACGTGTTTAATCAATACATTTGCAGTAGTCTCTGGTAGGAAGGAATGAGTGCCTTGTAAGTTGTGCTCAGGGCAAAAAAAAAAAAGCCCAGAATCGCTTGGATCAGCACCGACAAGTTGTTGCAAAGATCATTTGCTGATATCTGAATATCTCACCTCAGATTGGATAACAGCAACGCAACTCTACCAATGACTTGCAACGTGGATGTTTCATCTCCACAAATAACTCAAGCCTGGAGGAGCTTCTACTGTGTGGTGGTGTTGCTAATGCTAACGGTTAGCTTCTACTAGTCGAGACGTTCTCTGTTGTTTTCTGGACACTAAGAAAATAGGTGTAGGAGACTATTTTCAAGTTCAGCCTGCATAAAAAACTCAAGAGTGACTGATTATAATAAAAAATAATCATATTTTTTTTTCTTCAGTGTTCCACACCTTTAAAGGTGGGGTCTGAGATTCTTTTCTGGAGTATGTTTTGCCCTATTGCCTAAAATGCTTTTCACATTCTGATGGCAACACTGAAACTAAATGTTTGTTAAAAAAAAATTGAATTTTAATCGCCTCTGAAATATACAGGTGCTGGCCAGTAAATTAGAATATCATCAAAAGGTTGAAAATATTTCAGTAATTCCATTCAAAACGTGAAACTTGTACATTATATTCATGCAATGCACACAGACCAATGTATTTCCAATGTTCATTACATTTAAATTTGATATTCATAAGTGACAACTAATGAAAACTCCAAATTTGGTATCTCAAAAAATTAGAATATTCTGAAAAGGCTGAATATAGAAGACACCTGCTGCCACTCTAATCAGCTGATTTACTCAAAACACCTGCAAAGGCCTTTAAAAGGTCCCTCAGTCTTGTTTTGAAGGCACCACAATCATGGGGAAGACTTCTGACTTAACAGCTGTCCAAAAGACAATCATTGACACCTTGCACAAGGAGGGCAAGACACAAAAGGTGATTGCTAAAGAAGCTGGCTGTTCGCAGAGCTCTGTGTCCAAGCACATTAACAGACAGGCGAAGGGACGGAAAAAATGTGGTAGAAAAAAGTGTACAAGCTCTAGGGATAACCGCACCCTGCAGAGAATTGTGACGACAAACCCATTCAAAAATGTGGGGGAGATCCACAAAGAGTGGACTGCAGCTGGAGTCAGCGCTTCAAGAACCACCACGAGGAGACTCATGAAAGACATGGGATTCAGGTGTCGCATTCCGTGTGTCAAGCCACTCTTGAACAAGAAACAGCGCAAGAAGCGTCTCGCCTGGGCCAAGGACAAAAAGGACTGGACTGATGCTGAGTGGTCCAAAGTTATGTTTTCTGATGAAAGCAAGTTCTGCATTTCCTTTGGAAATCAAGGACCCAGAGTCTGGAGGAAGAGCGGAGAAGCACAGAATCCACGTTGCATGAGGTCCAGTGTAAAGTTTCCACCGTCAGTGATGGTGTGGGGTGCCATGTCATCTGCCGGTGTTGGCCCACTCTGTTTCCTGAGGTCCAGGGTCAATGCAGCCGTCTACCAGGAAGTTTTAGAGCACTTCATGCTTCCTGCTGCTGACCAACTTTATGGGGATGCAGACTTCACCTTTCAACAGGACTTGGCACCTGCACACAGTGCCAAAACCACCAGCACCTGGTTCAAGGACCATGGTATCCCTGTCCTTGATTGGCCAGCAAACTCGCCTGACCTTAACCCCATAGAAAATCTATGGGGTATTGTGAAGCGGAGGATGCAATACGCTAGACCCAACAATGCAGAGGAGCTGAAGACGACTATCAGAGCAACCTGGGCTCTCATAACACCTGAGCAGTGCCACAGACTGATCGAGTCCATGCCACGCCGCATTACTGCAGTTATTGAGGCAAAAGGAGCCCCGACTAAGTATTGAGTGCTATACATGCACATTCTTTTCATGTTCATTCTTTTCAGTTGGCCAACATTAGAGAAACAAACATTTTTTCATTGGCCTTTAGAATATTCTAATTTTCTGAGATACCAGATTTGATGTTTTCATTGGTTGTCACCTATAAATATCAAAATTAAACGTAATAAACATCGGAAATACATTGGTCTGTGTGCATTGCATGAATATAATGTACAAGTTTCACGTTTTGAATGGAATTACTGAAATATTTTCAACCTTTTGATGATATTCTAATTTACTGGCCAGCACCTGTACAGTCCTGGAAAAACCTCAGCAAATCATTGTGAATGTTTGCTTTTGAACAGTGCTACGCGTGATGCTCCTACTTTATAGATGCGCTGAGCTCCTCTATCTCCTCTCGCAGTCTCCTGACCTCCTCCTGCATCTGCTGCCTCTCCTGCTGCAGCTTACCAATGTGCTCCACCGTCTTCTGCAGGGTGACCGCGTTAGTAATCTGAGGGGGAAAAAAGTCAAGAAACACGTTGGCTAATTTCATTTTGGAGTGCGTGCTGCCCAACTCCAGTAGCAGGGACTCACATTAGACTGTGACTTGAGAGTGGGAACCAAAGTGCAGAGTGTCTTGAAGCCGATGTTGATGTTTGATCGTCTCTTTTGTTCAGCAGATACGTGGGGTGTCCTCCGGCTCTGTTGCATAACACCAATGAAAATTTCTGCGTTTGTTCTGAGTGCATCTTTGTTGGGATTCAACATGGAGAGTGGAGTTGAATTTTCCGTCTGAACTTGGATCTGTAACCGAGGAACAAACCTGCTTGTACTCATTCTTTATCAGAACTGAGCAGCTGCTGATGATTGACTGAGGACTGGGAACTTGATCTAACCCGTGAGGGGACCCTTGACTGGACCCCGGATTACTGTGAACTAAAAAAAAACAACAAAAAGAAACACAAGGTTTTACTGAAGTAGCAAGCTTTAAATCTTGAGATGTTTTCATCTTAGAAATAAATCTCACCGCCACCGGCGGTCTCCTTCTGATTGTTTTGACAAGTAGAAAATGACTTTTCACTTGTGGCGATAGACTGAGGAGACTTTGGTGTAGGAGACAACATCTGAAACCCAGACGCCTGAATAAAAAAAAACCAATAATAATAAATTAAGTTATCCGTGGGCTTTACTTTGTAGCTAATAATCTTAAAAGATGCCATTTATAGCTGACTTTCAAAATAAAATGAAATCATACCGCTCCAAGCTGGGAGGGGGTAATGACCACTCCAGTGGGGGCTGGGGATGAAACGATCACAGCACCTGGATGACCTGAGAACGGGGCTGAGAACATTTGTGTGCATTCATATATACATTTAAAATAATTATAACAGATAACTTATTAGCTTGGTTTTAGAATAATTTAAGAAGTTGATCTTGCAAAAATATTCTAAAACAAATATTCACAATTCCTAAGTCTTTATAATTAATCTGACATGAATTTTTAAAGATTTTAGTAAATTATTTAAAGAACCAAAGACACTAGACTGTCCATCCATCCTGCCGTTCATTTTCGGTCGCTTATCCAGGGGGCATTCAACCCTTTTCCGACTAATGACCATGGTCTTAGGACACTTGAGACACTACAATTTACTATATTCATCAAAACCTCAGCATTTTACTTAAAGAAGTCCTTCACACATTTCTAATACATTTGCAGGGGTCATTAGTAGGAATGAATGCCCTGTAAGTCATATATGGGGGCGAAAAAACTCCAGTGCACCTGTTTCAGCATGGAGAATTCAGCCAAAGGAGAAAGTAGTTTCAGACGACGGAATCTGGAGTCTTATTTCCTGATATTTGGACATCTCGCCTCTGATTGACTAGCAGCAACGTGACTCCACCACTGGCTCCAGTTGCTTTGCCAGTTGATGTTTCATCTACACTAATAACTCAAGCCTGACGGAGTTCTGCTGTGTGGCAGAGTTGCTAATGCTAATGGTTAGCTTTACTAGTCAAGATGTTCTCTGCTGTTATGAGTCAAGATGGGTGAGTCCATACATGTTAAGTGACGGTGTGACGTAGATCTGTCAGGCTTTTCACATCCTAGAGTTTATCCATCTATTTTCTATCAGAAGCTAATGCAGGAGATAGGTCTAGGACACAATTTTCATGTTACGTTCACGTGTTAAAGTCAGAGCGACTGATTATTTTCAAAAATTATAGGTAAAAAATGGTTTCTCAGTGAATCACCTCTTTAAAATCTTCAAGCAGATCAAAATAGTTATGGTGACAAAGAATACAATCAATACATAAGAAAACAACCACACAAACCTGGAAAGAGGAGGTGGGAAGAGAGGGCTGGGGCAATCCGTTGCACCGGACGGACTTTGCTGGAGTTTCCCTGAAAAGAGCGAGGCATGGCGAAGACTTTAGGCTGCTGGACGTGAGTGGCGGGAAGCTGGGCCCGAGGCTTGACCTTAGACGAAGAAGCGGAGATGTTGCTGAAGGTGGTAGTCTTAACACTGGGTGTGACGGTAGAAGGGGAGGTGTGTGTAACCACAGAGGTAGGGATGGTCTCATCCAACACGCTCAGAGGGAAAGGAACCATGGGTCCTGCTGGGGTCAAAGTCTGACTTGGAAGGCACTGCGCCGGAGGATCTTGGGACAAAGGCCGGGAGACAGAGGAAGCTACTGGTGGATCGCTGGACGTCACCTGTCCACCAAACAGGGGCATGTAGTTTGGTACGTATGCAGATTTGCCACCAGCATCTGTCTGACTGGCCTGGCTGTCCATTGGAGAACGGGGGGGCAGGGGGCTGGTAGGGGTTATTTGGCTGCCTGAGAGCTGAAGGGAGGACATTAACGGTGTCTGGTGAGAGGTCAGAAAGGGGGAAAAAAACCCTCATCATTTTCTAATGATGCAATATCATAAACATGAAACGGCTCCATTCAATGCATGTTAGTTAGAAAGTCCATGTGGCTCTAGTTAAGTTTACCACAGTAATCAGTCTGCCTCTGGCTGAGGCAGATTTATTCATTTATTTCATTAGTGGTTAATTATGTTTACTTGGAATGTTAGCCTAATGCAGGCTAATTATACAGCTTGTTTTGTCAAGCAAATCCCTCCATAAACTGCAGCTTCTCCAGAATGCTGCAGCACGTGTCATCACTAGGACTCCCATCCTCTCATCACATCACCCCCATCCTGCAACAACTTCATCGGCTCCCCATTAAACAGAGAATCAGTTTTCAAAATTCTGCTCACCGCATTCAAAGCTCTCCATAACCTGGCTCCATCCTACATTTCTGATCTCATTCACATCACCGCTCCTGTCCGCGCTCTTCGTCCCTCTACTGCTACTCAACTCTCGGCTCCCCCCGCTCGCCTTGCCACCATGGGGAGTAGAGCATTCAGCCGCTCTGCTCACCACCTCTGGAATTCTCTTCTCCCTGATCTACGCACCACTCACTCTCTCGCACTTTTTAAATCAAAACTCAAAACCCACCTCTTCACACAGGCTTTTACCACACAGTTTTAATACATTGTGTTAAATTTGAGCATCCTAGTGTTTTTACATATTTCTGTACTGTTCATCTTGTTTTATTATTTTTCCCCATTGTTGTAAAGTGTCCTTGGGTGTCATGAAAGGCGCGATTAAATAAAATGAATTATTATTATTAGTATTAGTATTATTATTGTTGTTTTCCTTGTTGTGGTTCTAGTTCCGAGGAATTATAATGCATCTACATTAGGACAGAAGGAGGGTAGAGGTTATCTGTGTGTGTAAATATATAAACTAAATCCTCCCGACACAAACGGTAATATTGGAGTGTGTTAGGGGTTGAGCTCTGGCTCGGTGTTTACCTGCGTCTGAGAGCTGCTGCTGGGTTGAGGGGTGACAGATGATGCAGTGGGGGGAACAGAGGGGAAGACAGGCTGACGGAGGCTGTGAAATAAGTCTGGAACAAGAGTCTCTATGTTAGCTGGAGGTTAGTAAAACCACACTACGTCTTCTTATGTTAGGCTAAGCCGACTGCTAAAGCAGCGTTACTAAAACAAGGGTTCTCCTATAGAGTGTGTTCCATTAGTTAGTGTACAGCAGCGGCTTTTGTCTTATTGCTACCTTGTAGAGGGTCAAAGGAGTCCATGAAGTCAAGGTTGGGTTGTAAGGGGATGAGTCCTGGTTGGATCATGTCTGCATTCCCTGCATGAGCTGTGGAAGGTGAAGGCAGACGCCAGGTGAACATGACGATATTTCACAGACACATTTATGAAAATGTGTTGGGTGATGATGACATTTCTCACCGATTTCCCTTGGGTTGGGCCAGGCTATAGGCTGGTGTGAGGCCAGCGTGGAGAACAAGGTGTCAGAGAACTCTGACATCAGAACGTCCATGTCAAAGAGCGGGTCCATCTCCATGGGGGCAGGCATTTCATTATGCTTGCGAGACGCTCGCCGTACAGCAAGCTCTTCATCCTGGTAAAAGGAAGCACGGACCATGTCTGGAGATACTTCCCCAAACAGTGACAACTGCTCCTCTGGACCCTTTAAATTTTTAGAATGCAACCATCGAGGCAGTTAATATCACACAAGCATGCAGTGGGATGCACAACTAACACAAGTATGCAATTCATGCAATATACTTGCAAAAACATTTCCTCTTTAACTCCTTTACTGCTATTCACGACAAACGTCGTCATTTTAAATCCAATCGCTCGCAGCCGTTGACGGCAAAAGTGGTCAATAGCATTTTCAAGGTGCGGGCGTCAGAACGAGCCCCCACACCAAGAGAATTAACATCACGTCTCTAAAGCCGACCTTCATCCACGTATGTCACACGTCACGTGATCAAGAAGCAGAAGATCCATGAGTTAGGAGATCGTTTTGGGCTGCTGCTGTCAAAAAAGCGAGGCGCGAACCAGAAAAGCTTCTGCCGCTCACAATTCGACAACGGATTATGAAAGAACAGATAACGCTAGAAACGCGCTGATTCTGCCTGAAGTAAGAAGTGTCTACTCTTTATTTTGGTAGTTTGGGTGTCTACATCATCATAGAGCACAATGTTCTGTGACTCTTCATAAAACAGTAAAAACGTTCAAAAACGCTAGCAGCCAGGGGCTTACTGATCAGGAAACGGCTGGCAATGAATGAGTCAATAGCCAGTGCTGTGCAAGAGCTTTAGGCACTTTAGAAACAACAGTCTGCTTCCTGCAGAGTTCTGATGACGTCCGCCAAAAGATAATTACCTGGTATTGTCTACTTTTCTTCAAGTGCCAAAAACTGTTGCACAACACTGTGTTTGTGTTGGTAAATGACTAGCTAAATGAAGAGTATAAGCTGTCAAACCCACAGGTATGTATATTCATAGTATCTTATGAAGTACACACATTGATCATGTTATATCAGAGTTTTTTAGGTGAACTAATCAGGATGCAAGTTTGCCTACCTTCAGTAAGCTTGAGAGGTCGTCGTCTTTGTGCTTCTGTAGCTATAAATGAATGTGAACCACATTCGAAAACAAGGTTTTATCATTAAAATTAAAATAATAATAGTACGAATGCAGAATAAAGTGTTATGGTGCATTTAAACAGAAAATAATACCCTCTTTTTAAAATATGTTCTCCACTTGTGGTACTCTCTTATAACTATTTCAATTCTTCTTTTCCAACATTTTCCATCTGTTGCAACAACCTGCAGAAGAAAGGCAGAAACAGGAACTAAACGGAAATGTGAAACGCACAGAAAGCACGAAAAAAATTTATAAACTAACCAAACAAGTAATAAGAAGAAACTGCATAAGAACATTTTTATGTACGGTTTTCTTTACCTCAGCAGGACGATTGACATCCGAGTCCATGTTTCCATCCAGGGGGGTTACAAAGTGACAAACAGGATTTTCCCTTTTCTCCACATCTGGGAAACAAAAATACAGATTGAATCCCAATTTGAAAACTTTTCTGAATAAATACCATCTTGCAGCTGGACTTAAATTACTTCACTCGTCATTAAATACTGAGCAGTTTAGCCACATTAAAACCAAGTACAAGGTAACGTGGAGCTCTTACACTGCATGTACCAGGCTCTCCAAATGGCATTGTTCAGACGGATCTTGTCTCGCCACAGCAGCTTTAAACCTTTAAAGTTCTTCCACTTTGGAGAAACTAACTTCCCACTGGAAAAGGAGAAAAAAAAGCAAAAGGAAAGTGATAAGAAAGGTAAAACATCCAAAATATCAACATGTGGATGATGTCCAGTTCATTCTGTCAGTTTCACATTCTCACAAATGTGTGTCACATCATGAGATCAGATGTTTCATTGGTTAATTTGTTAAAGATTTGAGTTAAAACCCGTGAATTTGATAAGAACACAAAAGCCTTGCAGCTCACAAGACTAATATTTGCTCTTTTTACCACAAAACCAGCATCACTCTCACCAAGAGGCACATTTTGCTGATAGTGGGTCACATATCTGCTAACAGATTATTTTAATGGCCTAAATTTGGCTCAATGCCCACCAGGAGGAGATAAACGGGTCAAAATACAAATAAACTTCCTGTGTAATATCTGGAACTGTTAAAACAAACTACATTTGCACTTTCTTTTCCAAAGGTGATTGGTTTGTGTTCACAGGATCATGCAAGTGAAACAGTATCCTGACAATCCAGGTCATCGGAGTGTGTGCGTGTGTGTCCCGGTTTGGTTACAGAATGACAATAGCAAGCTGCGTGAGTGTCGGAGAAAACAGCATTCCTGTTCTTTACTGAGGATTAACGCTAAAAACTGTAACAAACAAACAAACTCGAGATCATTTTTATAAGATGAACGATGACAACAAAAATAAGCAACTGGTCTATTCCTGTGAGTGAGAAGTTTAGTCCGAGGGAATCCTTCTACCAGCTGGCACCAAGACTGCAACTGTAAATAGAAAACCAGGAGTAACATGAGCCGTACAATTAATATCTTACTACCATCAGCTGAATTTCTATTAACATTTATGTAAAATGCTTTTGCACATGTAAATAATAACCCTGGTTTCACATGGTGAGGCAATGTCAATTATGTGGTTTCAGTGCATTTTGAAAGAAAAAAATTTGAAATAAGATTTCTGGTATTTTGTTAATTAAAAAGTACAGGGATGAATGTTACTGTCACAAGCATTTATCAAATAATAATTATTAAAATTGCTTATGACTGACCTACTAATACAAATTAATTTTGGACCCTAGAGTAGAGGTCGACCGATATTGGTTTTTCTATTGCCGATACCGATATGTAGGAGACATGATCAAACGATGACCGATGGGTCCTGCTAATTTTTATGGTCTGATTTTCATGGCCGATATTCAGGTGTTTTCCATCCTATTTTCATGCTTAAATGTCACTAACGACATCAGTTGATGCACAAAATGTCAGAAGCTGAATCAGTTTTTGAACTCTGAATTTAACTAACAAACCTCAACTTGTGCACTTTTCAGTGTTAAAGTCAGACACCTAAATAAAGTTAAATTGGAGTATTTATTATGCAGATGTTATTGGTGAATGTAAAATATATTTAAATTAAATTCTGCAACAGCACCGGGCTGCCCGAGGTTGTGTTAGATCGGCCATTGCCGACGGTACATGTCGGTCTACCCCTACTCGAGTGTGTTGGATAATTCAAGAAATAACAAAGACTGATCTGAAACATGTGTATAAGTATTATTTCAACATTGTCCATGGCTGAATTATCAACTTATGCAGAGAAAAAATGTTATTAAAATACTGAGTGTTTGAGGATGAAGAAAACTTAAAAACTGCTTTTTAAAATCATACATTTTTATAGATTTCCCCCTCAAATAATTTCAAGCTTCCTCAACTCAGCCTTTATTTATAAAGCACTTTACAGGCATGAGCATGCCACCAAGGTGCTGTACAACAAAAGAATAAAACAATAAAACATATAGCGCTACAGACATAATTAAAACCACAAATAAGAATTACGAAATATAAAACATTAACAATTGCTAACCCACAGAATTAAAAGCCAGATCATAAAAGTAGGACTTCAGCCTCATTTTAAAAACTGCTACTGATGGAGAGCCCCTAATAGTTAGGGGCAGTGCGTTCCACAGTTTCGGACCTGCAACAGAGAACACGCCCTGTCCCCTCCCAACTTCAACCTAGCCTTAGGAGCAACAAGCAGCAGCTGGTTCTCAGAGCGGAGTGACCGGGCCGGAACATATGGCTGCAGCAACTCCGTCAAATAGGCTGGAGCCACACCATTCAGCGCCTTAAACACCATTAAAAGAAGTTTCAAACAAATTCTAAAATCAACAGGCAACCAGTGGAGAGCAGCCAAAATTGGTGTCACGTGTTCATGCTTCCTTTTGTTGTCCAAGAGTCTTGCTGCAGCATTCTGGACAAGCTGCAGTGGTTTACAGTACCCAAATAAAACGGAATTACAATAGTCGAGTCGTGAGATAATAAAAGCATGAACAACAGTCTCAAGGCCACGTCTAGATAAAAACGGCTTTACTTCAGCCAAACGTCTTAAATGATAAAATGAAGAGGATACTACAGTACCCACATGAGCATCCATGCAGAATGCACTGTCCATCTTCAAGCCAAGACTGACTGCTGAAACACCCAAATAGGAGTTCAGTTCACGCAGTCTACGTTTGAAAAATCAACATGTCCACTCGGACCAAACAACAGTGCCTCTGTTTTTTTCCCATTGAGACACAGGAAGTTTTCTGCCAACCATATCTTTATTTCTGCCAGACAATCCAAAAAAATGTTTTATCGCGTGATCACCGGCGCCATGTAGAGGCAAGTACAATTGGCAGTCGTCAGCATAGAGATGGAATCCAATTCCAAACTTTCGTAAAATGTCACCCAATGGGAGAATATAAAATGAAAACAGCAAGTGTCCCAGTATTGAACCCTGCGGTATCCCCCATGGCAGATGTGAGAAGCCCGATGAGAAACCACCCATCCTCACACAAACCATCATGTCATGTAAACATGATCTAAACCAATTTAGGGCTTGCCCAGAAATTCCCACATAATGTTCAAGGCGATGGAGCAACACTTCCTGGTCTACGGTATCGAAAGCTGCTGTAAGATCCAATAGGACCAGCAGCACTGGACTGCCACCATCTGTTGCTAAAAGAATGTTAATGACCTTTATAAGGGCAGTCTCGGTACAATGCAACATTTTAAAACCTGATTGGAGGGTCTCTAAAATATCAACGTCCTTAAAGAAGTCCAGGAGTTGAGTATAGACACATTTTTCAAGCATCTTACCCAAAAAAGGGAGCTTGGAGATTGGCCTATAATTCACTGGTAAGGAAGCATCCAATCCAGTTTTTTTTAAAAGTGGGTGAATAACGTTTTTTTAATCCATCGTACAAAACCAAAAGCCAAACTGTTATTGATTATGTGCAAAATCAGTGGTGCAACTGTTTGAAAAACTTAAAAACTGCTTTTGAAATCATACATTTTCTTGCACTAATTTTTAAAATTAATACAAAAGCTGATTACTCAGACAGCTGATGTAAAAACGAGTCATTATTACCAAACTATTGTTAATTTAGCTAATTTTCTCACTCCTCTACGTCAATACGAGACTCCAAAAAGCTTAGCAATAACATTACACATCATATCATGACAGATGTCATCGTGTTGCCTTTAATTTGTAACAAGATATAAAAAACGTAGCCTATAAGCTCATTTTGGCTCAATAATGCTACTCAACTGATCCTATTGGTCTTACAATGTCCACTCTCAAATAAAACACCAACACAAGTCTAATTAGATTTGTTTAAAACATTAAATACATTTTCATTTATATCTTTTTTGGTTTAGACAAAGTTACTGCGCATCAATTAGTCCTCATGCTAACAATTATTGCACAACTTAATATAGTTGGGTGTAAAACGTGTGAAAGGAGGTGTTTACTTCGCAGACTACTTTCATTTTTGCTGATACTTGCAAACTTCTTCAGATGACTGGTCCAACAGGAAATGACATGAAGATTAGACTCGTGACTGTGACTGGATACCACACTGGGCTAAAGTAAAAGTGCCCATGTGACAGGTGCGTGTAGCAGCTTACCTGTAGGCGAGGGTCATGCATTCAAAGAGTTTAGTCAGGGACGCGTCGATAGAGAGGTGCGACATGCTCGCCTTGCCAAAATGATACGTCTGGCAGGTCTGTTTGTTCACAGTGTCGAAGTCGTAGCCCTTCTTCGGGGGGTGCTCGCAGTGAGGCGACGACACCATAAAGTGTCCGCTGTGGATGATCTGGGACTCCAGTCCGTCCGCCCTCCGTAGCCCCAGCAGCTGGCTCTCCTCCGTGTCCGAGTCATCATCCTGCTCCTGCTTTACGTTGACCGCCGGCCGAAGGTCCGCCTGCCGCTGATACATCTCCCTGCTAGCCATATCGGTGCAAACAAATAGCTAACGTTAGCCAGCGAGCTAGGACAATAACACCGTCTCTTTCATGAAGCTGGCCAGTGGCGCCGCGTTCGAGTCCGGTTTTTAAAGTTGCCCAACTCCGTGCCATGTATGCGGAGTTGTCACTTCATCCATAATCCAGCCGGCTCCAGGTCATTCAGCGGCCCGTGTAAACTTATGAGCTTTGTTTAGGTAGTTGACGTAGCTGTAAACCAGCTGACAAAAAGCTGTTCCTCTCTGTGGAACAGGAAGTTCCTTTGTTTCAGCGTTTCTGATTGGTTAGTTATAGCCACGCCCACAACATGATGCCCAAAATAAACAGAAGCGGCACAAGACAAGACAGTCTTCTCTTATAGCTATTATTCTCCAAGCCAAATACACAGTGAAATCTCTGGTAAACAAAAACAAGTATTATTTTAGGTGTTATTGCATTCCAAAGTCCCTTAGATTTTGAATATCTTGCCAACAGTAATTATGAAGTTGGCTGATTTTAGAGCTTTTATTCTCAATGATAGTTTTTATTTTAAAAGCCAGAAGTTGTGTCTGCATAATGCATATCCAGTGCCAAGACGGAAACAGCTACATTATTGATAAAACAGTTTGAATGCTCTGCCCCTGGATAAATTCATTGATTTGATGTTTTTACGTGACAGCTGAATTTACCATACTGAACATAATGTAACAAAAACAGAATTTTATCCAGTCAGGACTGGATGTCAATGACTGACAACCTTCAGTGGGATTCAAACAAAAATCAGCACACATTACATGTTAAATTTGCAGAGTGTAAATGTATTTAAAATTTGAATATGAGAAAAAAAACTTAAGTAAATGTAAAAACAAAGTGTGACTATAAATGTTTATTAAAATAAAGTAGGAATTGAACATTCGGAGTTGGCGCTGCTGTTGTGTAACAGCATCATAAATGTTACACAATTGTGTAACAGCATCATAAATGTTACACAACTTTATGTCACACTTGTAAATGAGGACTTTAAAAACATGTACTCACATTTAAAATATTTTTACAGACTCAGCTTGTAATATTTAAACAAAATTTGCAGAAGCATTTTTTTTAAAGAAATACATTTTTTGTAGTTTTTTTGTACTATATTTTCACCATCGAATACTAAGATAATCCAGCAGCACTGAGGATACAGTTTATGATTCATCCAATAGATTATGCTACAATTTAAACACATTTTTTGGAAGCTTGTTAACCTGAGAAGGTTTTCTTAAGCGCTGATATTCATGCACAACATTTGAAACTGAAATAAAAAAATTACTTACAGTAACTGTTAGCAAACGCTATAGAAACAAACCATTAAAGAGCAATACAAATCTAGTCATCAACACATCTTCTTGACTGACTGATGCATTCCATTATTCTGGAAGGGAAGACCTGGTGCTCATCTCTTCTAGGAACGGGAAGCCCAGGATTTGTGTTAGTGTCTTCATAGATAGCTCATCTGGGATCACACACTCCAGCAAGTTTTCTGAATCTGCACCTGTGTGCAAACCAAACAGTGATAAGTAGTCTTTAATGAATTTTATTGTTAGATAATTAGATGAGTCATGCTTACAATGTGCCCCTTCAGTCTCCTCCTCTTCCTCCTCATCGAGGCTTAGAAGTGTAGTTAAACACTCTGACACCTCTTTCTCTGTCATATGTTCCCCTGTCAGTCACAAGAGAAGTGTGGATGTTCCCAGATTCTAACAGTCAAATACTGAACAGATGTGAAAACACACTGGCACATCGGCCTACGGCATACCTTGACCTTTTAGGAGCGTCATCAGATCACTTCTCTGCAGAACTGGCTGCCCAGTGCTGCCAGTTTTCCCGAGGACGTTAAAAGCCTGAAGAAGCTCTCTGCTGGAGCTAGCAACGACTGGTCGGTGGTTGATGTACAGCTTGACAAAATCCTCTATACCAATTTCATTCACATATTTTCTTGTTTCTGCATATTTGCTGAACTTGATTTCATTTTGCATGTCATTTATCTGGTGAAATCAACATAAAAAATTGTTTAATAAAAAGAAACAAAAAGTTCTGATAAGTGTGTATGTTTACCTCTTTTTCAGAGAGAAAGTAGCCCAAAGCTCTCATTAGAAAGGGAACCTGCGACAAGGGGATTTTGGTAGATGGTTGTCTCTTTGAACTGTGGCCTTGATCAATAATTTGGCAGTAGTAGAAATAGTTCTCAATCTCCTAAAGACAAAGAAAATGCTTAAAACATTGAGAATATCCAAAAACATTGTGTGTTTGCACAATAAGCGTAAATTCAAGAGGAGATGAAATTATTTGTTTAGCAATCATATGAAACAAGCAAACCTTGTAAACCCTTCCATCTGCTCCTCCCTCTAAGAGGTTGTAAAAGGGTTCCATGTCCTTTCCTCCCAAAGCGGCAGTGGCCTCTAACACTCTGCATCAACACAAAAAAAGACAACTAGTCCCAGGAAATAATTCACCACAATCCATTTCTTCCAGGTGGATCTTAAAACATCTTACTTCAAGTTAATTTCCCACAATATGACAGTGCAATCAGATCCTCCTGCAGTACAAACAAAGCAGCCATCGTAGGAGCAGGCAAGAGCAGCCGCCCCTGTCGGATGGCCGATGAAAGCAGTGGACTTGTGCGGGTTTCCGTCCAAAGGCAAAATCTGGAGGCCCAGCTGTGGGACAAACAAAATGTCTGAGTGAGAGGACAAACTATTTTAATCTGAACTAAAGGCAACAATATCAGACTACTGAGAGAAAAAAGAGAACACAGATGCAATGTAAAAACATGTTTTGATTTTATACCACAATTAAGATGAACAAGATGCAAAAAATTTAAATACACAACAAACAAGGTCCAGCACTGACCTCATCTTCTGTGATGTATGCGAGGTGATGGGACTTAACCTCAGGTTCATCCAATTTGGGAAGAACTACCATTTTCTTAACGGGAGAACCAAATACTGGGCCAAGGACAGTCTGTCTATATTTGTAGAGCACGTGTCACACACACACACACACACACACACACACACACACACACACACACACACACACACACACACACACACACACGCACGCACGCACGCACGCACACACACACACACACACACACACACACACGCACGCACACACACACACACACACACGTCATTACATCATTGGCTGTGAGTGACAGAAAACTAAACTATGCTTCAACGTTTTGCACACCTGCACATCTTAGTTGTGCTGTTGAAAAGCTTCATCTTGTACTGGTCCGAGGCAACAAGAAGAAAGTGCTCTGTGGTTAGCGGAGGATACCAGGTCATGCACAGTGGCGTAGCACTCTGTTCAATCTGCTCTGAGTTTAGGATGAGGAGCTCATTCACGCTGCTGTTTTTCAGGTCATACTCCACCTATTATTCAGTTTCACATACACAAAGACTTGTGTGCAGAAAAAAACAAGCAAAAACTATATTTATTAGAAAACTGTAAGGCACAAAAGTTTGGCGAACCAGTTTGCGGTCCATTCCCAGAGAGAGTAGTCTTGGTTGGTTGCTGTCCAGATGGACCCCAAAAAGAAGGTCTTTGATAGGCTTATAGTGAGAACCATATCTCCCCAGATACGTCCATCGAGACAATGATCCTTCCAGTCTCTGTAATCTGAACACTGTCACTGCATTACCGGTGTCCTAAATAGGAATAAACACACATGCACTGTACTGTAATTATTGTAATCATAGTTTTAACAAGTTTCAGTCGAGAAAAGCGACATCAGCTTGTTTACCGCTGCAGCAAGGTACTGTGAGTCTGCTGAGAAGGTGATGAGATGGATGCTGTCTGTAGTGTAATGGAAAATTTCCTCTGGATCACTTTGCAAGGTGTGAGAATTTAGTATAATAACAACTCCACTCCCAAAGCCAACAGCCAGATATAATCCTGTTTGGATACAATGAGATAATCAACTACAGTCGACACTTGATGTACGAAGCATCAGTTGTTTGACTTCCTTCAATAATATCAGACTGGCTCACCTTTAGGATCAAAAGTAACACAATGGATGCCCTTTTCTGTCATAAAGACTTTATCGCCAATGGGTACTTTCTTGTTGTAGTCCCACATTTGTAAAATGCCCAGTTGGTTGCCCATGACAACAGTTGGTTGACTGGGATGGCATGCCACTGCATAGAGAGGCTCACCGGCTTCATGCAGGAGAGTCTGAGAGAAGTCACGCTGTGCATTCACATGCACAACTTTGGAACTGATCGTAAGTACTGTAAAGTTCCTACAAAGAAGAAAAAAATCAAACGTAATCAGCTGGGTTTGTAATCTTCTGGAAAAAACATCTAAAGCCCATTAGATTTTATATCTCACCTGAGAATAAATGGCTTGCCTTCCAGAGAGAGGTCTTCCACAAACTCATCGGCACATTCATTGGAGAAAGAAATGAAAACAATGGGGTCCAGGCTGAGGTCAACGAACCACCTGAGGAACTTGAAGTTTACGTCGAAAAACTTTATTTGGCCTTTGACGTTTCCAATCACACCACAGCTGTGAGAACAAAAGACATAAACAGAGGAGTAACAAGAGAACCAAATGTAACATTTCGAACTTCAAATAAAACATTTTGTGGCTACCCGTCAACCATGGTGAGAGCAGTGATGGGGTCTTGCTGGTGATTGATTTTCTTGATTTTGCTTGAGGGTAAGTTCTGGCGTTCAACTAAGTCTTCACTGACATCCATCATCACAAGAATGCCCCCGATGGCCATTAGGACCTGAGATTTTGTGCAGTGAAACACTGAGCGACTCAGAGATACTTCGGCAAGAGGGACACGTTTCGGCGAAAGAGGAAAAGGCTGTGTAAATACCACCGAACCAACGAGCTACAAAGAAAATAAAAGAGGAGACATCTTTAAAGCACTCTGAGAAATAAAAGACAAAGTTTCTGCAGCTTTTAAATTATTGCATAAATATTCCAAAAGGCTTTGAATGAAGGCAACTGGACTTCTTTGGATTCTTGAAGATGTTTTTTCTTATCTGTGGAGCTTTGTCTATTTTGACTGGAATATGGGAGAGTCGAGCTTATAAACTGTAGCCGTCTATTGTTTCTTAACAAACAGAAACTACATATGAATACCCTCTTCCCTACCCCTCCCTAGACACTGTTTTGCAGGAGGGTGTGACCTAGACTAAAACTACAACCACTCTCACACAACACAGGCTATCGACTCATCAGGGTGTAGGGAGGTATTCATATGTAGTTTCTGCTCGTTAAGCAGCAAAAGACAGTTACAGTTTATAAGCTTGACCCTTCCAGATTCCGGTCAGAATTAGCAAAGCTCCTCAGATGAGAAACTAAACATCTTCAAGAACCCAAAGAAGTCCAGTTGCATTCATTCGAACTTGTCTGGATTACCATGGATGACTGAGAACCTAAATTGCATAAATACCTTCTTAAGATTCAGTGCAAAGTACCGAAGGCTTCCCTTGGTCTGAAAAAAGACCAATGGATTAATTAGATATGTTTAGATGGCTTATCAGTTGTATGGTTTTTTAAATTAAAAATAACAACAATTATACCCACCATGCTATAAAAAACCATGTGATTCTTGCTGCTGCTGAGGAGCTGCATGCTGTCATTTGGTTTAAAAGAGATGTAATCCTGAATGACATAGTAATGTTTTAACAATCTTCATTAACATCATCAATGCAGTGCAGGACATCCAAAGTATGGAAGAAAAATACAAAGCTTGCATACCTGAAGACCATATTTTGGATGGAGTTCAGTCCAGCTGAGAAGCTTTGCTGCTTTTTTGGACCAATCCCAAATATGCACACACTAGTAAGAAAGTCCCAAGAAAATTGGTCAAACCTATAGGGATGTCCCGTTCCGATATCGATATAGAAAGTATCGGATTATATCGGACTGCATCAAAAATCTCCGATACAAGCAGTCCGTTAAGGTTAGCATTTTTGCAACTAATGGTTAAAAAAAACTTGTAATTTTTTCATACTTAAAGAGCAAGTCACTCCCAAATCTACTTTTTTTTCCTGATAAACTATATAAATGCGTGTCTAATTGTGCTGCAGACACGTGTAGTCAGTAGTTTAGCACTTTAGTGCTTTTTTGTTTAAATTTAAATTTTCTGCCTAAAACTGTCAGTGTTGTGCCGTTGTCAGGTAAAAACTCTGCACTGCAGTTGAATTTAAATCTGCCATCACTATCGAGGGCGGAGCCACTAACAAATACAAACACACAGGCTCACAACGACAATGTGACATAATGTACCAGCTAACATCTTAGTGTACCTCTTAGCCAATAGCGATGGCAGACTTAAATTTAAATGCAGTGCAGAGGTTTTACCTGAAGACGGCGCAACACTGACAGTTTTAGACAGAAAAGTAAAATTTTAACTAAGATGGACTAAAGTGCCAAATTATTGACTACAAGTGTCTGCAGCATGATTAGACACTCGTCTATACAGTTTATCAGCAAAAAAGTTGTTTTGGGAGTGACTTGCTCTTTAATGTTATTGGATCTTGTTCTCCGATTGAGTAATATCACTTGATTAAGCCTTTCATACATTCCACACTACAAAATAGACAAAAGTATGTATGATTTTTGCTGATATTGTGTCAGATTGATATCGGTATCGAACAATACTGAAGGCTGCAATATCTGTATCATATCGGAAGTGAAAAGGTTGTATCGGGACATCCCTACAAACCTACATGGTGCGTGTCATGGTAAACAATATTGTTTACAGTACTTGTTTTGTAGTAATTGATGGACTGAATGTATCTGCTGTCATACTCACTTGAACCTCTTCTCCACTGACCGTTGCTAGATGTTTGGTGTCACTTGAAAATGCCAAAGCAGTTAAACCTCCAACAAAGCAATCGAAAAATGTTTGAACGGGAATTCTAGAAGATGTCATAAACAGGGTTATCATTAGGAGAAAAAAATCTGTGTAATAAAAAAAAAACACTTTATTAAATTTAGAAATAAATGTTACCCAGAGTAGGAGTCCCATATTATCACCCAACCCTTTGACCCATTGTCTCCTGTTGCAATCCAGCGTCTGTCTTCACTGACACACATACAGGAGATGGACTGGGAGTGACCCTGAAGGCATCAAGGATAATTCACTGTTTATTATTTAAAATAAAAACTGTGGAATGACTTAACAAATAATGATTTTCCATCAGAAATAAATAAGTTAGGCAAAGAAGTCTAGTATTTTAAACATGTGTTACATTCCTTTAATCAATACATTTACAGTGGTTTCTAGTGGGAATGAATGCCTTGCAAGCTGCACTCTGTGGGGACCCAGAAGCACCTGGATCAGCACAGAGGAGCCTGCTGGAGCAGATTTAGAGTCTTTTTCCCCTGATATTTAGACATCTCTCCTCGGATTGGATAACATTAAAGCAACTTTCTACCACAAAAGCCTAATTTATACTTCTCCATCTGCGTCGATGCAGAGACACACAACTCTAATATGCGTCAGCATAAGGGCTCTCCAACAGGTTAGCAGGGAGTGATGGAGACATGCCCAAATGTTTAAAAATTGGTAGAACGTGAGAAGACCTCAAGCTTGTGATTGGTCAGGATGACGCCATTGCCTGTTAAAAAGTAAAAAGATGATCTACGTCAGACCTGGAACGGATGGAAGAACGCATTGCGGAAAAAGTCCAAAAACATGAACGATTATTACCCTGTGACTGAAGGAGTATAAAAATACGGAGCTAACATTTTATTCATGGACAGAAATGACAGGGAATATGGGAGCATGGCTTAGAGGTGGCAACCACATGAAGAGGTGGATGTGAATGAAGTACAAATTTGTGTTATAAAGTCTCTGAAATATATAAGGGCAATGGTACGTACACTATCATGGACCGATACATGACTGTACTGGTGGCATGAAACCACAGAAAAGCGCCACGCCCTTTGTTGTCCTGGCGGGGAATTGCTTTGCAACACTCCCCAGGTGACGAAGAAATCAGAGAGCAAAACGTCTCTGTCATTGCGTGTGGGTCTTTCTCTTCCGGAGCTGACGGAGAAGTATAAATCAAGCTTAACTCTGTGGTGCAACGTGGATATTTTATCTCCACAAATAACACAAGCCTGGGGAAGCTTCTGCCATGTAGTTGAGTTGCTAACGGTTAGCTTCCGCTAGCTGAGATGTTCTCTGCTGATCCCTGGACACTAAACCAACAGCAGTCAAGATGGGTGATGAATGTTCAGTGACAGTGTAAGGTAGATCTGTCAGGATTTTCAAATCCTAGCGTCACACTGTCTATTTTCTATCAGAAGCTAATGCAGGAGATAGGTGTAGGAGACTATTTTCATTTTCAGCCTGCATGAAAAACTCAGTGACTGATTATAATCAGAAATAATTAAATATATATATTTTTTAGTCAACTACACCTATTAAAAATGTTTTTTCAGTGTTCCACACAATTTAAAATAACCCTGAAGTTAAGAAATCCTATGCACTTACCTTGGATGCCATATTTCCTACTGTCACAATATTTTATAATAAGCAATTATCTAATAGAAACATGCATTTTTTTTTTAGAATAACAACAATTTACTTTAGAAAACCTCTAAATTGCATGTCTGACTTTAGGGACTTTGCAAAGGAGTCAGACTAAATTACTTACATTTTAAAGCTGGCACAAAACAAATGCGGAAAAATTACATTTTCTTTATTTTACACATCAATGTTGCCCTGAAGGTTCTATAAGCATCTTTTTTTCTGGACTTTTTAAAATGCAGTTTAGGTGAAAAAAATTCCTGATTTTAAACTTGTCCTCAAGTTTTAGACCTTGTTCAGTTCAGGACCTTGTTCAATATCAGATATTTTGATTAACTTTTTACCCGCAGAATATGTTGTGAGTTCGAAGTGTGATTATAAAGAACGCCAACATTAGCTGCAGCGGAGAGGAAAACCAACTGATCGTGGTCTTGCACATTGAAGACAGGTAGAGCTGGATTCTTCCCAAAGATCCACACTGGTGACTAGATAGAAGCAAGTAGAAAAACATGATTTTAAAGCGGAGGAACGTCATTCTTTTGATGGCAGCCAGCATAGAAGGACAATTACTTACCAGTCCATGGGTGCTTGGATGAGTCCTGTTGTTTAAGAAAAGTGTCTCTTTGGTTGAAGTGTAGACTTGAGATCGGCCAGTCATCTTGAGTTTGTTGGGATTTGGTTCAGCTTTTCTCACACCTACTTCATCTGTGCTCTTCACCGGATTCCCTTCATCTTCAGATGGTTGACTCTCCTGTGTTTTACCAGCAGCTTGCTGCAGATCAGTGCTTGTGGCTGGATCCTGTTCTTTTGCTTCACTTTCAGACATAATCTCAAAACGGAAGACAGTCAATCCCACTTCTTAACAACTTAACAGAGAATCTTTCAAATTGAGTCAATTCAGGTCAACGTTAAGCTAATCCTCCTTAAAATGGCGTGTATAAAAGTAATAATAATAACAATAATAAAAAAGAATTACAAGTTACCTGAACGCCTCCTTATAAAATATTGATCAAATGTGATTAAACATTGAATTTTAAAGCCGAACGCCCAGAAAACCTTTGTTCAGTGAAGCATTTCGTTGCCTAGCAACTTCCCGAGATGGTCGTAAAGCGTAAACTTTACCACAAAAAAAATCTATGTAATTTGTTTCCGGTTAAGATTTCCTAAATAAAAGCCCAACACGTGAACGTTCTGCAGTTAACACTGCTTAAAATACATCTTAAAGAGCAAATTGCAGGTTAGAGACTCCCATGAACCAATGTTTAGAGAAACATAATAGAAACTCGGTTTAAAATGTTTTTTTACACATACATGAATTATTTAGGCTTTTAGAGTCATTTTTGTGAGAAATCTTTTATTTTTTGCCAAACCAAACGACGTCAGCTGAGGGAGTCCCGTTAGCGTAATCCAGAGAAAATATAGAGTGTAATGCCGGCTTTGACACAGAGTAAACTTTAAATGTTTATAATTCTACTTCTGATGGACCAAAACCATGAAGTTATGAGTTTGCTGCACACCCCAGAGAGCAGAGACAAACCAGAGGGAGAAACCATCGCCATGACCTCTCTACCCTAAAACTAGCCACTCTCCACACTGAGCTGAGGCAGCCTAGCCTCTAACTCCCTTTGGTTTCGTCAGTAAGCCAAACACATTACTGGCTACAAACCTAAACAAAAACGATCCGAAAAGCAGCATAAATCCCTTTGGAAATATTTAGTTGCATTCTTAAAGAATTACCTAAATATAATTTGATAATTTATTTGAAATCCATTTGTTGAGTTTTGTTGTTTTATTTTTAGAGGAAGTAATGCTGACATATTTTGCTATCTTTATTCTGACCACTAGATGTCAGTAAACCGCCATCATAGCTAAACACAGAGGGGTCATTTATTTTGTTAATCATGATAAAATACAATGCATATTTAGGTCTTTACATTTACATCATAGAAAAATAAATTTCAATCACTTTTTAAACACAATTAAAGTAATACCCGAGCAAAAAAATCTACTCTTCAAGCAACTATCAAGCGTTGTAGTTCAATAGTTCTATTTCCGGTTGAGATGTGCAAAATAAAATGTGTAACAGTAGCAAAAAATGCAAACTATTGTTACAGAAATGTTGCGATATTAAATTGACCAGACGTGAAGGCACACAAATCACTAATTCTTAAAAACTAAAACAAATTAAAGGAAAGTTAATGCGATGTTTCGAATCAATAAATCAGAGTTTCACAGTAATGAAATTGCTTTGAAAGGTTAGTGTTGCTTGGCAATATCACAAACTTCACACATCAGTTTGACTACTTTTTCTGGTTTCACTGGTTTGAAATCAGCTAGATTGTTTAGATTTCGTAACGTTTTTGTGTTTTAAGTTCCCCTCAGGTTTTCTGGTTTTCTTTTACACCTCAAACGTTTTCGTGGCATTAGTCGAGGTTGAGAGGGTTTCCATAAGCTAATGAAGACTTCACGTTAACAGACGAAGAAACGCTAAAGCGAGCTGCTAAAGTGTGGGATGATTTCACCTGTTCGCTGACAGACAGGTGAGGAGGCTGAACCTAACAAGCCAATTAATGACTGAGTAGATGGTTAAAGGTTTGTTCGGCTGTAGCTAGCATTAGCGTCATCAGCTGACTGTCAGCCGCTTTGCTTCATAGCTAACGGCTAATAGTTAGCATAAACAGTTTCTCTCTCTTTAGAATAAAAATATGTTCATTCAGGAAGAGAAGCAGTAATAAAATATGACCACTGACAAGTAAAGTGAGTAAATCTAAATAAGGAAGCAACATTTTGGGATGGGGTCATCATTTTTTGACTGTGCTAACAGACTAGCTACTATGTTTTAAAAGAGCTGGTGTAAGTTTTATAATGTACATATTATTTCCATCCTCTCGTCATTTGGGAGCCACTTTTTTATTGTTTAGTTGCTGCTGACGAAGAAATTTTCAAAAATAGCTAGCCGTTTTCCTACTCAAAACTTCTTATCAGTCAAAAAATGATCATTTGTTGACTTGTTGCATAATTTTCTGACCCTTTCTTGTGTTTGACAGATTTAGCTGGGTCATCTGAGAGAGCCTGGCGATGTGGACCGATAAACATAGAGGAATCAGAGTTTCTCAGGAAGAGCTGCTGTGTAAAAATGGCTGTGGTTATTATGGAAACCCCGCCTGGAAAGGCTTCTGCTCCAAGTGCTGGAGGGAAAAATCACGCCCAGCTGGAGTCTCAAGACATGATGCGAGGTGCGAAGTAATTATTTTCTGTCCTGTGTCCTTGCTTGGTCAGCTTGGCTTAAAGAAACTGGTTTGGTGGTCTAATTCTGCATTGGTTTGTAGGCCGAGTAATGATGGAGCGCCTCCAACATTCTCCAAGTTTGAGGAGAAGAAAAACATTGAGAAGGGTAGCCGTTATAACACGGTGAGGAGGCTGTTCTGGGGCAGCTCCTCACCTCCAAAACCCCAAGGTGCATTTAACATTTTATTATTTGGTGCCATCATGTCCAAAAAAAATCACCTGTCTCAGTATCCTCTGTTTTATCACATGAGTTATTTACCTGATGGATTAGATATTTATAACATTTTGGCATATGCGTAATGTTTTAGCAGCACTGCTTCATGATCTCAAGCTGCATTTTTATAAAGATTAACTTTATTCCCTTTTCTCTGCTGAACAAAAGAGCTTTTGAGGGAGTTTGACTGGATGCTGCATCTGCTGCATGTTTGTACTTTTGCTAAAAACATGAATTTTTTTTAATTATCTGAAACAACATCCACTTTTCCTTTCAGAGTCCTCAGAAAGCAATGCAAACATGTTAAAAGCCTTTCAGAGTCTGGAGCCTGGAGATTTCCCCAGTTTCCTAAAGATACTCCGGAGTCCATCTTCCCAACGTTTACAGTCCCGCTGTACCGCTTTCCTCAAAACAATGGAGGCTTATCATGTAATTATCCATTTTATATCATTTTTAAAGCTGCTTCTTTGTTATTTCAGACCTAAATAACACATTTCCTCCCTTTTTTGCAGGCTCTTCCGGTACAGAAGCAGTCGGACCTCGTGCAGGATTTTTTCCAGTCTTTTGCAGATGTTTTTCGAAGTGAGTGTCAATCAAAGCGTCGCCGTCTGCTTGCTCTGGACACACGTGAAAGGATGTTGCTTTTTGTTTTCAGGTTTTCCCGAGGATCATGTCACCCAGATAATGGAGCATGTTGAGAAGCTGATAATGACGCGGCTGCACAAGTGGGTTTTCTGCCACGACAGCAGCGATGACGAGCTGAAGGACCTGGCTCTTCAACGAAGGATACGGTATGGCTGCTGGTAAATTCAGACATTTGTGTTGTCTGTGATCTAAACTTCTGATCTTGACTTTCATGGTTTTGTTCCTTTTCCAGCTCCTTAAACTGGGTCACTCCGCGCATGCTGAGTGTCCCTTTTCCACATGAAAACATTCCAGTCACGGGTGACCCGTTTCTCCCTGCTATAACAGGTGATTCACCCTCTCATCAATCACTTTTGTGCTTAGTCTTGGAGATTTGGATAAAGAAGATCAATGTCTCAAGTTGCGTCATGCAGATTTTGTCCAGTGTAGACAAAACTGGTCTTTGTTAAACAGCGTGCCTCTTTCTCATCTAAATTTCTGCTTATTCAGTTCAATTCAATTCAAAAATACTTTATTAATCCCAGAGGGAAATTGATTGCTGTAGTAGCTCAGAATAATAATAATAATCAAGTCATCAAAGAGTTATTGTATATTACAATGGCTGTTGGCAGGAAGGATCTCCAGTAGCGGTCAGTGTTGCAGTGAAACTGAAGAAGCCTCTGACTGGAGACACTCTTCCGTTGTCGGACAGTCTTGTGAAGAGAATGCTCAGGGTTGTCCATCATTTTCTTGATTCTCTGGAGAATACTTCTTTGCATTATCTCCTCCAGCGGTTCCGAAACTGACGAAACTCTGGCTGAGTCCTTGAAAGGGCTTGGAGTTCCTCCATCTTGTTGGCCAGTGATCTCACATTGCCCATTATGATTGATGGAAGAGATGGTTTGAATTTCCTCTTTCCCCGTCTCCGTTTCTTGCGTTTTAGCTCATTTGGGATTTGTGGCTTCAGTTGAGGTATTATTTCAGCCTTTCCAATGTTAATCAGCTGCTCCTGATTGTAAACCAGCTTGTTGCCATGGTTACACATAATAACAAATGCTCAAAAAGTGAAAAAAGCTCAAATATAGCATTAAAAATCCTCCAAGCTTCACAGCACCAGAAACCGAAAAGTAAAATGTCCAAAAAAATAGTTTTTCTTGAGAAACTAGAAGAAAAAATGTCCAAGAAAATGTGTCTGTATTAATCAAAAATAAGACATATAATTAAGATTAGGCTGTTGTTTCTAACTTTTTAAAGTGAAAAATAATCTTTATCTCTTTTTCATTACCAGCCATAATAGAAATGGATGCCAAACGTGCGCCACAGGATAAGCTCGCGTGTGTGTCCAAATGCAGTCAGCAGATCTTCGAAGCTCTCTCAGCCTCCAACAACGAGCCCGCCAATGCTGACGACTTCCTGTCAAGCCTGGTTTATGTGTTGCTGAAGGCCAACCCCCCACGGCTTCACTCAAACATGCAGTACATGATTCGTTTTGGACTCCCACACAGTCTCATGGCCGGAGAGAGCGGCTACTACTTCACAAACTTAGTATGTAGAATCTGAAGTTGCTTGCGTATCAGGTAGTGTGAGTGCACTGATGACTCATTTCTCTGTTTTCATTCCATAATTCAGTCCTGCGCGGTGGCCTTCATTGAAAAGCTGGACGGACCAGCGCTCAGTCTCAGTCCAGAAGAGTTTGAGAGCTACATGCGAGGTCAACGCGCCCCCGCTGCTTTAACCAAGAGGCAGCAGGTTGTTGGGGAAACGCAGCACGTGCTAGAGGAGCTGCAAGGCAGGCAGGAGAGGCTGCAACATGGAGCGGATGTTCTTGGCGTGGAGTTACAGGAGTGGGTTCGAGCAATCCACACACAGCTGGACGAGGCAACAAACCAGCTTGTGGAGGTGCAGAAAGAGATGAAAGCTCAAGCTGAGGCCTCACGGGTTTCATCAACATGTCCAGATGAGTCCACGAGAGGAAGGGATGAAGAAGAATCCATTCTAGTGCCTTCCGATCAACATGTTGGTCCAAAGAATCAGAATGTGGCACCTAATCATTAACACACACATGGGCTGCAGGAAAAACAAGATTTGTTCTTTTGCACACGTTTCATCTGAAGAGAAGATTATATTTATAAGCAACATGAGGATGAAGGAAGCTTTTGGAAAGTCTCGTGAGGTGTTTTTATTAATTAAACTAATTTTCACTTTTCCCATTTTAGGATGAATTCTGTGAGATTATTCCATTTTAGTGACAAAGTCGATTAAATATAAGTACTCAGGGAAAACAGTATTTAGTGATATCACATAACTCTTAGCAGTTTTTCATTAACAGTGCTTACACCTTAACTGCTGTAAAAACAAATGTGAAAAAGCAGGTTTTGACCACTACAAGTTTGTGGCATGTTGATGAGAAACACATACATGATAGAGCTGTTGTCTTTCCCCTTTTTTCCTTTTGTGAAAGTTGTTTACAACTAGTAAAATACGTATGAAGATAATTAAAATGTAAAATATTTTGTTCAATAATTGTACCTGATAATATATTAAAGCTGAAATGTGATTTGAAGTTTAGTTTGATCATTTTGTGTTTATCCTAGAATGTTTTGAACTGATGTGAAACATTTGATCAGTGGGAAAATTCATAACAAGAAGTGAATATTTTAAGAGTGTTAGCAATCCAAAAGAAAATATATTTTAAAATAAAACAAAAAAATATAGGTAAGTTGTATTATCCAAGTGTAGTTCCCTGTTCTTAATGTTTTCAAGAAGAAATTAAACAAAGCTTTTTTTTTAGCTTCACAGAGATGGTTTTCCAGTTTCAGAACCAGGATACAGTTCCTGCATATAGCCACTGGAGGGCGACATTTTCCTTCATATTATGTCTGACCATCGTGTTTGATACTGTTACACACTTAAGTTTTAATTGTGTTTTTAGCTGAACGATAAGAGAATAAGACTGGAGCAAGTTATCCTGTTAACACTAAAGTGCCATACTGTTTTATTTTGAAATAATTTACCAGAAGTACATCTAACTATTGTAATTTTATAAATTTAATTCCCTCTTCCAACTCTTCTCATCTCCTGCTCATTTTTCTTCTGTATTAATATGACTCAAATATTTCCAAAAGGACATAATTTTGATAAGGAGGCTAAAATGATCTCTTCTGAATTATTTAACAGAACCAGAAGGGCGACAATTTCCCTCCCTTAATTAAACATTAAAATGTGTACAGTTACGCAGCGCAATGTGTAGCAACGTGTAGTTTATACAAACGATGTAATACATAGTAATTGATGTTTTGAATAATTTCTTGTTTAGTACAACTTTCTTCTTACCTTGTACATTTTCTCCACAATTTGGCCAGGCGGCGGCGCTGCAGCGGAACCACAATTGCCAGAAGTGTTGTAGCCGGAAGAATTCAGCAGATACAACTCAGCAGCTATGAAAACAACAGAAGAAAACAACAGTTGTGGAAGCTCTGCTATAACCATGGACGACGTTAAAAACCTCATTAAGAAGAAAGATGAAATAGAAGAACAGATTAAAGCTTATTATGACGTTTTGGAAGACGTAAGTTAGCTTGTAGACGCCATCAGTGGGTAACTATTTATTCTGTGTGCTAATTATGTTTTTACCTTGTTTACGATGCTTGTTTACAGCAAGGTGTTGGAGTTGAAGGTCCCCTGGTTGACGCTGAGGGCTACCCTCGAGATGATGTTAACTTGTACCAGATCAGAAACGCGAGACACAACATTTCATGTAAGTAACTAAATGTTTTTTTAGTGTTTATCAACTCAGGGAGCGACTTTTGTAGCTGCTGTGGTGTCTCCTTTTTGTTCGGGTATTTATCAACCTTCATTTTTCATTCTGCAGACCTTGAATAAAATATAATCAACTTCGGTTCATTTTGTTTACTATTTATTAACATGATCTTTAATATAAGGTGCTTTTTATTTTGATGCTCGTCCATCATCAGGACCAGTGCCATATGTTCTAGTTTTTTTTCTAGATATGCACTCAGGGCTTATGTTTTAGTCACTCACTACTTTTAGTCCAGTATTCATATCAGTTCAAATTATTAATGAACTAACAATAGATTTCAGTATAATTTAATTATGAAATGCTTACATTTGTCTTAGCTGTATATGTGTATATTATTTTCTGTTTGTAAATAGTTGATGTTTTCAGGTCTGCAGAATGACCACAAAGCCATCATGGCAGAGATAGAGGAAGCCCTGCACAAGCTACATGCTCGAGAGAAAGCTAAGCGTGGTCAAGATGAGGTTGAGGAGGAAGCCATGGAGCAGCAGGTCACTCTCCCTCCTCCGTTTGCACGAGTGGATTCTGTGACCGAAGGCTCGCCTGCCTCTGGAGCTGTACAGTTTGTTTTTTTAAATATTTATTAAGGCATATTTTCTTAACAGTTTGAATTTGATAAATGTTTCTGTTCCTTTGATAGCAATTGTTTTCTTTCAAAGGGCCTCAGGCTGGGGGATGAAATCATCGAGTTTGGTTCTGTGAACACGGAGAATTTTCAGAACCTCCAAAACATTGCTGCTGTGGTGCAGCACAGCGAAGGAGTAAGTTTTTGTTACTTCTACTGATATTCCTCCGGTGGATATAATTCATATTTACCTTTACAGTGACTATCCGTCTCTCCTGATGCGTATTATTATGTGTTTCTTTTTCAGAAACCTCTTCGGGTCTCTGTGATCAGGTCTGGCCAAAAAGCTCAGATGAGCCTGACTCCACAGCGGTGGTCAGGCAGGGGCCTGCTGGGGTGAGTGCTTCAGAGACACAGCATATGAGGCAGATAATACAATAAAAACCCCAAACACTCATGGTACTTTTCATTTTTCTTCTGTGTTTAATGATAGAATTCTCCTTTGTACGCACAATAATTAGTGGTTTCATCATCATTTATATGGAAATCTTGTCTTTTTTTCCTTCACAGGTGTAACATCGTTCCAGTCCAGAGATAATCCACATCATCCTTTGCTGGATTGAAATCTTTCAATTCTTTGAATTTCATCCTGAATAAAAAAAATCTGAGTGGCTATACACGGACATGTTTTTTTAGTATGAGTGGAAACTCTTAACAAAGAACTGTCCAAAGAATGAGAGTGGTATAGATTATATAAACAAAGTGTTGCAGCACTTCTATTTACTTCTGTGGATGATTAACACACAGAATGTGACCTTTAATTAACAGTTCATCTGTTATGGCTAGCATTCAGCTCCGATAAAGGCATGATGTAGACACACTCCTAAGACCAAGCTGGGAGGATGCTGAGTGACCTAACATGAAGTCCATATTTATCTATCCTATGTGTTGGACTAATAAACAGCTCGAGATGTGAAAAAGTATCCCCCCCCCCCCCCCCGATACCAAGTTTTACATTTTTGACAAATGTTACAGGTCAGCAGATGAATTTTAGTATCAAAGATAACTTGATTAAATACAAAGTAATGTAGTTTTCAAAGTGATTTAACTGATTAGTGGAAAAAAGTTATCCTGACCATCCTGGACCCGTGTGAAACAGTAACTGTCCACCTTGTTAAATCAACTATATTGTTAAAAAAGCTGAGACTGACTCCCCACACCTCAATTATACCAGGCTGATGACATGGAGGCTATAAGATTTCAAAAAGCAACACATTGTGCTTCGTTCTAAAGAAATAACACAGAACAACATCCAACGGCCTCACTTGGTTAAAGTCGTGAAAAAAACATCTTGATCTCCCGGCAGTTTGGGGAAAATAATTTACTGTTGAGTTTTATTATTTAAAATCACAAAAATAGTTTCAAAACAGTTTTAATGAAAACAAAATAATCCAGACTTGTGAACAAATACTAAGACTGAGCTTAAAATGTAAGTTTAATGCACATTGTATTTTCTTCAAAAAAATCATTGCTCCTCTGGAGCAAAAATACTGATACTGTTTATGTGAATCAGTCACTCCTGTTGCCTTGAAGCTGAAAAAGAAAGCATCACGCTGGCAGCTTTGGTTTCTTCTTTTTGGGTTTAACCATCTGTGGTAGTTGGATTTTAAAGGCGGTCCTAAAAAACAAAGATTCTAAATCATATCTGTGCCAAAAAATGAGGAAAAACACTTGATATACATTTAAAAAATCCTTACGGATGCAACAACTTAGAATAATAACAGACTTACTCGCATGTTGTGCAAATAGGGCTGAAGTTGCAGAAAACTGGAAACAGAAGGAAATTCACCCACAAAAACCCCCCCAAAGAAAACGTTAAAACAACGTCTCCAATATTGCTTTGACACATTTGTTCTTTTAGACTCACTTGACAAGCAAACCGAGCACACGTAACCTATTTCTATGAGGGTACGGTGGCAGAAACAGGCGGCTCTGTAGTCCACGTGAGCAGGTGGCGGCAGCACCAGCAGCGAGCGCTGCTCCGAGTCGGGCAGGAACACCCACTTTTCACAAAACATAAAGATCATTACCTCAAAGTAAAACAACAACCACGCTCTTAGAAATATGCTCAGCAAACTTCTTTCCTCACCAGAAGATACTGAGCCAGCGCTACTTTTTGTGGTATTTTCAGGTACAGACCTCCAGTTATATCACAAGCCTAAAAACACACCACAAACATTTACTCATTCAGTCATCTTCTTAAGCATTTTACCTAGAGACAACTTAGCCATATTCAAAGATACTTTATTAATCCCAGAGGGAACTTAGTCACCACTAAGCTAACATGCATGTTTACATGCCAACTCCATGCATGAAGGCTGCAGCCAGGATTTGATCCTGCAACCTTCCTGCTGCTCCACCATGCAGCTCTAAATGAAATGAAAAACAAATGGAAAAAGGATGTAATGAAGTACCTGCTGAAGGAGCCCCGAGTCTGAATCCAACACACACGCATCTATCAGGATATTCTGGACACAAGTATTGAAACAAACCAAGTAAGTGTTAAAGACAGGTGTTAGATTAGCAGAGTGAGATACACAACTCCACCTGCTTTTGTGCAGCAAAGATCACATTCATGAAGTTCATGTACTGCAGGGCGCAGTCGTCAGCTGCTTTTATCACCTGTATCACAATTAAAACAGAAGATGAGCTCCAGCTCAGCAGGAAAAGTCAAGAGAGAAAGCAAAAGCTCACCAATATTCTTGATTTAATCTCCTGTGCAACTAAAAAAGAACAAAAAATAACTTATGCAGAGTGCTAAAATAACAAAACAAACTGTTTTAATTTGATAAGGGACATATGTTATTACCTCCCACCTCTTTTGAAATCCTGTTGATATCTGGATAGTTCTAGATGGAAGGAAATGTTACAGAACAATTCAATCACACCGAGCTCTGCAAAAAGAAATAAATCAGCCTTGACCAACAAAGTCCTGGTTGAATGAGAAATAAACTAATTATATAAGATGATTTTTAAAAGCTCCACCTTGAACCGTCACCTTGGAAGAGTTTGAGTGCCCTATGATCCTAGGAGCTATGCTGTCTGGGGCACTTTGTGCCCCTGGTAGGGTCTCCCATGACAAATTGGTCTTAGGTGAAGGGTGAGACAAAGAACGGTTCAGAGGATCTTTCATGGATGTACAATCAAAGAGTCACCCGGCCCTGAGGGTTACCGGGGTCCCACCCTGGAGCCAGGCCTGGGGTTGGGGCCCGTGGGCGAGCGCCTGGTGGCCGGGCTTCCGCCCATGGGGCCCGGCCGGGCCCAGCCCGAACCGGATACATGGGCTCATCCAACTGTAGACCCACCACCCGCAGGAGCAACATGAAGGATCCGGTGCAGTGTGGATCGGGTGGCAGACCTGCCGGAGGAGCTGGTGGAGAAGGCCGGGGAGAGGACAGTTTGGAGCTCCCTAGTTGGGATGCTGCCCCCGCGACCCGGACCCAGATAAGCGGAGGAAGACGACGGTTTTTAAAAGGATACAGCACAGAGCTTTGGCAAGGGATCCAGCCAGAAGAGTATCAGTCGAATTTCCCGTCAATTCCGCTGCAAAAAAAAGTATTTAGTCATCTATTTACTCCAAATTCTTCCCTACGTCACACAGACTTGCACCTACTCTTGGACATGATATCCCTGATCTCTTCAGCGATGAGGTTGTTGGTGACAGATAGGAGCTCATATTTTCCATCCCTGCTGGAAGACGCATCATCGTTCCCTTTCAAACGTTTACTTGGATACAGGAAGTGACTGAGAGGAAGAAATGCAAATGGAATTTAACCTCTGGATGCATTTATGGACATTTCAATGTTGACCTTTTGTTAACCTACATGAACTTGTAGGTTAATTGGGATCTATCAAGCAAATGTAAAACAGTCAAGTTTTGCTCAAATCTGGAAACTATAGGAAAAGTTATTCCATGAAGTATAAAGTTACCTGTCCTGGCAGTGAGCAGCGATGACAGCCAGCTGGTTAGTCCTGGTCATAGCCATGTGTGCGTTTCCCATCACCATGACTGCATCCAGACACTTGGACAAAGTGAACTTTAAAAAAAGAAAAAAAAACATATATGTATATATATATTTTTTTCATCACTCCTCTAAATCCGAGACCATGGTCTTGAGTCAGGAAAGGATAGAATGCCTTCTCTGGGTCAGGGATGAGGTCCTGCCCCAAGTGGAGGAGTTTAAGTATCTCAGGTTCTTGTTTATGAGTGAGAGAAAGATGGATCAGGACACTGACAGGCGGATTGGTGCTGCATCTGCAGTGATGTGGGCATTGTGCCGATCTGTCGTGGTGAAGAGAGAGCTGAGCCGGAAGGCAAAGCTCTCGATTTACAGTCGATCTACGTCCCTACCCTCACCTCTGGTCACAAGCTTTAGGTAGTGACAGAATGAACGAGATCATGGATACAAGCGGCCGAAATGAGTTTTCTCTGCTGGGTGTCTGGGCTCTCCCTTTGAGATAGGGTGAGAAGCTCAATCATCCAGGAGGGGCTCGAAGTAGATCCGCTGCTCCTCCCCATTGAGAGGAGCCAGTTTAGGTGGCTCAGGCATCTGGTTAGGATGCCTCCTGGTGAGGGTTTCTGGTAGGGATGTGAATCTTAGAGCAACTCACTATTTGATTCGATTCTGATTCTTGGGGTGCCGATTCGATTCTGAATCGATTCTCAATTTAAATCGATTCACAATCAGTATTAACAAAGCATGTCAGCGCCAGGATGAACTACTTTGTTGTACAAGTTAGTTAAAGCTATGGGACATTTTTATTTGACTTTAAACTGGTCATGCTCCAAAAACGCAAATTTACAATGTAAAATAAAGTGATTCTAAAACTGTAAACAGAAGCAATCTTTTGACCAAAAGGCAACATTTATTTTTGCTTACCTTGTAAAATATAACAAATCTGTAGTTACCTAACAGTAGCTTTGAAAGTAATACGGTCCAATACTTTTCAAGTATGTGTAGAAACAAGTTACATGAGTAATCCTGAGTACTCATTTATCAACTTAGAAAATGAATAAGAGAATATCTCAAATTTCTGAGTATGGAAAAATTTACATTCAAGTGCCCTCTTATCAGCAGATTCAAACATAAATCATCTCAATTTATGGGACCACAAAAGTAAACGGAATACTGACTCTCCTATCAAAGATCAAAAAAGTGCATCTCAAACCTGTAACATGCCAAATATTTGAGTTCTTGGAATCGATTCTGAATCTTTATAAATAAGAATCCCGATTCAGACTTGAATCAGTTTTTTTCAGCACCTCTAGTTTCTGGGTGTCCAGACCCAGAACATGCTGGAGGGAATATGTCTCTCGGCTGGCCAGGGAACGCCTTAGGATTCCCCAGAGGAGCTGGGCCAAGTGGCTGGGAAGTGGAAGTCTGGGCCTCTCTGCTTGGGCTGCTGCCCCCACGACCCGACTCCGAATAAGCGGAAGAGAATGAATGGATGGATGGAATGTGTAATATGAGATGTTGGTAATCAAAGTATTTTTGTAATCCAACACATTTCTAAATTAGTAACTGATGTAAATTATAGAAAAGATTCATTCAAATAATATTTGGTGACTCAAATAGGAGAGAAGGACCTATCCCATGTATTAGATCTTGTCACAATTGTAAAATATCCTGATTTAATATTAATAAACCATAGTCCATTTGCCTGACTTAAAAAGATTAAATATCCTTACCACACATGGTCAAAATGTGATTTTAATGACACTACATATAAATAAATAAATAAACAAACATATAAATAAATAAATAAATAGTCTGTCACCTCCGGCTCGCTCTGAGCATGCTGGCCCCACCAGATCGGATTCACGTCCACCACAACCACCAGGAGACTGATTTCTCCCTCTGAAGAAATGAATGTATAAAAACACCATTCTGCAGACTTGAAACAACAGTAATATATTGCATCAAAAGAACGTAGTGAGACAATAAGCAAAACAAACCTGATGCCATCTCGAAAGTATTTAATCGAAACAAAAGAAACTAAAGTTTTTCTAACAGATTTTTCTGTTGATAACTTCCGTCCATGGTAGAAGACCGAACAAAAAGTGTTTAGGGAAAAAAAGCTTTTTGTCGCCGCTAGATGTGCGTCATCACTGTGCGACGAGTTTCTTTTTCACTGCTACAAACCAGCGCACTGCTGCCACCTGGACTGTGTTGTTTTGTTTGCCAAATATCACATCCATTGCAATAAGCGGAGGGGTACCAAGCCCTCATTTCCATGCTTCTTGAACGAATTTAAATTATTCTACTCTTCATTAAGTAAAATGGAAAAAATGCGAGAATTATCTCACGGCAAATAACTGAGAACTGTTTTGAGTTTCCTTTGTAAATCATGCTCCTTTGTTTTTTATGTTATTTTGCAGCACGAAGGTTGCAGGTTCGAAACTCGGCTGTGGTCTTTCTGCGTGGAGTTGCGTGTTCTCCCCATGCATGCGTGGGTTTCCTCCGGTTTCCCCCACAGATCACAACATGCCATGTAGGTTATAAATTGTAATAGTCGCTTTGGATAAAAGCGTCTGCTAAATGAATAAACATAAACATTTTCCTTTTCTTTGATAAGCCCCTAGCCTGTTTTTAAGCTTACATCCTCCATGAGAGTTTGTACCTTAATGTCGTACCTTGTTCTGTTATGTCTTTGTTCAGGAATAATAATTAAAAAATAAATAAATAAACAAAGCAGTACACCGGTCACTGTTCACGTTAATCAATATGGCGGAGTCACCGGTAGGTGAAAAAATCAACAATATAAACATCTAAGAAAAAAAACCTGGACTGTGACTTTTTTGTGACATCACACCAACGCCACAAAATATTTTTTGTGGCGTTGGTGGAAAGTAGAAAACACAACTACTAAAATATGTACACAATAAATAACAAATGTATTTGTTGAGATCTAACAAAGTGGATAGGCATGTTTCTCTGAAACTGTACTTCACACACCTGTTCATGTTCGTAAAAAAAGTTCTTGACCCTAACTGAAGCAGCTGTTTCTCATTCGTTAATTAATTAAATGTATATTCTAACAAAATGCTTCTGTTTAACAGCAAGTATGCATCTGCATTTAAAAAAACTACAAAAACTAAACATTTTTGTAAAACTACTAAAGCTAATACAAAAGAAAAAAAAACAGACTTTATTTGGACATATTATAAAATCAATTTGCATAGGTATAACATTTTATTAAAACGATCAATTTCATAAATGGCCTGTACTATATAGCGCCATAGGGGTCTTTTTTTCCGTCTTGCTTTCTGGCATCTTTTTTCTGTTAAAGTCAACTTCTTTACAGTCAGATAAAATGACAAAAGATAACAATACATACAAACATGAAAAATAAATGAATAAAAAAAGGAATATAACCTCTCAAGGCACTTCACAACACAAGCAGTCATTCACATGCTGGTGGGGATGAGCTACAGTGTAGCCACAGCTGCCCTGGGGCACACTGACAGAGGTGAGGCCTGTCATGCACTGGTGTCACTGGTCCCTCTGACCGATACCAGCAGGTAAGTCGGGTTAGGCGTCTTGCCCAAGGACACAACAGCAACATTCTCCAGTGGGAGCTGGGATCGAACCTACAACCTTCCGATTGCTGGACAATCCACTCTACCTCCTGAGCTGCTGCTGTTCCTGACTCAAATAAGTTCCATTGTATATCATGTAAAAAGCACAAAAGAAATCCCCTACATTTCTGATACAGTTAGCTCAAATGGGGTTTCGTACAATACCTTTAGCAATGGTGGCTGCACCCTGTTCACATAAAGTTTTGTTTTCATCCATCTGCTGGGATATTTTTCATTAAGCATTCATGGAAATGTCTGAAAATGATTAGCTAACAACCTTGCAAAGTCATTCAGGGCATAACATCTTAAATAAATTATCATTAATGTTTTTTAACTACTTTCTTTCTGTCTCACAGAAAGACCTTTTGTGTTCTTCATTCTTATAGATGAAAATATTGTTTATTTTTTAAAACAAAGTTTTTACTAAGGTATTTTTGCTTTATTATTCAGTAGTCACTGTATTCATCAACATCTTAATTCCTTGGGTTTGGAGTTTGGACATTAAGTGAGACAGTCCTGTATTTCTCCACTTGGTAAACATCTGACTCGATGGGCTTGCTGGAGTCATTCAGTGTTACGAATATGTTCCCACCAACTTCAGTGACTTTATGAACCCTCTGCTTGACACCTTTGGAGCACCAGTAAGTCCTTATCGGTTTGACTGTAGGATTCTCTACAGCTTGATAAAGTCCTTCTCCTTCTGCTAGCGTGATCTTGTATTTGTGCCAAGGACACACAATGCACAGGCGTCCATTAAACTCCTAATGAAAATGATAAGACAGTCTGTAAATAAATACAGTTTATATAAATAGGTAACACAGATATTTATTTATGAATTCCATATATATCTGTTGAATTCTATTATTCACAGAAAGCATCAGAAGACCCACCTCTATGTCGCCATTCTGTAATTCACCACCTGAATCTATCAGTGTAAAAAAAGAAGGCATTATGCACAGAAATAGCCATTGCAAATAAATAAAACAATCACAGCCATAATGTTATCCACTTTATCAACAAACACAAATGCTCGAAGCTTACGGTAGCAATGCCTGTCCATTGCATAAAGCTGCCCCTGGTGATACAAGACCAGAACATCTCTGCATCCATTCACCAATTTGGTCACACGTCCAGCCCTGACAATGTCCTCCTTCTTTCCAATAAAGTGCAAAGCAGGAGAGGAGGGTGAAGACACAAGAGACAAAGAGGAAGTGGATGACTGGGATGCCTCCTCTTCTGATAACATGTCGAACACTTATTAAATGTAGTTTTAGAAGGGAATAACTGAAATATTCATTCCTTTGTAAGGTGTTTTTCCACTCCTGCTCCTTGTCTGCAAGATCCTTGGCTTTTTTAAAATCCTAAATAAAAAAACATCAAGAAAAAATTTAACTTAAACAAAGTTTAAAAGAAGTATTTTGTTAAATTAGAAGGTTGCCATATGACCTTCTGCTGTTTCTTCCTCAGTACCTTCTCCTCATTCAGCTTTCTACCAATTCTGCCTTCCTGAGATCCACTGATTACCTTTCATATTCATTTTCATTTTCTCTTTTTCTTACATTTGTAATCACATTTTTTCTTTTCCTTGTTTTACATATTTATATATTTTATTTTTCATTTTATATTCTTGTGAAGCACCTAGTGATTTTTATCTTGAGAAGTGCTATATAAAGGATCGTTTTTTCTTCTTCTAAAGGTAAAATAAAATGTGACAAATCAGTCTGAAATGGAAAATCAGTGGAAAGATTGTGGCAAATGCTTGGAAAATTAGTGAACTCAACTAATATGAATTTTTTTAAAAACATCAGTTTCATTGAGGCTTTCTAGTCTCAGTTTCAGGTTATTGTTGAATTTATTCTGCTTCTTAAAAAAGTTAAGACACACTGGACATCATTGCAAGATTATGAACTAATTGTATCGTAGGTTATTTCTACAGTGAGTGAAATCTAACAAGTTAAGCTGTTTTTAACTAATAACTAAACTGACATATTTAGATTTTATGTCATGTCATGTAGTTTGCCAGATTTCCTCGATAAAACGTGTACAAGAGCTTGAAAACACAAAAATAAACAACAAATATTAACTTTATATATATTTATATATTATAAATCTACCTTTTACTTGCCCCTATGTGGCAGCAGGACTTCTGGGTAACGTCCGGCTTATCAGACACTAAACTCCGCTGGTGTTTTATCTTTATCAAGCAGACTTGCTAAATAACTTGGACAAATTTCAAATGATGAGACATAAACATCACTTTCAAATTTCAGGAAACCCTGTAGACGTAAATAAAAAATAACAGCTAAGCTACTGGATACCCACGAAGAAGAATAATAGTGTGTTACATCAAATTTAGTCCTCGCTGAAACACGAAGCGGAAGTTGTTTCTGTTTCCACAGAGTTGAATATGAATTAGAAACCAGCCATGTAATTAAACACGAAAACGCAGTCAGATTGCTGTAACGTTTAGGTGAAGCTTTGATATGAGCAGTGCAACAACATAATTTATTTGGATTTATTGTAGAAAATTTACATTCACGTTTTTTATATTTACATGTTTTTAAAAATGTGAAATTGATTTTGTTACAAAAAGAAAAACGAATATATTAAATGTGAAATCTTCCAATGAAGCAAAAAAAATATGTATATATCTGTCTGTCCCTTTAAACCGATAGGCTTCTTATGGGTTGCTGGTGGGCATAAGCCTTATACGGATTATCTCTGTGTGTAATAGCTGAACTGCTCGTTATTTCGACCGGTTGTCCCACTGAAATTCTTTATTTACGTGTGATAAACTTTTTTTATTAATTTTTTTTTTGAGCTGACAGAAAAAAGGACCAGTCAGCTGTTTGTGTTGTTATGGAGACTAATTCTGAGTACGGAAATACCATCCAGGCTGGCAGCTTAAATAATTAATGTTATTTCAGTTAAACGTGCTACTGTCCGATATCTTTGGCTGCTGAAAGATAAAAAGCCCAAAGTAAGTAAGTATTTTTAATTGTTACTTTTTTGAAAACTTTATTATTTTAATGGTGGTATTTAATTTTTTGCAACTATAAATATAGATCCATTTAAGTTTGCAAAGGTGAGAGTTGCATAATGCCCACAGAGATAAATGCACAAATGTGTCCGCATGTACTGCGTCTCAGCTGTCCCACTCTTACCACATGGCAGGACAGTTACAGCTGCTGGCCAATCTACAGTAGAATTAGACTGTTGCTAGCCAATGTTTGCTATATTTATCAAAGTTGCTGCAGTGAAGAATCCTGTGTCAACTGCACTTTGCGGCTCTATCCTGCTAGTGTCAGATTTCAGCATCCCATGCTTTGCCTACCATCAACAGAGCGAGGTTGTAGTAATGACCCAGTGAGCAACCATTGGTTACAATTCTCTGACAAATCACCCTACAGGACACTGTCCTGAGTTGTTGTTGGAGCAGGTTGCAGTGTGAGGCCTTTTTGAGATGTATTCTGTGTAAGAGGAGTCATTTTATTTCTGTAGATTGATAATCTTTATGCTTTTGCTCTTTCTGATCTATGGATGAATACATTGTCTGTCTCAGAGGTGGTGCAGGGAAGGAGTAAATGGAGAGAAAAGGAAGGTCAGGAAATGACGGTTTGTCTATACGAGCTCCTGAGAGCTGCAGGGATGCAGCATCATTATGCCCGGTAAGCAGATATGTGCCACCCAAGGCCACACTTCCCTTGTGTTTTCCAGATATAAACCTGGCCTCCTGTTGTTTGTCTCTTAGGTTCACCTTGGCTGGTGTTTGCCGCGCAGTCCACCTTTCAGCTCTGAGGATGGAGGATTACCCCCTCCTGGGAATCACCTCAATGGAGGACAGAACACGACTTTTCCATCTGGTCCAAATGGTCAAAACTCTTGACTTAAATAGTCTAGTGAATGATGATATTATGATTTGTAATGATAACATTGGAGGTGATGGAGACTGTGTTGCAGTGGGTGGAAGAATCAGTTTTGGTGAAAATGTGAGCAAGGATCCTGACAAATACGGAGCTACAATAAATACATCTAATGCATCCAGGTATGCTGGACCCCAGTGTGTTTGCAGGCAGCTTGATTTCAATCTTGAATTTCCTCATTCTGTTCATGTTTCTGCAAGCCATAATAGGTTTGTTGAGCCTGTCCAGGTAAAAGGATCAGCCACAGCCATGCAACTTGAGCTTCCCATCAGAAATGCAGCCCCATACGGCCCCCCAAAGAGCAAAAACAATAGGAGGGGCGCAGTTAGCTGCTCATGTGATTCCCACCATGAAGAAAACAGAAGAGGATTTTCTTCGGTCAATTCTGATGACAATTTTCTATCAATTAGTAAAATATCCCACAAACCAAATCCCAATTGTGCAACTGATACTGATAGCAAACCTTTTGGACAAAAACTCAGAGAAGGAACCTCCAGGAAGGAAAATGTCTCTCCAGACACGACTAAGCCCATACCTGTTTTTGAAGCAAAAGGAACAGCTGGCTACAACTTCGGACTCCCACTGAGTTCTCCACTGGTTCCAAAAAACAAGTGAGTCCACAGCTAGTAAAATGTAACTATGTTTAATAACAATCTGTAATACTTTATCTGACGATAGTAATGTCATTTTGATTTGATGATTGTAATTCTTTACTGCGGTTTGGTGTGTGTGTCAGGTATGTGGGGGGACAGCGGATTAGAGTGTGTGTTAGGAAAAGACCTTTGACACGTGCAGAGTGCAGAAGAGGACAGGCCGATGTTGTCACGACGACTCCAGGTGAAGACTGCGTTATTGTCCGTGAAAGCAAAGAAGCTGTGGATCTCTCTGAGTACATACTACAGGTAAGAAAACAACCACCTATCTAACAATACTGGAATTCTATGATTTATTTTTTATTTCCTATTCCGCATCTTCTCCTGCTTCTTTGTTTTTGCAGCACAAGTTTTACTTTGACCAGGTTTTTGGGGAAGGGAGCTCTAATGAAGAGGTGTATCAAACGACAGCCTTTCCTCTGGTGCAGCACATGCTTAACGGGTAGGGTTGCACAGCACCTTTTATCTCATGTTATGGCTTTGTTTTTCAGTCCTTTTAAAGTTTATTTTGCGTGAATCCACAGAGGGAAAGCCACCTGCTTTGCATATGGACAAACAGGTGCAGGGAAGACTCACACCATGCTGGGATCATCTCCTGGGGAACCTGGGTTGTATGTTCTGGCAGTTCGGGACATTTTTGCTCACCTGTCCACCACACACACGCACTCATCCTTGCTGGTTTATGCTAGTTTCTTTGAGATCTACTGCGGTCAGTTGTACGACCTGTTGGACAGCAGGAAAAGGTCTGTTGTCTGGTTAGGGTGTGCTTAGCAAGATCAAGCTTTCCAACTTTATCTTTTAAAATTGTAACTGATGTGATCCTCTTGAATATTTTCCTCCTTTCTTGCCTCTGAAGGTTGTTTGCGAGAGAAGATGGACAGAAAGTGGTTCACATTTCAGGGCTGCGTAATGTCAGAGTGGATTCGGTCAGCTCGGTGCTTAAGGTTCGCTCCTTTAAACAGATATGTCTGTTTACATTTACGATCCAATGCAGATTCGGAGTCTAAAATACAGATCTTTATAGAACTGAGAAATTAAATTCTATCAAAGTATTGGATTCAGGAAAAAAGTGTATTTTGTTGATAGTTTATCAAATTTTTAATGTTTTTATGTTACACTTTAAACAATTAATAAGTAAAAACAACAACCAAGGGTCTCATTTATCAAACATTGTGTAGAATCCTTACTAAAACCGTACTTAAGCTCAGCAAAAAAAATGTACTTACGCCAAGTAGGTTTGTGATCTATCAAACATGGAGTACACACAGCTGCACGTAATCTCCTCATCATAAATCAGAAACTATCTAGAAAGGTTCTCAGCTGCTTTTTAGTCACATCCTGCCCTCACCACGCCCACTTACTGCCATAAATAGTCAATGCAAAGTGCCTTGTGGATCTCATGCATATGCATAAGCCGGCTGTTGCAGCACTCCGCCAATGACGATGGCGACCGTAGATCAAGGCAGATCAAGGAAACGCAATTTCACAGAAGCAGAAATTGAGGTACTTGTGGGTGAGGTGGAGAAATGAAAGGAAGTGCTTTTGCAAAACAAATAAGAGAAAATCCACAGAGTGGCACAGCGTTGCTGAAGCCGTCAATGTTGTGAATTCTTCAGAGAGATCTGTGGCGGATATTAAAAAAATGGTCCAATCGGGATTCAATCCCCCGACTCCCGACTGAAAGTCGTGCACACTAACCAGTCAGCCAAACAGAGATCGCCCCTGTACAAGTAGCCAGGGCGCATGATCAATCGGGTCACAGTGACAGAACACACACTGTCACAGATGCATGACATTCTGTCTCAATCTGTCCCCCTGCTGGTATTCTGCATTCTGTATTCTGCGCTTCAGGCTGTGAGTGTGCGTGTGTGTGTGAGCGCGCGTGTGTGTGTGCGTGTGTGTGGGGGGGTCTTGTTCTGTGTGAAAACGAAGCAGTACAAGTGATAACGTTGTAGGATTTCATAATTTTATCCTTCTCAGCAGCAGCACTGCAGGTGCTCTCCATGTCCAACATGTGCATAAGCCAGGTCCTTAGTCAACTTAAAGTTGCGCACATTTTTCCGCTAAGTTTTCTTTCATAAATCCCAAAGTTTGCGCAGAAAGTTGCTTACGCAGTTTTCCGACCCCGTTTTGTGCGTAAGCAAGCTTGATAAATGAGGCCCCAGGTCCTTAAAACATTCACATATACACAAAATGACTCTGAAAAAAACCCCAATATAAATAAACTATCATCCACCAGAATGTGCTATTGATTGTCGACTATTTCAGTATCTTCTGTAACATCTGTCTACTGCGTTAAATTTTTTTAAATAATTAATTTTATTTGCATTCAAGGTGATTTCACAAGGAACAGCAGAACGGACTCAGGGAGTCAGTGGCGTGAATCCTCTCTCCTCCCGTTCTCACGCCGTGCTTCAGATTCAGCTCAGGGGTCCAAACCAGCAGACAGGTGGAAGGTGAAAATAACAAAACCAATATTCAGAGTTTAGTCTTTTTGTCATGCATTAATCATCTTCAACAGCACCGGCATACAACTGTCTTCACGCCCAGGTCTCCAAACAGGTTGACGGAGGCTTTCTTTTGCATTTTAAAAGCATGTATCTGTTCCAGCTGATCAACATCAGCAGGAAGTTCCATCCTGCCTCCTTAAGCTTTGATCAATAAAACAACATAATTGTAAAGATTCAGAAAGAGGTGTCAATATTTGACTGATAGGCAAACATTTCCCAACTGGTCAGAGCAGCACAGAAAACGGGAACTTAAGAGAGTGAACAGATGAGCTTGGTGAGGGTCTGATTTTCATATTTATGTCTATTTGATTTCAAAATTAAATAAAAGCATTAGGGTTTGTATAAAACAACTGAAATGTTGTGTGTGTGTGTGTGTGTGTGTGTGTGTGTGTGTGTGTGTGTGTGTGTGTGTGTGTGTGTGTGTGTGTGTGTGTGTGTGTGTGTGTGTGTTACAGGATGTGGTTTGTGGATCTGGCAGGAAGTGAGCGGGCATCTGATGCCAAAGAACCAGACAGACAGACTCGTATGGAGGGAGCTGAGATCAACCAGAGCCTGTTGGCTGTAAGTTATTCAAACACATCCTGACACATTAAGAAATCCCATTCAGATATCATTTATATTTCTAATTTTCAATTTGTTTATTTCCCCCCTCTTAGCTTAAGGAATGTATTCGTTCTCTTGATAAAGATGAATCCCACACACCATTCCGACAAAGCAAACTTACTCAGGTAAAGAACCTGAAGATACAGATGTTATGATCGTCTTTCGCCAAGCCGAACCTCTTAACTTTGATGTATTTTTTTATTTTTAACTTTTATATTTAATCTCATTCAAGGTTTTAAAAGACTCATTTATTGGAAACTCCTTGACCTGCATGATTGCCAGCATCTCACCAGGTCACCAAGCAACCGAACACACGCTGAATACACTAAGATATGCTGATCGGTAAGTCTTTATTTAGCCTGAGTTAATGGTAAATGGCTGTATTTGTATAGTGCCCTTTTTAAGATACTACAACCCCCCAAGGCGCTTCAAAACACAATCACTTATCCATCCATTCACACACACATTCACACGCTGATGATGATGAGCTATGATGTAGCCACAGCTGCCCTGGGGCACACTGACAGAAGCGAAACTGCCGAACACTGGCACCACCGGTCCCTTCGACCACCACCAGCAGGCAAGGTGGGTTAAGTGTCTTTCCCAAGGACAAAACAGCAGCATTCTCTGGCAGGAGCCGGAGTCAAACCTGCAACCTTCCAATTACTGGACAACCCACTCTACCTCCTGAGCTACTGCTGCCTAAATTGTAAAAGAAATGAAAAATTTTGTTAAAGAACAGGTTAACTGAAAATAATAGTTTTTATTCTGACTTTCACATGCAGGCTAAAATAGTCTTCTATCGCTGTTTCATTAATTAGCTGCCGATAAAGCAGACAGGGAAACGCTCGGGTCAGATAAAGCCACACAGATCTACGTCACACTGAAAATGTACATTCATGGATTGACATACATGGCAGGCTGTTGTTGATTTAGCATCCACGAGAGAGCAGAGCACGTCTCGACTAGTAGAATTTAACCGTTAGCATTAGCAACTCCACAACATGGCAGAGCACATTCAGGCTTGTGTTATTTGTGGAGAATATAAAACATCAACATTGCAGCACAAACAGAGGCAGCAGAAGAGTGGTGTTGTTGTTAGCCAATTAGACGTGAGATGTCCAAATATAATTAATAATAATGAGTAAGACTCCAAATCTTGCGTTTTCTGCGCCCCACTGCTCCAGCTAACTTCTACTTCCTGAAAAAGGAGCGCCAAAATAACTCGCAAGGCATTTAGACTAGAGACCACTGCAAATGTATTTAAAAAATTAGCTAGATGAGCTGAAGCTAGATGAATGAAAGTGGAATGATGTATACTGCATGTTCAAATGTTTTATGTTTTTCCAGGATAACCTACATGCTTATTTTTTTCTTAGTGTGAAGGAGTTAAAGGGACAAGCAGAGGTAAGGGGAAGGAGAAGGTGCAAGACGGGACCTTTCTCTAAACATAACAGGAGCAGCAGCAACGTTGGCACTCCGAAAAAAGCAACCAAACTAAGTGAGACTATTGAACCAAATACACCTGCAAGGTTCCACACAGCGGGCGTATTCCTCCGCTTAACACCCAAGTACAGCAGATGTGAAGAGGAAACTCAGTCAAAAGGCAGAAGACAAAAAATACTTGAATCTGAGAAACCAGTTAGAGGTTGGCTGGCGAATGGTGAAAGGGAGAGTTGGACTAAAGAGGCAGACGAAGAAGAAGGTCGGCGCATGACACGTGGAAATTCTGATTCTCACCATTATGTTAGAGAGAAAAGTACCAGAGCAGCACCGGCACTCAAACCACAAACTGGTCAGCGGAAACACAAGGAACAAACTTGTGAGGATAATTTGACTTTTATGGTAAAAGAATGTGGATTCCACCGCAGGAAGAAAGATAATAGTCCACCAGAATGGATAGAAGAGGAAAGAATCTGTGAAGTAGAGCGACAAAGGGAAAGAGATTTAAAAAAGGCTGATACAGAAAAAATGAGACACCTAAAACAATATCATCAACATCTGCAGCAGTCTGTACCCTCATTGTCTTCATCAGTCCATTTCGTGCCATCTTTTAGATGTCCATCTTCTCCCTCCTCTACTCAGGACTCGCTCTCATCATTCCTGCCCTCCTCTCGCCTCTCGTTTGTAACTCACATGGATCATAGTTTGAGAGAGATTTTAGATGAATATGCAGCCACAGGAGGAGCCGATGTTGATAATGATGGACCGATTTCTTTGCATAGAGGTGAGACTCAAGTTCAACCTTTAACCTCTACAAACCACTGCGAGAATGATGCTGGTGCCGGCAGCAGTAACCGTTTAAATGACGGCTGGAGGTTAGATGAGTCTGAAAGTGAGAGGAAAAGGCTGGTTGAGGAGAGGGCGAGGAGGGGGGAGAAAAGATTAGCTGTGAGGAAGCAAGCGTGGCGTGCTCAGGTGGAAGAAGCAGTGGCGGAGTCTGCAAATAGAACAGCAAACGGAAAATCGTCAAATGTAAATGTGCAACTGTCAGACTGCTGGGGTTTGAAGGACCAAAGAGGAACAAGCGTGGTCAGACCAAATGCGTCAGATTTCTCTGATAAAGACATGTGGAGAGCTGCACAGACAGATTCAGCTCACTATGATTTGGTGCATCAGCGAGCTCCTGCAGAAAGGCCTCTTTCCCCATCATGCAATGAGCTCCTGATCTCAGATAAGCTGCATGAGTCTCCTTTTGAATCTGCAAATGCTAAACGTGATAATATCCTACAAAATACTCCAGAGGCAGTATCATCAAACAACCACAGAGAGAGAAAAAATAGCTTTGTAGCTAATGCTAGTGAAGGACAATTTCCATATGCTCAATCAGCCACATCACCTGTTTCATCTACCAGGAATGGATGCATACAGCCAACAGATTGTGCTGTTTACACACACTCATGCAACCACACAGCCAAAATCTCTACTTTCCCTCAAGATGAGACAAATGTGGACTCGCTCAGCATTTCCCTGCTTCATGTCGATCAACAAGCTGCTGCCACCTCATTCTTACATTCTACGAATCTGGTAGACTCTGGTGTAAAAACAGGGGAAGAACTTGTAGAGGATGAAGATGCATCAGATGTAGCTAAAATGAATCTTTTAGATGCATCTGACAATGTGACACTGACTGAGCAGCAAAAATACACCAAAATAGCTGTCAGTGGAAACGGTAAGTGTCATTTCAGCATGTCAGTGTGTGTGTGCATGCTTAAAAATGATTTATTCTTTTTTTCTCATTCAGATGCAAACAAATCTCGCATTTCTGGCTTTAGGCAGCAGAAAAATCAACTTTTTAACAACACAGCTACTGCATCACCACTTCAACCACCTACATGTGTGTCTGTGCTTACTCCTCTCTTGCACATTGGGAACAACAGCTCTCCTGCTGCACACAACCCAGCAGAATGTGCGAGTAAATCTTCATCCATTACAAGAGAAAAATCCAGCATCTCTGCTGGTCATCTGAATAGAGCGCCGTCCCACTATTCCTGCAACTCAAATGTTTTACCAAAACCAAAAAATGCAGCAAAATCAACCAGCAATCAAGAAATTAGACCCACTATGCATCTTTTTACCACAGATGGCTCTGAATACACCAAGTGAGTAGATATAAAAGTTGTATTTTCTGACAATTATCTAACAGTATCTGATTGCCATGGTACAAGTACTACTACATAATCCATATGATCTGTATTTAGGTGGTGTGTTGTTGAGGCCCACCTGGAGCAGCTGAAACAGATGGAAGCTTTCTGTCATAAAGAGGGGAAACTTTTATGGCGGCAACATAAAATGGTTAAGCTAAATCTTACCTGTAATTATTCTATGGAAGCCCATTCCCACTACTCTGACAAAAAAATCTCATAATCATGACTTATAGTATCTCATTATTAATTAGATACTATAAGTCAATAGGTGTGCTATTACTTTTCTAAGAGATCTGATTTACCGTGGCAAAAATTTTAGCAAAAAACTTCAAAAAATTTCTCAGATTGAGCTACCTTTTCAAACTTTGAGTGTGTGACTTTTTTTTACATTTGAAATAACTATCTTGTGCCTGGTGGCAGGTCCCTTTTTAAAATTTCTTCAGGAATTTCCCAATTTTCGAGTTGTCAAATTTTCAAAATTAATCGCTTTTTTATTAAGGGACCTGCTGCTGCTTCAGCAAGCAGGGCCCTTATTGTTATGCACCTGGGGAGTTTTCAACATTAATATCCTTTATTATTATTCTTCTTCCGCGAACGTGAATGTGGCTCAAATGGCTGCGTGCACCCCCACAAATTACACGTCAAAACGAGCAGATCAGCTGTGAGAGGTGTGCCCCATTTCTGGGCAGAATGAACTATCCTTTAAAACTCTGAGTGTGTGGCATTTTTAAAATTTTCAGAAAACTGTCTTGTGCCAGGTGGCGGGTCCCTTTTTAAAATGTCTGCTATCTCATTAATATAACTTAGATATCTCATTATTATGAAATTACTTTCTCATTATCTTGGCTATCTCATAATTATGAGATCATTTTTAATCAGAGTGGCTGGAGTGAGCTCCCATATATTCCTTCTTTTCATTTCATGGACTTTAAAAAGCACACCTTTCTATTTGTCTTTCTGTCCTACAGGCATTTGGGGAATATGTCCAAAAGCTGGCAGAGATCCTGGAGGGAAAGGCCAGATGTCTACACAGCATGAGAGCTCAGCTGCAGCCGTTTCTGACAGCCAGTCCGTCCTCAAAACAAGGAAACACACATTTCCATACAGTCATGTAAATTAAATGTGTTTGTTTAAAAAAAGTTTTAGTTGTAGAAAACAAATTGGATTATTGGTGCACACTTTAAACACTTCTGTGTCAGTTTGATACATTGATGTTTTTGGTTTGTTATTGTTTATTTTTATTTAACAGGTGCAACTTGAAGTATATTTTTCTTGTGAAAAGATAAGTCTGGAAGATTTTAATTGAAAATAGTGTTTTCTCACATGTTGGTGCTTATTTGTGTGTGTGTTTTTTTTATTGCAGCATGCGCTCATATTCTATACAATGTGTGTATGTGATGCTACAAGAATAATTAATGAAATATGATGGATTTAGTTATTTGGGACATGCATACCATATTAATTTATCTGAATATTTGGTATACTCATAAATGTCTGGTATTTATGCAGTTTTAGATGAAAAGTTTTTACCTTCCTGCCTTTTGTTTATTCTTAATTTTTTTCAAAGCACCAACCTTGATTTGATTTTTCTGAAAACGATATTTGGTTATTTAAAAATGAGAATGGACATTTGGAAATGGACCCAATCATTGGTAAGAAGTTAATTTAGACTTTTTTCTGTTTTTCTGTTTGAGTTTTAAAGGGACCACCCCAAGTCAGTGGTCATCTGTTTGAGAGTGGAATAAAGACATTAGAGAAAGATGTGCATAGCAATTTGTTGATTTGTTTTATTTCAATATTAATCTCAGGTTCAGAAAGAATTTCGTTAGGTGTGACTTTAAACATGATTCTAGAGAAATCAAAAATGTTATTTGCTTCATGACATTTTAAAATATTAAATGAAATGTTTATTTTCTGAAATCTGTTTTTCGAATTTAGAATTATTTATTTGACTTAAGAAAAATAATCTAACACACTTCAAATTAGGCTGTTATAAACAAAGTGCAGAGCACAGCTTAAGGGTCAGAGTTCATGAGCCACACAGCTGGTCCTCTTGACTTGTTGTCTAGACATTGAGGCTGCTCAATCTTCTGACTGAAAGTGAGTAATCCATGGGTTGATGGGTGGGATCCATCATTATTTCCTGTGCTGCCTTGCACTTGCTGGTGTAATTGTCCTCTAGAGACAAAAGGTTTCCTGGTGGTAATTTTAAAGCAGATCTAACCACTTTTTTTGTAGTTCATTCTTGTTGGCCTAACAAATGTTTCCATACCAGGCTGTTATGTAGAGATGATGTCAGGAGGCTCTCCACAAAACACAGCAGTTATAGGAAATGAGCAAAGCCTGCACTGAGAATGGCCTTTTTCATTATGACTTTGTTTGTGACCCATGTAAGGTCAAAGGTCATGTGCGGACCCAAGCATTCAGCAGATTTCAGCAGTACCATGACTTCTCCTCCAACAATCTGGTTCACATTTCAAATAACTGATCCACTCAGCTATCAAATTAAACTTGGCAGACTGTGGTGGTTGAAACCCTTGAAAAAGACAACACATCAATTGTTGTTCTGAAAAAAGATCTGACGAAATGTATCTGTATAAAGATACGAAGTAAATGTTTCACGACCAAATGCATATTATTGTTTATGGAGAAATATTACACCTGTTGTCTTGTCATTAACTGAGATGGAAACACGCTCACACACGAGAACGCGCACGTCAAGGCCACCTGAGCTGTTCGCTGATTTTGACTGGCAGGATCAGCTTCTCAGCGGCTAACGTCGGGGCGGTGGGTCACGTGACATCAACTGCTGCTGCTGCCTGCTGGCTGAGCGAAGCGTGTTGGCAGGTAAAATTAATTACACGGATTTACTTTGCTGATAACGTTTGAAACTGTTAAAAAAACATCGTGTCCTTACTAAAAGTTTTAGATGTATCAATAAAGTCCGACTAGACGATTCGCCCTGTTTCGTTGTTGGCTAACTGTTCGCGAGGCGAGTGCGTGCTTGTGTGTGGGTATCTCCATGATTACGCGAACACTGCATTGTGGATGGGCCGTTCACATGCCGGGGCTGTTAGCATATAGTTGTTCATAAGTGTTGAAGCTTTTGTGGGCCAATTTGTTTTGCTTGATTCCCTACACCTTCGGTTCATAGTAAAAATAATAGACACTGCCAGTTTTAAGTATCAACGAACCACGCGACGTATTTTTGTTTCGGTTAAGTTGTTAGCTTGTTGCTAACGTTAGCTTTTCTTCCGAGCTACACAAAGAGGAGTATGATCGCACTTTAGAGACGTTTGGTTGTTTCCTGGTTTTCTCTGTCCATCTTGGTAAGTGTGAAGAAAACCATTAATGCACTTTAACAGCTTAATATTGGGTTGCATTTGCTGAAATATTTCTCGTATAACATGGCGATTAAAGGCGTGGGAATCACACGGAACAAAGACGAGCGATTAGCTCCATGAGCTAGGTTACCCTAAGTGAGCGTTAGCCCGGGTTTCTCTCGATCAGGCGACTTTTGCAGCGCTGTCCAAAAATGATTCACGAAGATATGGCTTAAGTAAATGTAACTAGCAGCGTTAAATCACGATTATACAAATACCACTCAGTTTTACACACACAATGATATATTTTCTAAATATTATGTTCTTCCCCTGTCAGCCAATCTAGTGACGTTTCTGCCATCTCGCACGACCTGGTACGCTATACGTAAAAATAATAGTTGTTGATGGTATTAATAGTTGCTTAAGATGCAACGCATAATGGCTTTCGAGATGATTGTATTGTTTGATACAATGTATTTAATTTCTAAACAAATCTAAAAATCGCTACCCTGTGGTAAGCAAAAATATTGAAGCGCTCATGCCCCTACTGGTAAACGTTCGGGCACACAGACCGTGTTTTTTGTGGGAAAGAGAGTGAGCGCTGTAAGATGAAACCTGAACAGTCCCCTCACTGGCTAAATTTAACCGGGGATGTGGGGGCGACAGTCGGGGTTATAGTCTTACATGGAATATCTGTTTATGTACAACTCTGGCTTTCCACATGCACACCGCACTGTTTTAGGGTACATTGCATTTCACAGATTGACAGTGTTCTTCTATTTTTATTTTTCCAGATTTTTTTCTATTTTGTACATACTTGTTTTGTATATACTGTATATGATGACTTCAGTGGTCAGCAATCAGACCCGGGGGACTCGGGATAAGACGCTGCCCACTACCACCACACAAACAACACAGAAACAGATACAGGTGGGGTTTCATTAATCATTACACTTTTTGTTGTTGAACGTTTTGGGTTTATCGCCAGATTGTGCAAACACAGTGAATTTTATTTTAACAGTTGCAACTGATTAAAATGAATAAAGTACCGCAAATTTCTTGGTCTTGTTTCTCACTAGTTACTTTTTGCTTGCCAGGCCACAGCAGAACAGATTCGTTTAGCTCAAGTGATCTATGACAACAATGATGCAGACTTTGAAGACAAGGTCAAACAGGTTTGTGCATCCACAGAAATCTAGAAAAATGGGCTGTCTTTGATATGAGTTATTCCTGGAACTTTTAAACTTTAGGGCCTTTATCATCTCACTTAGTGTTTTTGTGTTTGCACACAGTTGATTGAGGTAACTGGGAAGACTCAAGATGAGTGCATGGTTGCCCTTCATGACTGCAATGAAGATGTAAACAGAGCCATCAATTTTCTGCTGGAGAGCCCATCTGACACAGTAGGTGTACACACGCACATAATGTTTACACAGACTTAAATTAGCATTTAAAGCTGTTATAGTGAATCTACAGAACAAGATAGGTTTTAAATGCAAACACGGTCACAGAACACTCGCGTCTCCTCTTGGGTGTCTTCCCTGAGACACTTCTGCCGGAACGGAAACCAGCGATGCCGGAGAAAACAAAAATGGTGCACCAGTTGCCTTTTCTAGGTCCAAATGTCTTTTGTTGCCCGTGACTTTAAATGGTGTTTTTCTTTTTTGGGACTGGTAATTTACCCCAAAGTTGAAGTGGTAGCAGCTGGCTGTTTCTCCTTCTCTTATATTACTGAGGCAAGAACCTCTGACATCAGTGGTATTCTCTTGCAAAATATGTGAGTTTGTAATAAATGGAGGACCCAGGGAAGAGTGGTGGTTGGCCAAGATGCACAACTGGAAGGTCCATTAGTTGCTTTTGGTCCGAAATGTGTTATTAGACGTGTTTCCATTGTTGGAACTTTGGGATAAATGCAGGGATGGGGAATTTGAGAGATATGTTGGCCCTGTCCTCTCAGCTGTTGTCTCGAAATTCAGCTCTTTTAGGACTTTGCACAGATGTCAGCATATTGTGGCTGCTTCTGCAGTGAGTGATGTCACTGCTCATCACCAGAAAGCATCCACAGTAACATTAATAGCATTAAAAGTTTTATTCTGTCAAAGTCCAGAGAAGTTTAGCAGCTCCATGATGTAAAATGTGGCGTTCAATGACAAGAATAAGCAACATTTTTTACTGTGCACTGAGACAACAAAGCCCTGTCAATTACATTGTTGTGGGCAAATTCTGCCATGTTTTTCGGTGTTGGGAGTTTAGCAACAGCGATTTTAAAGCTGCACACTTGGTACTTATTTTCTTTTGCTTCCATTCTGCTTCACAAGCAAATATTCTAATTTTACTAATTGCGATTGTTTTGGATGTCGTCTGCTGAGCTAATTTCTTGGTGAATTACAACAAGTCCATGTGAGTTAACCAAAAGTTCCGCTCATCTACTCCACTGAGCCATTTCGAGTAACTACCCCTGATCTTGTACTCAAAAAGTTCCCGAACATGGCCCATTTGGCCAGTCTGGTGAGGTGGGGGGGACACGTGTGCCAGGAAGTTCTTGTACTTTTGAAAGATGTTTTTAAACAAATGCAAGAGAAACACTTTATTGATTAATTTATAATTTTTTAATCTTCACAATATATTCATAACTACACTATGTTAAAAGGCATAACCATTTTGTGGGCTAATTCGTTTTCAAAATTTGATATTGCAGCTTTAAATGTCAATATTTGATTATATCTAACGGACATTTATTCACGTCACTTTTTAACATCAGAACTCCTGGGAGACTGTGGGGAAGAAGCGTAGCCTTGGTAAAGAAGGAGGACCATCAGATATAAAAGAGAACAGAGAGAAAAGAGGGGAGAGAGAGGCTAGTCGTGGACGCGGGGCATCCAACAGAAGGGGCAGAGGAATCAGCCGAGGTCGTGAAGGTAATGGGGGGCAGCTTTCTTTTTATTAATTACTGCATTCATATGTCTGGTTGTACCTACTAAAACCACTAGCACTGGATTTGGACCCAGTTGTAACAAATTTTAGTTATTTCATTAAAACAGCCCCCTTGTTATGTTACCTATTGGATTCTAGGCCGGTCAGAGGAGAATGGGTTTGATGTGGTTCCTGGAGAAAGGGGGACAGATCGTGGACGCAGAGGGAGAGGCAGAGGTGTGTATTATAATGTAATTAATTTTCGGGATATGTATTTGAAGGCAGAGCTAGCGATTCTAAAGACAGGTGTGCAGAATTTATGTTGACAAGTTCCAACTTTAGATTGTGTTGCAGGTGTTGCTATAATTAGTTTATGATTTAATGTGCTACGGCTTGATGCTTTACTAAGAGTTTAATGAGTAAAAGTCTGCTGCTTTTCTTTTGTCTTCAGGAGTGGGGACGCGTGGCCGAGGAAGAGCAGCTGTTGGTAACAGGTTTTCTTCACAGGGAATGGGGTAAGAACGTTTTCAAGAATCTTCACCTCAACATAATCTTAACTGGGTTCTGAGCTTTGTTTTTAAAGTTTATAAATTACCGTAATTTCCAGACTATAAGCTGCTACTTTTTTCACTTGCTTTGGACCCTGCAGCTCTTACAACAGTACGGCTTATCTATGTTAATATTTCTACAGCTAATGGTCACCAGGGGAGCACTGCAGACCCATTGAAAGTTATTGTTTACATCCAGGTAACTGCGCATCCACACAAGCTGGAGGGCAAAATCCCCATCTCCAGCCATTATCCAGTACTGTATCTCCACAATTTAAGCTAACAAAATAAAAACTATGGATTTAGATATCATTACTTTAGATCATCTAACACATCTTTGTGCAGATGAACAAAAAAGAAACATCCCAAAACTAACTGTATTTAGCATAAAGCTTCAAGATCTACGTTTGAAATGGCTAGCAAGCTGTGGGGATGATAGTCCTTCTCAGAACTGAACATCTAGACTTTACACAGCTGAACTGAACAAGTAACTGGATCTCTTCTGTTTTATGGGTTAATGCTGAATGATTTCCATGACACTGCTCGTCTTTGGAGATTAACGAATGCTCCGTTTATGCTGACGAGTAACGTAAACAGAAACGCGAACAACATTACCTGTGGGACCCATGAGGTGATCGGAAAGGGAGCATTAAGCATTAAATCGCATGCTGCTTATAGTTGGGCGTGGCTTATAAATGAACAATCTGTAATTTCCCCCAGAATTAGCTGGTGCGGCTTATATTCAGGTGCACTTTATAGTCAGGAAATTACGGTAACATTTGTGACTCATATCAAAAACTGACCAAATGTTTATCTTCTTTCTATTCCTTCTTATGTAATTCCGTTCTGTTTTTCCAGCACGTTTAATCCTGCTGACTACACTGCAAACTCTGGAGCTCAGCAGGAGAACTGGGATGGCGATGGCAATGAAACTGCTGAGGGGACTGGTTAGTAAAATAACAAAACAGAAGATGCCTTAGAGATTCTAGTTTTAGTCCGTTATGTTGTAGCACCAATTTTTAGGTCCTATGATTTCTGCTAAACAGAGAATGTGGACGGAAACGCAGAATTAAACAAAATTTTTAGAATGATGAGTTTTGGCACTCCAACAGGATGTTGATATAGATCGCCACTTGCTCAGATGTTTTCTTATACGCCTATTTTTGGTTTATTTTGAAGAGTACAAATAAAAAAATAATCTAAAATTATGTTTGCATTTTTTTAATTAAGGAAATCACATCCAAAACATACGGCCGCAGGTCAGATGATACGACTACAAAATCTATCATCGACCTGTGACCTAGGCTGCCCTGGTACCAAGTGTACCGGTGGGCATCCTTATGTTCGAACATGGTGTTCGTTATGGCCAAACTGCGGCTTGAACAGAAGTCCAATAACAAAACACCGCTCGAGTTCAGATTAGGTGGGCCGTTCCTCCCAATCACACCCCTCCAGGTCAAGCTGTCATTGCCCACGTGAGCATTGAAGTCCCCCAGCAGGACAATGGAGTCCCCTGATGGAGCACTATCTAGCACTCGTCCCAGGGACTCCAAAAAGGGTGGGTACTCTGAACTGATATTTGGCCCATAAGCACAAACAACAGTCAGGACCCATTCCCCGACCCGAAGGCGCAAGGAAGCTACCCTCTTGTCCCCCGGGGTAAACCCCAACACACAGGCAGAGAGTCTCGGGGCTAACAACACCCGAGTGAAGAGAGGGGCGGAGCTGTCAACTGATCACCACCTGGTGGTGAGTTGGATCAGATGGCAAGGGAACATGCCGCGTAGACCTGGCAGACCCAAACGCATAGTGAGGGTCTGCTGGGAACGCCTGGCAGAAGAACCTGTCAAGACGGTCTTCAACTCCCACCTCCGGCAGAGCTTTGACCACGTCCCGAGAGCAGTGGGGGACATTGAGTCCGAGTGGGCCTTGTTCCACTCTGCGATTGTCGAGGCGGCTGTTGCTAGCTGTGGTCGTAAGGTGGCCGGTGCCAGTCGTGGTGGCAACCCCCGTACCCGCTGGTGGACACCAGAGGTTCGGGGAGCCGTCAGGCTGAAGAAGGAGGCCTACAGGGCGTGGCTGGTCTGTGGGTCTCCGGAGGCAGCAGACAGGTACCGGATAGCCAAGCGGGGTGCAGCAGTGGCAGTTGCCGAGGCAAAATCTCGGGCGTGGGAGGAGTTTGGTGAGGCCATGGAGAAAGACTATCGATCGGCTCCAAAGAGGTTCTGGCAAACTGTCCGGCGCCTCAGGAGAGGAAGGCAGCAACTCGCTCACACTGTTTACAGTGGGGATGGGGAGCTGCTGACGTCAACTGAGGCTATAGTCGGACGGTGGAAGGAATACTTTGAGGAGCTCCTCAATCCCACCAATGCGCATTCCGAGGAGGAACCAGAGCTGGGAGGCCTGGGGATGGACTGTCCGATCTCGGGGGCAGAAGTTGCTGAGGTAGTCAAACAACTACACAGCGGCGGAGCCCCGGGGGCGGATGAGGTTCGTCCTGGGTATCTCAAGGCTATGGATGTTGTAGGGCTGTCATGGTTGACACGTCTCTACAACATTGCGTGGTCATCGGGGGCAGTTCCTAGGGAGTGGCAGACCGGGGTGGTGGTCCCCATCTTTAAGAAGGGTGACCTGAGGGTGTGTTCCAACTATAGGGGGATCACACTCCTCAGCCTCCCTGGAAAGGTCTACTCCAAGGTACTGGAGAGGAGGATCCGATCGATAGTTGAATCTCAGATAGAGGAGGAGCAATGTGGTTTTCGTCCTGGCCGTGGAACTGTGGACCAGCTCTATACCCTTGCAAGGGTGATGGAGGGGGCATGGGAGTTTGCCCAACCAATCCACATGTGCTTTGTGGATTTGGAGAAGGCTTATGACCGTGTCCCCAGGGGCACCCTGTGGGGGACGCTCCAGGAGTATGGGGTGGGTGGCTTTCTGTTAAGGGCCATTCAGTCCCTTTACCAGAGGAGCGTGAGTTTGGTCTGCATAGCTGTTAGTAAGTCGGACCTGTTCCCAGTGAGGGTTGGACTCCGCCAGGGCTGCCCTTTGTCACCGGTTCTGTTCATCACTTTTATGGACAGAATTTCTAGACGCAGCCGTGGTGTGGAGTGTGTCGAGTTTGGTGGCAGGAGAATCTTGTCTCTGCTTTTTGCAGATGATGTGGTCCTCCTAGCTTCATCCAGCTCTGACCTTCAGCTCTTGCTGGGTAGGTTCGCGACCGAATGTGAAGCGGCTGGGATGAGGATCAGCACCTCCAAATCTGAGACCATGGTTCTCGACCGGAAAAGGGTGGCTTGCCACCTCCGGGTCGGGGGAGAGGTCCTACCTCAAGTGGAGGAGTTTAAGTATCTCGGGGTCTTGTTCACGAGTGAGGGTAGGAGGGATCGGGAGATCGACAGGCGGATTGGTTCGGCGTCTGCAGTGATGCGGACGCTGAGCCGATCTGTCGTGGGGAAGAGGGAGCTGAGCCAGAAAGCCAGGCTCTCGATTTACCGGTCAATCTACGTCCCAATCCTCACCTATGGTCATGAGCTTTGGGTAATGACCGAAAGAACGAGATCGCGGATACAAGCGGCCGAAATGAGTTTCCTCCGTAGGGTGGCCGGGCTCAGCCTTAGAGATAGGGTGAGGAGCTCGGACATTCGGGAGGGACTCGGAGTAGAACCGCTGCTCCTCCGGATCGAAAGGAGCCAGTTGAGGTGGTTTGGGCATCTGGTCAGGATGCCTCCTGGACGCCTCCCCGGGGAGGTGTTTCGGGCATGTCCTGCCGGCAGAAGGCCCCCGGGTCGACCCAGGACACGTTGGAGAGGTTGCATCTCCAATCTGGTCCGGGAACGCCTTGGGGTCCTGCCGGAGGAGCTGGTGGACAAGGCCGGGGAGAGGACGGCCTGGAGCTCCCTAATTGGGATGCTGCCCCCGCGACCCGGACCGGATAAGCGGAGGAAGACGAAGACGAAGACGAAGGAAATCACATTCTTGTGGCCCCCCATTGATGTCAAACATGACTTTTTTTGGCCGTCATCTTGAAAAGTTTGGACACCCCTGGCTTAAATTATTTAAATTTCACAAATTAAATGATCTACTTCTTTTGTTTAAATGAAGTTTGAGGCAATATTTCCCATTTCTGAGTGTGAAACTGAAGTATAATTGATGCAGGGATGTTATGTCAAGACATGGCTGTTTGTGTTTCTCAGGAATGTGGGGAGGTAATCTGGAAGAGTGGACTTCAGAAGACTGGAATGAGGATGTAAGGAAGTAGATTTTATTCATATGAAGGAAGTTAGAAGACCTTGCTATGATCATTTTGACAAACCTTTTGCTGCATTTTTAAACATCACATTTAGGTTACGTTAAAATGATTATCCATACAAGTCGTGTTAGTCAGCATTTTTATGGGCCATTCCCATCTGTACCAGGTCAACCCGGGCCGGGTAGCCCCAGTCGGCCCCAGCCTGGCCCGGTTGATTCCACACATCCTTGCCTTAAGCCCATGTGGGCTGATTCTACCCACCAATCAGAGGCTTGCTCTAATGGAAGGTGTGAATTTGCTGTCAGCAGTGGGTGTGTTGGCCCTGGTCGGCCTGAAGCAGACCCCCTCGAGAAGAGGGCTGAGAATGAGCCTTGGTTGGCCCGGAAAAATACCAGGCCACCCAGATATGTAAACAACCTACGCTACCCGGCCCGGGCCGACCCGGTACAGATGGGAATGGCCCATTAGTGACCTTAGTATAGGAAGTATGCAGCCACTGATCAGTAATGATCTGTAATTGGTGTCCTCTCACAGCTGTCTGAGACCAAAGTGTTCACTGCCTCTTCTGCTCCAATAAACCACATCGCACCAGGACACAAGTAAGCTTCTAACTCTATAATAGTCTTGAAAAGCTGCCAGGCAGTTTGTTTGTTTTCAAACCTAACTTTTCAAACTTTCTTCTTTCCGATCTTTTTTCAGTGTGGATCTGGCCAGCATACTGCCTAAGACTGTAGGAGGTGCTATGGATTCTGACTTGGGAGCGATAGTCGATGGTCCCTCAGCAGAGGATTTGGGCCAAAGCCTGGTTTTCACTAATTCCCATCACAACGGACGTGCTGCAGCACACAGCTACGCACATGCAACAGCCAACAGCTACGCCCATGCTGCCTCAGCTAACACCACCTATGCACATGCTGCGCTGGTATTCATAATCTTGTTCACACTCAGTGCAAGAACTAGTATAAGATGCTTTTAGTTAAAGCTGAACCTTTGCACTCAGTCTGTTTTTTGTTTATGTTTTGCTCTCAGTCATCAGTCATAGGTTCTGGTTTTGGGTCCCTGAATGCATCTAAGCAGGCACCAACTCCTGACATTCGGACATCAGAGCAGCTCAATGGGCCTCGGCTTGGTCAGAGGACAGGTCAAATGATGGCAACCACCAGCAACAGTAGTGTTTCCAAAGATGCCGGTCCACCTTCACTCCAAATTCCAGCTCCTGCTCACTCGTCTTCTGCAGATGTTAAAGCTCAGAGGGTGGAAAACGGCCCTGTTATGTCCCAAACCTGTAAGTTTGTTGTAAAATGTAAACAAAACTACAAATAACTGGCAACCATAATTATACTGATTACCCAATGTTCTTCAGTGGAAAGTAAGTTTCAACCAGAGCCATCAGCGGTGCTCAGCCAGCTTGCTCAAAGGCAGCAACAGTCCTCCATCCTTACCACCACCACGGATACTCTGGGTCTGTCTCAGACACACGCACCACAGGTCCCTACACCACCAGGTACATCTGCAGAACGTTGTCAAAGTATATGAACGCATGGCATTCTTTGGAAAATGCTATGACACAAATGTTTAGCTTTATTGAAGTTATAAATAAAAATTTTTAACTTTAGCCAGTAGCCACATACTGAGACACACTTCTGCTCTTATTATCCTGCTTCTGCTGAAAATGCATGAACGATTCTGACCAGTTTTTGGCCTGTCAAAATGCACTTTAATAATCATCTGACCCTTGTGGTGGGATACTAATTTACAATCTTAACTAGGGCAGGAATTTTTTAAAAAAAAGAAACTGTAGGAAATATATTTTAAGTGTGGCCCTGCTATTTTATGCTATTCGTTAATTAACTACTTTCAATAAAGAGCAGACAAAAACTGACTTAATTTCAATATTTTATTTAAACATTTTTATTTTTCTGGGACTGGATGATTTCAGAAAATGATGGAATTGTGTTCATTTTTCTAGCAGAAATTGATATTTCTGTTTTAATTCATGATTTTCTTCAAATTAAGGTTAAACTGCAGCACATTATTCACAATATTTAATGATATTTACAAACATGACAGGAAATGACTTCATACCATCCTGTTTTCACTCATTTTCTCACTTTTCTGTAGCGCTAGGGCTGCAACTAACGACTATTTTAATAGTCGACCAGTCACAGACTATTGAAACGATTAGTCGACTTATCGGATAATTATTAAATTTTTCTTAAATTTGGCATGGGATTGCTTTATGTGAAAAATGAAAAACACAAGAAAGATGGGTACTTCAATGGAAAATGCATATTTTATTGAACTTTGTTGCTGATAGACCAATTCATACTAAAAGTAAATAAAAATGTCCTGACTTTACACCAGTTAGGCACAGTGCTCAGTCAGTATAAACATAAATGCATAAATAAAGTTAAAATACTTTTGTCAGGCACAGTCAGGCATAACATAAAATCTCTTTTTTTTTTAAAGCGAAAATACGTTAAAAAGAATGTACAATTTTTTTTTTCCATCGCACCACATGTCTATTCGTAGATATATATAATTATTGATTTATCATCCAGCCCTAATTCTAACTGAACTAATTGTCCTAAATTTCAGGCCATGAGTCCTCCATTCCATCTGTAAGAGATGGATCTTCTCCTGGAGGCAAACTTTCAGGTCTGGAGCTTCCTGTGGCTGAAGTCCCACAACGACAATTAAAGACACAGAAACGTAGAGCACCTCCTCCATCAAAGGTATGTTCTGGTGACTTCTTTTAAAAAATAACACAATTTGTAGACAGATAATATTAGCTGTAAGGGTTTGTAGTCATTTGAGGTCATAATAATAATTTTCTTTAATGCCATCAAGAAATCCAGTGTGTTAGGGACACGTTTGAGTGTCATCTAGCTCCTAAATGCTCACCATATGCTCACTGTCTTAAACATAAGTACAGAACATGCAGCTTTTATTACAGGATTTCTACTTTTGCAATGTTTCTTTCTAATGAGTCTGTTCTTATTTATGCTGTCTACTTCAGATTCCATCCTCAGCTGTGGAGATGCCAGGCTCTGCAGATATTCCTGGTCTGAATGTTCAGTTTGGAGCTCTTGACTTTGGATCTGAAGCTGGTGCAGGGGACATGTCCCAGACTGAGCCGTCCAGAGAACACCCTCCCGCTCTGGTCCAGACAAATATACCAACTCCTGCAGCTGTTCCCTCGCAGCAGCCTCAGAGCAGCATATTCCCCAAACCTGGAGCTGTGAGGTATGTGCTTGTGTGTGTTTTATTTTGTGTTTGGTATTTTGTAACTTTGATTGCATTTAAAACATTTAGGAATGTGCAGACATGAGAAATGGGTATCAGAGTTTGCTAGACAATAGGGCTGCAACGATTCGTCAACGTCAACAAATATCGACAGTAAAAATAGTCAACATTGAATTTCATTGTCGATGTTGTCGCCAGACGTGTTTTTTCTGATCCAGTGAGGCATCTCACTTCATTACAATCTCTACCGAGAGTCGCACATGCGCGGTAGCTTCTCTGCTGAGCGTCAACTAACAGAAATGGCGGCGTCCAATACAGCAGCTACGCGTACCAAAACATCTAAAGTTTGGGAGCATTTTAGCCTGGATTCGGCAAATAAAAAGATTACCTGCATTTAGAGTTGGGCATCGATTGGAACCGGTTCCAACGGTTGGTTTTTCCCGGAATCGTTCAAGAGTTTTTTTTTTTTTTGATTCCTAGTTTCGATTCCTAGAATGCAGACGGAAGAGGAATCCGTGGCCGATCCCCGTGAAAAATAAACTTGATCTGCAAATTGTGATCAACGCTTTTCAGAGCTGATCACACCAGCTGTCTGTGTGCAGAGGGAGTCCCCCCTCCCCCCACCCGGCGCGCAGCAGCCAAATATAAACAAACTCGTCTGCCGAACTTTTACTTCGTACTGTAAACTTTAACTCCTGCAGCGTAGAGGAAACTTGTTAAATACATCAACATGGTGGATTTAATAGAAGCTTTAAAGAACAAACTCTGGACAGTGTGAGGTGGGTTTGTCTCACTGCAGAAATAAAAACACACGGAGCGTCAGCAGTCAGATGCAGTCGCTCACCAACGTGTGTGTGTGTGTGTGTGTGTGTGTGTGTGTGTGTGTGTGTGCGCGTGCGCGTGCACGTGCGTGTGTGTCTCAGAAGGCTGAACAATAACCTGTAGAATAATTGAAGTCATCATGCTTGTGAAGCTTCTCTGTGGTGGAGCACACCAGCTTCTGCCACAATAAATAATTAAAATAATAATAAATCACACACAAAGTTGTGAACATTTTAATTTCCTTTTTTTAACTATTTCTGTTGAGAGTTTTAATATTTAAAGTCTGTTAGATAGTTACTGACAGTAGCTACATTTAAGTTTCACTTTCTGTTCTGACTGAATGCTGCTGCAGCATGGAGGTTTAGGTTGTCAGTCATCCTGGACATGATCATCCTGAGAGTTTTAGCTGAAAACAGCTGGATGTTTCTGGATATGTTGGAGACATTTAGCCTCTCATCCCAGAGGCTTCTTCCAGACTTTCGTTGTGGTCAGAAACAAACACACTGGTTGTGCTGCAAGTCTTTTTCTTTTTTTTTCTCCAAAACATGTTTTTGTCTAAATGAAGGTGATGTTATTGTTCATAGAATCAAAATTCATGTTGAAGTTAAGATTATTTTATCAAGTAGGACCTGTGGTTAGATAGCTCATTTAAAACATGTCATGTCTTGAAAGAATCTGAATCGGGAATCGATAGGAACTGGGATCGAACCAAGGAATCGGAATCGTTCAAAATCAAACGATGCCCAACCCTACCTGCATTATTTGCAAAGCAGTCCTTGCATATCACGGCAGCACCTCGGTGATGCATGAACACTTAAAGAGAAAGCACTTAGGACAGTTGAATGAAACAAGAGTCTGACTCACCTCGGTAAGATTTAAATAACACGAAAGCCAATACATTTTGTATTGGATGTACATTGTACATTTTTTTAAACATATTTTCGCTTTTAAAAAAGATTTAAAGTTATACCTGACTGTGCCTGACAAAAGTATTTTAATTTTATTTATGCATTTATGTTTATACTGACTGAGCACTGTGCCTAATTGGTGTTAAGACAGGACATTTTTATTTACTTTTAGTATGAATTGGTCTATCAGCAGCAAAGTTCAATAGAATATGCATTTTCCATTGAAGTACCCATCTTTCTTGTGTTTGTTATAATTTTTCACATAATCAAAGCAATCCCATGCTAAATTTAAAGGGGCATTATGGAAGTTTGACAGCCAAAACATGTATAGAAATAATAAATGTCTTCTGAATACATTCTCCTTCAATGCCCTGGTCCTGTAGAATGAGCCCTGGCATTTTTACTGTGATTTCCTATTTTTCTGTAAAATCACAGAAAAAGAGAGCTGCTCGGGTCGAGCAGGCTGCTTCATGCGCGTTCACGCTCAGGCATAGCCCTCCGAACTGTTCTTTGAATGTTGTTTCAGCTGTCATCAAGCATAAAAATGTTACAGATACAGGAAACGCCACTGGCACTTTAGCTCGCCTAGTGAGGCTTCGGGCTTTCATGCATAAGACCCGGGTTCGATTCTAGATGTGAACATAGTTGTTTTAGAGTTTCTCTTTTACATTAATGATATATATTTTTACAGTAAGATGCCCAAATTTTTATTTGAGACTCGCCGAACGGCATTGAATTCAGATATAAAAAGATGTGGGTTCAACTTTCATTTTGGAACAATTTTTCAAGCAGGGGAAGGGAATGATCTGAGCATGCAGGAGGACTGACCCATCTTAAACCTTTGTCAGCTGTGCTGAAGAGAAAGGTACAGAACCAAATTATTTCATTAATTAGCTGCGCGTTCTCCTGTCCTCTGGGCCACACACACACACACACAAGGGACTGTCTCAGCTTTTATTTTTGTTAAGGAGTGTGCACGTACAGCATGCGCGCCTCGTGCACGAGCCTCCTATTGAAGCTGCCGTTACACTTTTGACCTGAAGGGGCAATCGCGAGCATAAAAAATCAAAACTCTGAAAAGTCCCTTTAAGAAAAAATTAATAATTATCCGATTAGTCGACTAATCGTTTCAATAGTCTGTGACTGGTCGACTATTAAAATAGTCGTTAGTTGCAGCCCTACTAGACAAATGTCATGCTTAACCCTCTAAGGGTGTTGTCTCTGCTGTTTTTTCTTGGTCCTTTAAACAGTGAACACATGAGCAGCGTACCCTCAGCTGTATCGGATGGCAACTTCCCATCACCATCTTTGGGCTTACCCAGTGCTACACCTTCCCCCTCTCTTGGTCTCCCCAGCGCAGCAGCAACTCCCTCATCCTCCTCTGTCCCTGCTACAACCAGTCGCATGGAGAACAGTGGCCCGAGGTCCCTGCCATCCCATCTTGGTTTCTCACAGAGCAAAGATGTTCCATCAACTGCTAATGCCCCTCTGACGGTAAGAATACCTTTTTTTCCCCTCGTATGATTAAGTATCCCAAATGACATGCTTATTATCAAATGGATTACTCAACTTATTGTCAAATGGATTATTTACATATAAACGATGAAATGTGCAACTTTAAATGTTTATTTTTTTAGAATGGCTACAGTGGCATGAAGACGCAGGGCACACAGGAAAGTAAGTACTTTTATCAGTTCTAGCTCACTCCTTCTGTGAAATATATCCTGGAGATGATGATGGTTACAAGCACATATCTTAATCCTGTAATGTGGAAACATTTTTGCTGAATCTCCTGCCTTCCTCATCATGCTTTTGTTGTGAGTGACTTTGTAGTAATATGAGCTATGGATTAGAGTTGAGTGATATGTATGATTTTTTCACACCGCCAATTGTCAGTCCAATAAATGACCATGGGCGATTAATTCAGGCATGTTACGTCATGATGTCACATTTTTTTGAAGTTAACTTTATTTCATTCAGATATATATATATATACATATATATATATATATATATATATATAAACAGAAAACACAAAACAAGCGGATAACACAACCAAGAATGAAAAGGAGCAGAATGAAGAGATACCTCTTATAAATCTGTCCTTTATTTAAAAAAATAAAATAAAATAAAAAGCAACAATCACAGTGTTTAAATGTTAGAAAGGCATGAATGATTTGTGAATACAGAAGTCCAAACAGTGATTTTTTTTTAAATAGAAGCGCAGCGCATATATTTGCTGGTAGAGAAATGTAGATTTTTCTTTTTGAATAATTTTGTATTTGTTGTTTGGTAGAGTGACGTAAGCGGTTCATATTAAACACAGCTAAAGTGTTAAAAAGAAGCCTTGTTTTTGTTTCCCGGTGTTACCCACTATTGTGTCATTTTTTGTTTAAGCAAAATGTTTTTTTTTTTTTTCTATTTTCTCTGAACAAAGGATACTGGGTTTCATTCTTTTGAGTTTGGGTAGGAAGTGCTGCTGCATTTGAACCTGATTTGGATGCACTCTGAGGTGGGATCATTTGCTCACAGCCAGAGGTTGCACGATGCATTTATCCCACCACTTTCATTTTTAAAATCATAATTATTCAATACTAGGAGTGTAACGGTACGCATGGTGGCGCAGTGGTTAGCACTGTTGCCTCGCAACACGAAGGTCGCAGGTTTGAAACTCTGCTGCGGCCTTTCTGCGTGGAGTTGCGTGGGTTTTCTCCGGGTACTCCGGTTTCCCCCACAGATCACAACATGACCTATAGGTTAAAATAAATTGTAAGTCGCTTTGGGTAAAAGCGTCTGCTAAGCACATAAACATAAACAAGATTCAAGGAGGGTGCTGAATAACGAGAACTACTTTAGCCCAAGTTTTAAAATCAGGAAAATGTTTTCCAAATGAAATGGCCAGAAGTCTGCCAGACTCTCTGAAAGACAGAAGGGTTTCCGCTTTCCACTCGACCTTGCGCTCTTGTGCACAATGTCGAGTGCAGTAGACGCTCTCCGAGCTCCTCTTCAGCGCGCTGCTTGCGCACACTTTCAGCAGCGAGAGGCGGAGAACGTGTGAGATAATGTTCAGATGCGCTGATGAAGATCTTTTGTTGATTATTACCTCTGCAATGTTCTCTGTGTGTAACGTGTAAAATATTTGCCATTACCAAACTAACTCACGGGCAAATAAATAAACAAACAAACAAATCACCTCTTGTAAAAAACAGCCATGATGGCTTGGCCCATCGCCGATAGTCGAATAATTCGTCCCATCGCCCACCCCTACTATGGTTGACACTCCCCAGTAACTGAAACAGTAAAATTGACTTTATTCTCTAGGCTTAATTAATGATATGTTAACTTAAGCAACTGTATTACTGCTAGGATTTTCATTTATGGCTTATTCATTTTAGTGACTACATTATTGTTGTGTAAAATTCAGTAATTTGTTTGTGCACTGATATTTAAATTAGCTATTGACCACTCAATCTCATGTTTTTACAGCGTCCTCCCGAACGATAAAAACAGAGTCTGTTATGACAAATGACAGTGGCTCAGGCCATCATATCCCCTCTCCTGCAGCCACACCCTCCCACTCAACACCTGTTCCTTCAATGAACAGGTAAGGGATGGATGGCTCATTCATTCTATGACACTTATCCTGGAGATAATGATGTTTACAAGCACATATCTCAATCATGTAATGTGGAAATATTTTTTGCTGAATCTCCTTTCTTCATAATCTTGCTTTTCTTATGATTTTAACTCGTGGCTGACAGAATTTTTTGTCTTTGTAGTCATGTGAGCAGTACTCACTCATCTGGATCGACCCTCTCCCCCAGTTCCTCTCATTCTGTAAGTTTTACACACACACATACACACACACAATTTAGCATTTTGTTGTTGCAGTTTTATTATATATGGTTGTTTGTGTAATGGTCATGATCTAGGCTTGTTTTTGATGAGATCTTCCCTGACTGATTTTTCTAACGTCAGATGGCTGAGGAGAGCAACAACAACCTCTATGCCATTTCAACATCATCCAGCCAAGTTGTGAATCCTGGTGCTCCTCCAAGTGTCAGTAACTCGTCCACCAATGGTGTGCACCAATCTGGAGGACCAGGGCTAACTTCAAATGGCACAAACACAACAGTCTCAGCTGCAGGCAGCCGCACAGCGCCCCAACTCACCGCAACATCAGGTACTATCGTGCTTACCAAAATAAATGAATATAACAAAAGAATCTCTCTCTCTCGCTCGCTCTCTCTCTCTCTCTCTCTCGTTATACGGTTTCTTTTTTCACAATCAGCAAACACTGGTATGATCCAAATATATTATTCTGACTGCACTAAATATTGAGCCACAAAACAACATGTGTATTTCTCTTCTTCCTCAGGTAAAGCTCCTCCCAACTTGGCCCAAGGTGTGCCACCTCTCCTAGCCAGCCAGTACATTATGGGCCCTGGTGGCTTGCTTCCTGCATATCCGGTAATCATCAGTGCTTTAATCATTTATTTACTAGTTTTTGTGAATGATCGGAAACTATTGCCTTGTCGTTCCACATAGACATTTTTATATGGATCTTTCAACTTGATTTCCTTTTTTGAGCTTTCATAATTATTTCACTGAACTGAAATTAAAGCAACTTAAAACAGAGCTGGCATTCATCCTATCTAAATTGTTTATCTGTATTCATTTGAATTGCGAGATTAAATTAATTGATATTTGTTACATGAGCTTCAATTTAAATAGTCACCTAAGCGATCTAAATCTTTGTTATTAATTAAATTTGCTCTCGTCTTTAACAGCAGATCTACGGATATGAAGACTTGCAAATGCTGCAGTCTCGCCTCCCCTTGGTAAGTCTGTTTTAATATACAGGTGCACCGCTTCAGCTTTTTTTTTTAAATCTCATTACGCATCATAGCATTGATTTTTAAAGTTGTTTTATTTTCTCATAACCAAACATTTTAGTCATTTCTAGGGATGCTCCGATCTGCTCTATTTGCAGGAAATCTGAATCGGTGGGGAAAAAAAAATCTTATTTAACCGTTTAATACAACAAACATTACTTTTTAAATTCATCCTGAGATATGGATTTTCAAACGGAAAAACAATGGCATCAATATTCTTTGTTTCACAGACAACACCGTTAATCTTACAATTTAAGGTAGCCCGGGTATTGTGCACCATAACGTAGCAGTTGGCTAACACAGAGCATAGGTGCCACCTTGAGAGAGACAATGTCTGTATTATGGATGTATTTGTAAAAGAACAGCAAAGGGAGTGTAATAAACATGTGTAATGTGTGCAAGCTGGGCATTTAACAAGGTGGAAAAGGTAGTGCTGCATTCAACACTGATGCGCCACCTTAAAAAAACTGACACTGCTCAGTTTGCTGCAGCAATTCAGCTAAGCCAGCCGACACAAAAAAAATACATTAAGAAACCAAAAAATTGTCCATGGACCGCAAAAATGCCAAGATAGCAGTATATCACACTGGATGAGTGTCTGTGATTGTAAACGTCGGGTTCTGCAGTCTTGTTCTGTCGCGATATGATCTGCTTTCTCTTCCTACTTTCAAAGACGCAGTAGCTCTACAGGTGTTTAGTAGAAAAAGGTTACTCTGCTGGTAACTGTCATGTGCAGTGTCATCCCTGTCGCTGAAAACAGCCGCACACAGTACACGATTTAAAATACGAGTGACAAGGATACTTTCCCATTTTTTAAAAATATGAACACATTTCTTATTAATTGAAATGGTAAATGACAATTTACTTTTACATATATTCTTAATACAAGGTATCCGCGGGTCCTTAAAAAGTCTTAAATTTACTTTTTCAAATTTAAGGCCTTGAAAATCCTTAAAAATTACAAATAATCCTTAAATACGGTTTCCAAAGGTCTTAAATTACCAAAGACCCATTAAACTAGATTATTTTATTCATTTTTGTGAATTTCTAGTTAGTCTTCAGCATTTTTTGTGTGTGATGTTGGCGTAAGTGGAACCGTACACATTCACGTTGGTTGTGAAAGGGGACTATTTTTAGATGAGCACATTAGCTGGTTAAGCTAGTGGGAGCTTGTGCCGTGGAGAAGTGCAAGTTTAATGGTAACTGGATGATTAATCCCACGTTCGCGACGTGGTTAGCACCGGTCCCAGGCAATAGCTGGAAATTATAGCAGAAATTAAATTAAAAAAAATAGCTTAAATTTGGTCAAAGTGGCCTTAAAAAGGTCTTAAAAAGTCTTAAATTTGGCTCCCATAAACCTGCAGATACCCTGTTAATAATATGTTTCTTATTAATGTACTTCCTAAACAAGTGATGTTTTATGGCAAAACAACTGAAGAAATTATGTAAATACAGGAAGAAAGACATTATTGATTCAAAATAACTTAAAGGACAACTCTGGTGTGTTCTCCTTTTTTTCCTAATGCATTTCTAAAGTAAAGGATCAGCACTCGGTGTCGGCAGATTCTTAAAATTAAATGACTCTGATCGGGAGCAAATAAACGTGATCGAACATCCCGTGTCATTCACTACTTATTTACACTATTCAAAACAAGGTGTGGTGGGCAGAACTGTTAAAAAACAATCATGAGGTTTATTGTATTTGTCAAATGTGCATCTTATATATGTGGGTATTTTTGTGTAAAATCTATTTTAGCTGCCTGTGCCACTAGTGTAACTGTCTTTTTCCTCTTTCTCAAGCATGACTACTATGGTGTTACATTCCCTGGTGCTACTATGCCTGGAAGAGAAGGCCTGGCCAATAATCCATATTCTGGTGACCAAAGCTTTGTATTTGACACAGTATTTTGTAAAGCTGTAGTTCACCTGTCTTGACATTTTTGCTTTCTGTCAATATTGTTTTTCTTCACTTTTAAAATGGAATGTTGATAAAATAAGAAATGGTCATAGAAAGAACTGTATAAAATTTTCTGTCCAGGCGAGGCAACTAAGTTTGGCAGGAACGACTCTTCATCCCCAGCACCGCCAACAAGCCTGTCCACTGCGGGGGTGCAGTCCCAGCCCCAACAGACACAGCAGACAGGGACTCCAGGCCAAGGGCTGAGTCAGAATCAGGGTCAGCAAACACAAAATCAGGCCTTCCTCAATCCTCCAATACCACCTGGTTATGGATACACTGGTAAGGCGAATCAGTTTGTATAAAATAAGGGGGTTCAATTTAGTTTCCGATTAAATCATCAAACCCATTCTCCTATTACAGCTTCACTCGTCCTCCTAATTTAAAGGCATACTTTAGCAACTTTTTTCATATTTTTTTGGGCAGTATGTGCTGAAATGACCCTTTACAGGGTTAATCAAAGGCCACCCAGCCCCCATCACCCCCTGTGGCCAGAATATTCCACTTGCAACTTCAAACGGACTCTGGAAATTGATCTGATATGCCTGGCAGCGCTGCGGTCTGCTTCCAGCTCGTTTCCTGCATGTTTTAGATCGTGAGCACAGCTGATTGGTTTAATTGAGTGATGAATCACTACTGTAAGACACTAAGGAAGGTTGGTGAGACATTTCAGCAGTTAGATTAAGGTGTTAAAAAGACGAACGCACAGCAAGATGTTTTGCCCAGGTTTTGCTTTTGGTTCTACAAACGAACACTAGGGGGTGGTAAAAGCAAGCCAATACTGAGAACAAATGTGTGAACAGCTCTAATGTATAAATTCTGTTAACTATAGTAACGTAACTCTACTTTGTTCCCCTAACTGACTTCTTCAAAGGTCTGCCATACTACACTGGCATGCCTGGAGTCCCCTCAGCCTTCCAGTATGGTCCTACGGTTTTTGTGCCTCCAGCTTCAGCCAAACAGCCTGCAATGGGACTGGCCAACCCCTCCAGTCAGTACCACCAACATCAACCCAGCTATGGACAGCACGCTTATGGTGCCGGTGAGTCTAGGACATTATTTTGTTTTCAGTTGCTTTAAAAAGCCCAATTTCTCCAGACTTGATGTGAAATTCTAAATCAATTATAAGAAGTAGAACAAATGAACTGGTTTTACTGATTTGAAATGTCATGTGTTTGAACTCTAGTGACCGCAGTAGAAACCTTACACAGTTCTTGGCTCAAAGTTTGTGTTAAGATGATTTTTAAAAAAGAGGGAAAAGGTGCTGCATGTGTTTGTGGCGTCAGGCCTGTTTTTTCCTGCTTATGCTGCTTGCACAGCTAAAATCCCCTGCTAAGGTTGGACACAGCTTAATATACACAACTGCCAATCTGTTGCTCCTCTTCCTCGTTCCACCTCTCCTTCTGTTTTGTGCTCTTCCTCCTCCTTCAGCCTTTGATGACCTGTCTCAAGCCCATGGTGGGGAATACAGTAAGGCAGGGTACGGAGGCTCTGCCCAGTCACAGGCCAAGTCTGCAGGCAGCGGCCCAGGGAAAGGTACACAAACACTTCCATGCAGAAACAACAGGGTTGTATTGTTTTCTTCCAGTGGGGAAAATGGATTTACTAACAATAACAGATAATTTTACAGTTGGGTGTTAACCAAGGATAGCTGTGTGTGTGCATGCATGTAAATCTACATCTTTGTGGATATAGAGGAGAAGGAAAAACTTAAGACATATGCCTCTGCAGCTTCCCACTTAATATGCTTCTTCCTTCTGGCTGGCACTCATGACTAATACTAAAACAGACATGTTATGTCTATATTTCACATGTCTGCAGCGGAGTGACTACTGACATTTATTTTCTATTAATGTCTTGATCCCTCACCTCATTCTTGTTTGGCCTTTTTGATGTTCCTTCATACATCCTAATTCCAGTATAACTTATTTGTCCTTTCTGTTTCTGTCTGCTTTTTTTTTTTTTTTTTTTGTTTCACTGCTAGCAGCAGGATTGTCGGGATCGGGCACTGGTGGTGGAGTTCCTGACATGGGAGGTTCAATTTACAGTAAAACACAGGTGTGTTTTCTGCTATTAGAAATTATTTAATGATAGAAGGATGGTAGCACTTTTATTTCTCTTTTTTTGGGGTGGGCGGGTAAATCTAAAGAAAATGAATAGGACTGTGTATTTACAGCATGCTATGTGAAAAAATAACCCATTATTTTGTAAGTTGCCCAAATTTGAGAACCGTTATTTATAAACTAATAATCTCATCACAGCATTACATATTCGCCTAATAAAATGTTTGAAACATTCAGATAAGAGATGCGACTGAAAAACTTAGTTTCATGAAAAGGATTAAACAAAAATGAAATGGCTTGAATACTTTTGAGATCGTTTTAATACAAAGCAGGCTTTTTACAGGAAAAAAAATATTTTAAAAAGTTTACATAGCTCAGTATTTATCCATTATACTGCAAGTTTTATTTTAAACATTTCCCCTGTTTTTTAATTCCTCAGTCATTTGAGAAGCAGGGCTTCCACACAGGGACACCACCTCCCTTCAGCCTGCCTTCAGCTCTGGGGGGAACCGGGCCCATGAACCCTGCAGGTGCACCTGGCTATGCCCCTGCTCCCTTCCTCCACATCCTCCCTCCTCACCAACAACCCCACTCCCAACTGTTGCACCACCACCTCACACAGGATGGACAGGTAAACACAAGCTGATACAGTCTGCGTCATGAGAAGAGATTAGCAGTCTTATAGATGTCTTGAATAGTCTAAAGCTTGACACAAATTTGCTTTATTGCAGGGCGGTCCTGGTCAGCGCAGTCAGTCCAACAGTTTGCAGCAGAAAACCCAGGGCAGCAAGTCCAGCTACGGCAGCTCCCCATACTGGGCAAACTGAGGAATGCTTCCCATTTCCCTCCCCCAAAAGGCTGTGTGTGTGTGTGTGTGTGCATGAGCGCGAGTGTGTAAAGCTAAAACATGAAAACAAAAAGCAAACAGACACACTACCCTTACAATGAGCATCCCTGCTCTCCCCACCTCCCCATGTCCTCATAAGTCCTTTGGGTTCTCTCTCTCTCCCCTCTTCAAATTTGGTTGTACATGTAAGATATTTATGTATGTATTTATATATATAAATATATATATACTGTATATGTAATAGTAGAACATGAAATGTGGTTGCTGCATTTTATTTTTGAAGGACTTTTTGTTTACTTTTTTCAAAACTGCAGAAAAAGATGTTACATTAATATAGAATGGGATAACAGTGCGGAGGGCGCAGACTAGAAAGTGTCAGATTTAACTGGAAGAAACCAGAAAAAGAGAGCAGTGGCACTGATTGCATATGAGGACACTTCAGATGGGGGTGGGGTTTATAAAAACTAACTGCATTTGTCTTTTTTTTTTATACACGACTTCTTGAATGGCCAGATTCATCTCCTTTGAACCTTTATCCCCTCCTTGGTTTCTCCTCCCTTTTCTTCTGGACGCTGCTTGCTCTACTTGTGTGGACACCTTCCCTTTTTCACAACAACCCTGCCCAACCAAATTTTATATTTTAATTTAATTTTAACCCTTATTTCTCTCTAAATAAAGTTCTGAGCAGTTTGAGCTCTGACCTACCTGTCTCTGTAATTTCTTGATGGGTGCTCATTATTTACACTGGATTTTATTGATTGTGTCTGATATTCAGACAGATGAAAAAGGTAGACATTTTGAAAAAAAAAATTAAAAAGTTTGATACGTTTGGAAACAATGTTACTAAGGTTATTCAGTTTTATTAGTCATTACTGATGAAATGTGAAACAAGCATAAAAGCATTTATCTGTTAGAAGTGGAATAAGGATTCTGAATCTGCACCTTTCCCCTGATGTTCTTGAATATTTTTAAAAAGTAAAGCTTTATAAATTAGATTCTGCTTGATGTACAAGTTGTGATGAATTTATACAATTTCTGTAGAGGTTGGCTATGTTTTATAATGGGTCTATTTGGATTTTAGTTGACTTAAAGCTGCATGTATAGTAAGAATAAAAATAGATGAACAATGTCTAGGTTAAAGGTCAAGGTCAATTTTGTCGATAGAGCGCATTTACAGCAGCAAAGCTACACCCAAAGCGCTGTACAAGGTAAAACAAATCAAGATACAACAGATCAACAATAAAAACCTAAAGTAAGATGAGCACACAACTGTCACAATCTGTAATAAAAACTTAAGATGCTCAAGTCAACCTGCATTAAAAGCCAAATAAAAAAAACCGCGTCTTAAGAAGGGATTTAAAATGCTTTAGATTCTGTGTGGTCCTGATGTTGAGAGGTAGCTTGTTCCACAGTTTGGGACCAACCACAGAGAAAGCTCTGTCGCCGCGAGTCTTGTGGCGGGTTTTTGGAACTGTTAAAAAAGGAGTCTTAAGTGCCATGTTGAGATGGGGTAAATCACAAAAAACTGAGTATAGCACCTTTCAGACACAGAAGCAATTCAGTATGCTTTCCATGAGCAAAAAACAAATTTAAAATCAAATTTAAAATGCATAAAATTAAGTATTTAAGTATACAGACAAAATTAGATGAAAAATAATTATTTTATTGACTATATATATATATATATATAGATGTGTGTGTGTGTCAGGTTTAAGCACCTAAGACACCATATAACAACACAACACAAGGAAAGAGACACAAAAGTCAGAATTCTGTTTAAGCTCGAGGAGAATGGAATAAGGCCACACCAACTCAGTCTCCACTGAGCTGACAGTTCCTCCAAACCATTCTGGCGTTTGGAATCCAAGCATCTCTATTTATTACAAGCTGGGAGCTTCCTAGTTACATGCCTGAGAGCTGATTCTGAAGGGAGGGGGAAAACAGCTCTCCGTTTTTAATTGTTACAAGTTTCACACAAAGAGCATTCATTATTACACAAAGAACTTTCAGTGTCTAATCACACGATGAGTAGCAAACAGTTTGCACGAGTCAGCAATCGACAGAACAGCAGATCTCCTCAGGTCATCCTTGGGTCACATTAGGTCAGATTTTAACACCCTTAAAGTCTCATGAGGGGACTTTACAATACAGCAACTGTTTTAAGCATTCAAATGGTAAAATCATTGAGCATAAAACATGGTAAATGAAACATGCTTTAATTGTAATAAAAGCATAAACGAAACAATCTTTAATTGTAATAAAAGCATAAATGAAACAATCTTTAATTGTAATAAAAGCATAAATGAAACAATCTTTAATTGTAATAAAAGCATAAAACATGATAATTGAAAACATGAATAATAATTCTGTCAGTGTGTACAGTCTTTCGTGTGTAGTTTTTTCTCACCTGTAGGTGGCAGCATACAGCTATGACCTAATACCTTGACAGAAGAGACTTGTTCAAATAGATTTTGCTGTTCTGAACATCAAGCAAATCTTAATATATAGAAGACACGTTTCCTTTTCCATAAATGGCAAATGCTTAGAATTAAAGTGAGGTATACATTTCAATCTCTGAAAGTAAGCAGACTGCCAGAGAAGCCTCTATAACCCCGACAAAGGAAGGGGCATGTATGAAAAGCAAGATGTTTAATCAGAAAACAGTGAGTGGCAGGAGCTATTATGAAATAAGTGCAAGAACCAACAGCAGCAAGGTCAAAAGTCAAAGTGTAGTTGAAAGGCCAGCCTCGCCGAGACCACCCACAAAGACACAGAAACCAGCGGTGTGACATAGGAGAGACCTGAGGCAATGGAAAAGTACATGACATCATGAAAAATGAGAAATCTTAAGAAAAAAAACACCCAAGTTCATCAGTGACAATTTAGGGGAAAAAAGTTAGAGAACATCAAGAAAGCAAAGTCAACACCAAAGCAGACAAGGTCACGGTGGAAACATAAACAATGGTAGATGAAGACCCACAATGAGTGTTTGAGTTCACACGTCTGACGATGTCTGCTTTCATGAGACGAGAAACTCGTGTGGGAGCTTCCTCTCCAGAATGCAGAGCTTTAAACTGAATGAACAAATTATCTGTGTCCTCTGTGAATAAAGCTGGTTGGCTTCAGCTTCCCATTGGGGGTCTTCCATTGTAGCGTCTCATGGATGCCGTTCAGTCGTCTACAAGAGTTTTTATTGAAACTCTGTTTTGGCTTAAATACACAATTCACCGTGTTATTTCATTGAGGTGCAGGAATGCACACAGGAATGCTCCTAAGAGTGTTTGTTGACACTTGCGACCGCTCCGTTCTCAGATGTTGACAAAGGCATTTTGTTGGGGTTCATGAAGTTCACTCCTTTGAGAAGTGCGGGGAGCTGTGAGGCTGTCACACAGGATATCACAACATTTAGGACCTGAATGGGAATCAGGGGCCCTGGTGCTTACGGCAGCTTTGTGATGTGGGGTCTTTTTTTTTATAGTAAACCCAATTTCTGCTGTGTTTAGTCTCCATTCCTTTTTTGTCTTTCAATAACAAACCATTCCACCCAGCTGAAAGGGAAATTACCCCTTGATCCCCCCCCACCCCCAGTTCTTTTCATCTCCATCTGTGAGTCTATAAGATGCTCCTGCCCCCTGGTTGTTGTGAAATGGGACAGTGGCGTCCATTCAGCAAGAAACCATCTGCAATTAGTGCAATTATGCTGATTTTCACTTGTGCCCAATGCAGAACAGAGTTTCTGCCGTGCACAGAGACGTCCACAGAAAATTGCTGCAAAACAAAAAGCCATCAATCAGCAAAGGGCTTGGATAAATGGCTGAAGTACAGATGATATCAGACACATTCCATTTACTCAGCTGTGAGCTGCATTGCAATAAAGGCGCACGCCATTTAAAACCAATTTGGAAAAAATATTTAATCACCCAGACGGCACAGCTAAAGCAAAAGTTTTGAATTCAGTTCAATTTTGCTCGTGTTCAAGCTAATTAAAGAGATCTTGGGCACAGTTCCCACACAAGTTTATAAACCATAACTGAAAAGGAACAGAATGACAGTTTCGTTTAAAATAAAAACATCAGCCTGTCCATCCATCATCATCCCCAAGAGAGCAGTCCTTAATTGGCTCGTGATATATGTGAGCCTAAATCATATTTCTGTATATCTGCTGCTGTTTTCTGTTGCATGGTGAGTTATAGTTTACTCATATGTCAAAATTAACCGGCAGACTGACAAAGTTTCATATTTTCACTTTTAATTATTGGTTTCCTGTAAATTCACTGTGATTATGATCAAAGAGATTAATTTATTGCTTAATAATTTTGCCTTTAGGGTCTTTTTATAATAAATATACAGTCCAGAAATTAGATCTTGGGTTCGGACCCTTATGCAATGTATTACTGATAAAAAGACAAAACAATAAAAAACGTGATGAAATAAAAAGAGACCAAATAACCACAGAGATGCAAAAATGACTCCCAAAATGTGCCACGAGACTGAGTTTTTAAAGTTGGGCAACAAACCACATGTGGATTTAAGAATGAGGCACAAAAGAAAACAACGTACAACAAAAACTAGTATAAAAGAAAAGACAATTCATGAAAAACATCTGCAAAACCCAGTCAAGACTCTAAAAGTTAAGCCTCTGTCTTTCAGCTGTCAGCCTGTGGATCACACTGACTTTTAATTTTATGTAGAATTGGTGCCAAGGACTAAAAAGCATTTTAATGTGTTACATAAATAGAATAGCACCAGTCTGAATTTGAGGCAAATGACTTCAAAGATGTCTCCCAGGGGTGTTCTCGGAGGAAACCCTTGAAGGTGGCCCCAAGGTAGCTATGTGAGCCCCCCAGTTTGTGCCCCCCCCCCCCCCCCCCAACACACACACACACCCAAGAGGCTGTGTCTGGCAGATCGGTGTTACGTAAAAAAAAATCACTCATGCTCTTTTTCCACCTGGTTGCAAGCGTCGGTCCAAACACGGTGTCTTTAAGACCCAGCGGAGCTTGGGAGGGAAACCCCACGGCTTGAGTTGTTTCTACTCTCCGGAGTGTCAGCCAGTTATTTATGGGGAGGCGCTGTAGCCATTTCGCCACATGAAAGCATGATGAGCTGAGCGGCCAACATCCGAGTTGTTGGTGGGGAAGCGAAATCAGCTTTGAGGAGCTCCGCGCGCGCACACGAACCTGCGCGTGATTACGCACGGCGCGCAGACACGCACACACTTCCTCCTCGTCCTCCGTGGAAAAAAAAGAGGGAGAGAGAGAGGAGCCGAGAGAGGGTACACGAACTTCTAACTCTCCCATGTGGAAAGCAGAGGTTTGGAGATAAGGTGTAATTCTCCTCCGTGGAGCTCTCCTCCTCTGTCCTTCTCTTTTTTCCCTTCTTAGTGATTTTTTTCTTCTTTTTAAAATATTTTTATCTGGATATTTTTGTTTCTATGAGCGTCATTTTGGGCGAGAAGAGAAGTTTGGTTGTTTGCCTGGTCGGCTGAGGAGGAGGAGTGGAGGAGAGTCTGGTGAAAAGTGGGGGGAAGATGGTCCACAACGCCGCTTGGAGAAGAAGCTTCCTCTGCGTCCTGGCGCTCTGTCTCGGCTTTGCGTCTCCACCGTGCAAAGCTCGGATTTACACCAACCACTGGGCAGTCAGGATACCCGGAGGACCCGAGGTGGCCGAACATATAGCGCAGAAATATGGCTACAGGAACATGGGACAGGTGAGTCAAAGTTGCTTCTCCTCGGTTTATGTGCTATCCGGACTTCTCACCAGACTGCTCCGAAGTCCAAACATTTTTGTAACTCTTTCTCCTCAAACGTGGAGAGAGGAGCAGGATGGCACAACAGGTGCCTCCTCACTGGGCTTCCACACACTAGTTAGAGAGTGAACAAGCTTTGTTTTCCTCACACATACCTGAGGTCAGCCATGCTGTCTGGGTTGTGATGGGAGGCATTTAAAGATCCAGAGTAAAACAGTTTACATAACAGTGAATGGCACTCATCCATTCTTCTCATTATTGGGATCATTTGATTAAAACAACTTCAGATTTGGATGTCTTTGCACCTCTTAATGCTTTTTACACTTCAAATGTGTTCTTCAGCAGCGTTTCTCTTGCATTTAACCAGATTTGGCTATTTGCATGAGTAAGGCTGATTTTCTTATTTAGGTAGTGATAAAGCACCTGTATGTGGAAACACTGTAAAAACGTGTCTAGCTTACGGACTCATAACGTTCCTCAAAGCTTAAACACACAGGCCAGGCTGTTTATGGTTGAATATGACTGCCAACTGTGTGTTCTGTTTATTTCTGCTCATGTACTTTTTGATGAGGAGAAGTTGAGCGGCGTTTAGAGGTCTTTTTAAGGATACTCAAACATGGACCCCACACATGCCCAAGTGCAACCAACATACATGATACGTTCATGCCTGCACTTGCAGTGTTGGATGTGCAGACATCACCCAACATTAGGGGGCATTCTGACAGGTTGTTGTGGGGTAGCCTAGTCAACAGCCATTGAACCCCCCTGCCCCTACCTCTCCATGTTATCCAGCTTGCCCACCCACTATCCTCCCCAAGAGAGCAGGCCTTAATGGCCTCGTTTATCCCCTCTCTTTGACAGCAACTAATGTGTGGAGTCCCCCCCTTTTCAATACCACCTCCCCACCCACAGGAATTCCCCAGTAGAGTGGAGTGTCACCCCCAACCCCCACCATTCGCCCTAATTTCCATCTCAATATGGAGCGCTCATTGGACTTTGACACCTCATAGACAAGAGTTTTGCTTCACTTCCTGGTTTTAGGGGTCAGCTGAAAGCCGCTCCCATGGGAGTGATAGCAGCACGCTCTTGTTGCCTAATGTGAACTCTGACATCTCTGTCATCAACCCCCACACCCTGTTTAACGGCACAAGTCATAGTGAAATTTAGCTATTAAAAAACATATATATCTTTATTCCACTGTTTTTTGTTTCCCACTCATCTTTTTCTTTTCAAGCTTTTGTTATTTTGCCTCGTATGGATTTTTCCGGAGCGGAATGGCCGGGATGAAGCGCGGATATGAACGCTGGATGAGATAAGATTTTTAAATGTGAAGGGAATCAAAGTAGTAGGGAAAGGGGGATGGGGGGGGAAAAGCAGAAGAGAGACAATGTAGTCTTCTTGACAGGGTTGGGAAAAGGAAATCAGACGGAGATAAGCACACAGTGGGAGGTGGTAGAATGAGGGGGTGAAAGAAGGATGGTAGATAGACGGATGGATGAAAAGAGTTGGCATGGTGTATGAGAGCACCTCGTTGGGGAATTCTGGGTAATCCTCTTAAGCATGGAGCCCCCTTCCCAGACTAAGACACTGGCCCAAATTGAGTCCAAATCAGCTGACAAGGCCCCAGACGATGGTATCTGTCCAAATTGGTGTTTTGAAGAGATGGGAGAGGATGTGAAACCCATTGAGAGGGACGGTCATAATCTGGAGCCAGACACAGACGGGAGACACTTGGATCAATAAGAATTTAAAAGGTTGTTTGTGCAGCTTGTAGGGATGCTCTTCTGATTTGCCATGCAAAATAGAATGGAATGAAATTTATTTGGTGGAATATTGAGTGAAAGAGGCAGGGATTCCAACATAGAGGTGCACCAAACAATTAGCTGTTGATCAGAATCAGTCATGCTCTGCCATGTTTGTTTGTTTTTGTGATTTTTATCCAATCCGAAATGCAAAAATTGTGTTTTAGGTTTAGGGTGTCGGAGCGCACAGTTGCCAAACTCCAGAGAAAACAAAATGAACTCACCTTCTCCTAGCTCTACTTGACCCTGGGAATAACGGACATTCATTGTGGAACTTTTAAGTAGGGATGCGCAATATCTTGGCATCAATATCGATATCGGCAGATGTTAGTCATTTTTTAACATATCAGTATCGGTCTGATAAATAAAACCAATATTTTTTTCCTTTATTTATCTGTTTCAGAGGTTGAGGGGGGTGATGTGTATTTGTTTAGTCATGTGACAGTGAGTGTAATCATCTCAGAAGTATAAATGTGTGTGTACATAACACTAATTCAGCTTTAATCATTTTCATTCAATACAACATCTGCTAATTTTAGAAGCATTAATGTCAGTACATCGGTATCGGCTAATATCGATTATCGGCCATAACAGTGATATTAATATCGGATATCTGTATCGGCCCAAAGATTTCATGTCGGTGCATCACTACTTTTAAGTTAACATATATTTATAATTCAGATTTTCATTAGTTATGTGAGTGTATTAGAATATCAGTTTGGGCATGTCAGAGCTAAAAAAAAAGTTGGGAATCTGTATTGGTTTTTAAAACCAAATCGGTGCTTCTCTACACAAAGCTATTTGACCCAGTAATGAACCCCCCCCCCCCCCCCCCCCCCCCCCCCAAAAAAGCATATTATGAAGTTTTCTTTCCTGAAAATATAAATTTAAAACCTAAAACATCTTACAAGGGTTTGGGATTACACGTGATAATGTGTTGCATTCTGGGACATGGCAGACATGTTGATGGTCTTACGAGTGTAAACAAACCATGAAAATAAATAATACATCGCAGAGAAGAAGCAGATTAGTTAGACAGAAAATAATAAACAACATGTTAAAATCCTGAAAAGGATGTGGAGCATAAATATGGAAGCCAGGGACCGGTATGTGGACAAAATCAGCATTATAAATGGTTTGGGTCCATGTGAAAGACCCGACTGGACCACAGACGTTGTTGCCGCTGCTGTTCTGCATAACGGACATTTTTGGCTATCTTGTTTGTGGTGTGATTGGATGTTAACATCTGGATGAGAGATAAACATTGTGTTTGCTAGTTTTTGTAGTAAAACAATCAAAATTGTCATCCCATAGAAGAAGTGTAGAAGAAGAAGTTGTGTTTCAGTAAGCCCACATTAGCCTACTGGTATGTGTGTGTAGCCTATCTATGTGTTGGTATGCAAGTCACGGTTAAAGGAAAGAAATTCTGGAATACTCTGGAAGCTGATGTTTGGTCGCCTTTCAGCTGCAATCCATGTGAGATGACCAGCCTTTATGTCGAAATGGTAAATGGTCTGTATTTGATATGGCGCCTTCTAGAGTCCTGGAACCCCCCAAGGCCCTTTACAACACAATCAGTCATTCACCCATTCACACACAGATTCACACCCTGGTGGGGATGAGCTATGATGTAGCCCCAGCTGCCCTGAGGCACACTGACACAGACGAGGCTGCCGAGCACTGGCGCCACGGTCCCTCCGACCACCACCAGCAGGCAACGTGTGTTAAGTGTCTTGCCCAAGGACAACAGACTGAGCGGGGCTCGAACCTGCAACCTTCCAATTACGGGGCGAGCACTTAACTCCTGTGCCACCGTCTCCCCGAATCCTTGGTCCCCGTATTTGTGCCTCCAAGCAGGTAAAGAGTCAAAAGTTAGCCTGTTTTTCACATTTTTTCCTTGCGTAATATAACCGATCAAATAAATAATAGGTTAAAGGAAGCTGCAAGAACAGGATGAGCGCGGTTGTCAGAAGTAACAAGCAACATGTGAGAACTCCGAGGCTACCAACATGGTGGCTGCGTCAGTGATGACGGCGTGATCCGAACCTCTGTGGAAGAAGAATGCAGCAAATGCAAACTGATAATTTTAGAAACTGCAGTGATGAGACCATAAACACCAAACAACAACAAAAGAGACCAATCAAGAGACAGGGATTGATATCTCCCGCCTTGTGTTGCTGTCTCTGTCCAGTTTTGGTAGTCTAAGCCGTATTTGTGTTTGAAACATTTATATTCAGTTTTCTTCCTGTGACATGAAAGTTTTAATAATCTGGTGAAGAAGACATAGAGAAACAATACATCATGAATGAATAATGCAAAAGTGTGCTTCACCTTATTTCCAGCTACCCAATTCTTATGCAGAAGTCGTAATTTGCTTTTGTGGATTGTTGCAGTTCAATAACATCAGTTGACTGTAAAAAGGCCTGCTTAAGCCTGTGTTCACACAGGCTCATAACCACCATAGCAACTGCAGCCTTACATGTGTCATAATACAGGATCAAAGTGAGGAGATAAACATGTCAAAGCTCAACTAGAGGTTGTAAAAAGTTAGTTGCACACCATATTTGAGATATATAATATATAATATAAAATATAATATGAGACAGGTGAGTCAAAGTTGGAAATGAGCTGAAGGCTGGGTTATGTGGTAGTGGGTGTCTACAGTGGATCAGCGGTGCACCACAGGAGCCATGGCAGCCAAGACAGTGTGATCATCTGAGGAATAGAATGGTCTTTATCAATTATTTAAAGTAACCGCTGTCCAGCAGCTTGCTGTCTTCCTGTGAATAATTTGTTCACGTTTTCTCACCTGATTGTGTGACTGACTTTTAGTCTTTAATGATCTGTTTTTCATTATTCTTCTATTATTATTTTTTTCTGCCTGTACTTGAAAGTTTTCTCTATTCTTAAAACTTTATCCACAATATAAACGAATAACAAACGTTTTAATGATAATAAAATAGGCAAGGCACATTTTAAAAAAGTGATTAAGTATGTATTTTGTTAAGATCCCTGATAAAAATGTCTTATGGAGCTCTGGTGTTGTATGTGTGGTACTATTCACCTGTGTAATCCTGCACTATTAACTCCAAACATTGAGCTTTAAAGTCGTATTGAAAACAAAACATCTTCAGCAACTAAAAATGACAAGACATCCATGAGTAGCAAGACCTGCATCCTGGAAAATGATAAATACAAACATGTCTGATGGTGTTATAATTAAATGTAAAAACAATAAACCTTTGGTGTAATTTTTTTCTAGATTGGAGACCTTAGAGACCACTATCACTTCTATCATAGTCGGACTATCAAAAGATCAACGTTGTCCAGCCGTGGTCGCCATAGTTTCATCTCCATGGAGCCTAAGGTGAGTCTACTGCTTAGAGCTGGTTTTATTTGTGTACCTGTGTGCTTTGCTGTGTTCTTACTCGGTCGTACTGGGTATGACTGTGTGAATAGCACCCAACGATATTGTGTGATCAAATAGAGCCACAGTCGAGTTAACTCCATCTGTTAATTATAATGTTTGCAGTTCTCGCCCAAGCAGGTAGTCTTCGAGTTTACTTGGTTTCTAGGGCTGTAGCGAAGCCTCGACGAAGTCGACGGCTCGATTCTAAAAATTTGTCGACGTCAGATCCGGAAGTCGACGCACCGCGCCCACTTGTTGCATCCCCAGGAGTTTGTAAATGGAGGAGGAATCTGCCTGTTCTTCCTCTAGTTCGCCCTCTTCTCCGCCTTCACTAACATCTCCGCCAAATACCGAAGACCCGGAACAACGTCCGTCCACTACTAGATTATTTTCCTGTTTTGCCCCTTCGTCTCCCGGCAACGGACAACAACTTCCGGGGTCAGATGCGCTGCTTCGTGTCTATCGCAGATGTAGAAAATCACCGGGAGCGTTTCTCCCTTCATAAAGGAGCTTCTTTCAGACATGAGGAGAGCTGTTTTGGTGGTAGCAGTCTCTCCTCCGTGCTGGTCTGTTTGCTGCTGGGTGTTTTTGGTTTATTTAAACTTGGTAACTTGAACTTAATGTTGGTAAAGCTACTGTTAGCATCTTCGCTAACAGCTTCTTGCGTTGGGATAAGCTGTTACGTTTTGGTTTAGAGTTCATCTTTTTTGTGGTGTAGATCTCCCTTTTATTACATTTAGAGTGTTGTGGGTTTTCGGTTTAGTGTAAAATACCACCTGAGTTTGGTTTAACCCGTAAGACCACTCGCCTCACGCACATAAGTGACCAAAACAAAGCAGCATGGAGACACTCCATCTTCTACCACCTCTCAGGCAGCAGCCTGCACTCCCAAGTTCTACATGTCACCAGAACATAACCAACTGCAACACAATAAACGCAGTGTTATACAAAATGGAAGGCCTGTAGTGTTTATTCTCTTACAGTAAGAATTTATCAATTTTTTTTGAGGAATTTATTTGAGATTTTCTGGTTTTTGTTAATTGTGCAATAGAAAAATAATCATTAGATTAATTTTCTAAATAGTCATTAGAATAGTCGACTATTCGATAAAATAATCGTCAGAATAATCGTTTTAAAAATAATCGTTTACCCCCAGCCCTATTGGTTTCATCAAATTGGTATGTGTGGAGGATTTTGGCAGATTGTGTCTGGGAAGTGTGTTGTCCACAAAAAGTCATGTTTAGGTTTTAGAATTTGTCAATGGATTTAGTTCTGTTTATTACTCACATGATGCACATAAGATGGACAATGCTGGAAAACACTAGCAAAAATGCACTTTCATTCTTAAACCTTATTGCTAAGACACTTGTCACATTTTTCTGGGTTTTCCAGTACTTTCTCCTTACGTCCGGTCTGACAATTATGTTCTAAATTAAGTAACTCACTAGGTACCACTTGTGATCTTTACTTGACACAAAGGTAGTGCAAGGTGATCTGTAAACAACGTGAGGTGATCTGTAGGCCACATGGAAACGCAACACAGCGGAATGGCGATGATGTTGAACATTCAATTCAATTCAGTTTATTTCTGTAGCGCCAAATCACGAATGGAGTCGTCTCAAGGCACTTCACAAAGTTAACAGTCCAATATAGGTCAGTTCATTAAGCCAGTCAGTAAAAAGTTCCCTATAAAAGGAACCCAGCAGGTTGCATCAAGTCACTGACTAGTGTCAGAGACTTTACAGCAATCCTCATACTAAGCAAGCATGTAACGACAGTGGAGAGGAAAACTCCCTTTTAACAGGAAGAAACCTCCAGAGGATCCTGGCTCAGTATAAGCAGCCATCCTCCACGACTCACTGGGGATTGAGAAAACAGAGCAGACGCACGCACGCACACACACACACACACACACACACACACACACACACACACCTATATACCTATATCTCGACGAGTGGAAGCAAACTGTTAGCATCAGCAAATCCGCAACACGGCAAAACTCCTTCAGGCTTGTGTTATTTGTGAAGAGAAAACCTGAACATTGCAAAGCAAACTGAGTCAGTGGTGGAGTTGAGTTGTCAGACTATCAGGAAATAAGACTCCAAACGCTGCCGTCTTCCGCTCCCCTCTGCTTTGGCTAAATGCTACTTCCTGAAACAGGAGCGCCAGAGCCTTTTTTTCCGACAGATTCACGAGTCATTCGTTTATACTAGAGACCACTGCAAATACATTGGAAAAAACAAATGAACTTAGTCTTTAAAATAAACATTTCGAACATACGCTTATTTAAAATAAAAAAACGCAAAGTCGAAAGCCATTAAAAGCCTCTTCAAGTTGAATCCATTGCTAAGCCTTGATAAGCCTGGATTTTTAAAAGCAGATTTTTGACGAGTTGTTATAGGCGTCAATATCTTATTTGCTGCACACAGCTCAATCAGTCTCAGGTTCAGTAATCAGGGAGAACTTTTTATAGATGGGAGCGAACACCTTCTCTGCCTGTTCCAGAGCAGATTTCTGTCTAGTGTGTCTAAAGTGTTTCAAGCTAATATTATGTTATAAACTTTTGCATTGACTCACTTAATATCTGACAAAGTTACTCACGTAGGACGCAAGGATTATTTAATCTGAAAACTTTGTTGAAACTCTATTTGGGTGTAAAAGTAAATGAAACACTATCCTTCCAGGATTTAATGATCTGTTGGACTCTTCTAAACCACTTTCAGTAATTCCAGCAAACTTCTGAGTGTCTTGTTTGTGCTCGATACAAACCAGTAATTTGACTGATTAATGTCATTTCCACAACCGCGTGATGCATGTTTTGACGAGACTATTTAAGGAATGAGAATGTTAATGTTGGATATTGTTTTGTCAGGCAAAATCTTTAAATTGCTAAAATACTTTCATGTAGCATTTACACTTTTAATGTTTTAGTTTAATAATATTAATCTGGTCAAAACCCATAATCCATTCTTCGTCTCCAGTATCTGTTTTCCGCCTTACTCCTTTTACTGTTGCTTTAAATACTGTATACACCCCTCCCTCTCTTGCCCTCTTGGGCCTGATGCCGTGTCCTGGTGGAGGAAGGTTTGTGTCTTGATGCCAGCTGGCTGAGAGATATCAGCAGATAGGAACAGGAAGACGAGGTGAAATGGGATAAAACAGGAAAACAAGCTATCAATGAAAGAGGGAAAAGATCAAATATGAATTAGGGAAAGTGGAACATGGAGAAATTGAGCTGTCAGTTGTTATCCTCTCAGTGTCATCTGTGGACAAGCCTGTAGCTTTGGGATCAGCATGATGGCTAGTTTGGCTCCAGCACAGTCTGGCATACTGCTAATGATGATTAGCAATCAGGTTTTGCGGTGATGGCTGCGTGTGTGTGTGTGTGTGTGTGTGTGTGTGTGTGTGTGTGTGTGTGTGTGTGTGTGTGTGTGTGTGTGTGTGTGTGTGTGTGTGTGTGTGTGTGTGTGTGTGTGTGTTTTTGTGAGTGAGCAAGTGAGTCAGAAGGGTGTAGCTATGCCATGAAAGGCACACCCTGCCATCTACAGTACTCACAGTCATGTATGTTACCATGGTGACGGTGCACTGCACAGATTACCGGTTTATGGCAGCCGACTTACCTTCATATCTCTTGCCCCTCGGGTCAAAGATTATTTAATAATTTATTTTAACACTGAGCGTGTCAGTCTCACAATCGTCAATGACATTAACGTTTTCACATACTTCTACAGATTAGTTGATAATAACGAATCAATTTATTGCAGATTTTGCATAAAAGTAGACTCTGTTGTCATTTGTGGTCCCACATTTTATTATTTTAATTGTTAATGTAGAAGCTGCAGTCAGCCTCTGCAGAGATGCTGTAAAGGCCCATGGGTCGGGTATTAATAAAGATCAGATGTTAGAAGAACTGCAGCTGTATAGTGTATTAAAAATTTGTCATTGCATCAACATGCAAAAGAATTGTGATACATCACTGGCACATAGTGCATACCAGTATTAAATACGGTACATGCATACACAACATAAACAACATCAAAAAGAAAACAACACTCTTGGTGACAAATCCGCATACATACACCCACAAACACAAAGCAATTCACCCAAACACAGCTCAGACACACACACACACACACACGAACATATTCTATAAAATATTGACGCATGGACAGAAGTACATACTACTACAAATATCGACAATACAAGTTTTTATTTAAAGGTAGAATATGGAACAAATTAATAAATACTATATTTAAAAAATACTCCACGGGGACACCTGACTTGCACGCGGAGGACCCGGGTTTGAATCTAGGCTGGGTTATCAGATTGTTGTTTGGAGTTTTTTTTTTCCATGATATTTTTTACAGTAATAAGATGCCCACATTTTATTTTTAAACGTCCAGATGAGACGCGCCCAAAGATCTTGACTTCGCGGCCAAAAAAGAAATCAGTTAAACTTTCATTTTGGAACTATTTTTCAACCATGACGGGACACGTGATTTGGAATCGTAGTATGTCCAAGGAAGGTCCTGTCTATCTTGCCTCGGATTATTATAGCACTAAGTTCAGTTTCTTTATAAAACTCTCCAAATCAGCTTTCTGTTGGTAGCACTGGCAGGAGAACAGTATGCACTTAGCAAGGGAAGATGCCGGTTTGCTGCAAAATCAAATAATCAATCATAGTAGAGCCCTTCCAACCAATCAGAGCCGAGAAAGATCTTCCTTGGACATCCTACAATTCCAAATGACTTATTCTTGTAGATTTCTTTCCTATGATTACCCCACTGTTTTGTCCTACATGTGTATTTGTTGTCTATTATCTATTTGTTGTGTACTGTTGTCATCCATTCCCCCCTTCCTCTCTTTTCCTGTTTGTGTTGTATGTCTCTGTTTTCTCCCTGCCTGTCCACTCTGGTGCTTAAGCGACTGCAGTCTAACATGCCACACACATAATA